CCTGGGATCTTGTTTCACTGTCATGGTTCACCTTATGCTGGTCACTTTGCCACTTTTAAAACAGTGTCAAAGATTCTCTAGGCTGGGTATTGGTGGCCTACTATGTTCCGAGACGCGCAGAGTTTTATCTCCAGATGTGACACATGCCAGAGGCAAGGGAACATAAGCAGGAGAAACGAGATGCCTCAGAACTTCATTCTGGAAGTAGAGATTTTTGATGTGTGGAGCATCGACTTCATGGGGCCATTTCCATCATCCTATGGCAATGAGTATATTCTGGTGACAGTTGACTATGTGTCAAAGTGGGTCGAAGCTCTGGCTAGCCCAACAAATGACGCAAAGGTGGTCTTGAAGATGTTCAAATCTGTCATTTTCCCCAGGTTTGGTGTGCTGCATGTTGTGATCAGTGATGGAGGTTCACACTTCATCAACAAGGTTTTTGAGAACCTGTTGAAGAAGAATGGTGTAAGACACAAGGTGGCGACCCATACCATCCTCAGAAAAGTGGGCAAGTCGAGATTTCCTACAGAGAGATCAAAAACATTCTGCAGAAAATTGTAAGCACCACAAGGAAGGATTGAACGTATAGGACAGCTTACAAGACACCTTTGGGGACTACACCATTCCACTTGGTTTATGGAAAAGCTTGCCATCTCCCAGTGGAACTCGAGTACAAAGCTGCTTGGGCAGTGAAGTTGCTGAATTTTGATGCTAGAAGTGCTCATGAGAGGAGAGTGATGCAGCTGCATGAGTTGGAGGAAATGAGGCATCTGGCTTATGAGAACTCGAAAATCTACAAGGAGAAAACCAAAGCTTTCCATGACAAGAGGATCCTCAACAGGAGTTTTACACCAAACGATCAGGTGCTGCTGTTTAATTCTAGATTGAAGCTTTTTCTTTGAAAGTTGAGATCAAAGTGGTCTAGACCTTTCATCATCAAGGAAGTTCGACCATATGGTGCTGTAGTGTTGCTGGACACTAAAAGAGGAGAAATTGTTGTCAATGGACAGAGGTTGAAGCCATATCTTGCTGGTCCAAATGTCGTAGAAGGTGAATCACTCACCTTAAGTGATCCTCCTCAAGCCTAAATGGCTTTCCAAGTCAAGCTAATGACTTAAAAGAAGTGCTTGGTGGGAGGCAACCCACTGGTAAGAGTCTCTAACTTTGTGTTTTTATGTTCTTTGTTTTAGGTTCTTTGTTTTAGAAAAAAAAAAAGGTAGAAGGTTTTCAGCATGAGAAAGGATGTGAGGAAGAAGAAGAAGGAGCAACCAACCGGAGCACCCACTCCATCTGCTGGGTTGGATGCTCTTAGTGTAAAAAATGACGAAGGAGCACCACCACCTCTGTCAGAGCACCTGCTCCACGGGGTGCTCCAGACGAAAAATTGACGAGGGAGCAACCCAAGGGAAACCAGAGCATCTGCTCCGGCAAGGTCGTGTCTCTTGTATTTCTTTCTTCTTCTTTCTTTCTTTCAGTACTTTCTTTAAGTCAGTTTTTAGTTTGTTTCTTTGAGTCATTTTGTTTCTTTGAGTCAGTCGATAATATGAGTCAAAACTTGTGGGAACTAGGACCAAATCTGTGATGAGTTTATACCATTTTTGAATTTTGACCATGTTCTTTTTAGTGACCATTGCTGTAGAATCAGTCCAGACCAGACTAATGGAAAACCCAACGACTGACCAGCGTACTAGAGGCGTCCATGTTTCTGACAAAATCCATTGACCTGAGCTAATTTCTGATTTCTACCTTTTACCTGACCGATGTGACTGGTGTTCACAGGGCTTGACTCCTCATTCATACCTGAAAACAAAAACCTGTGTGATGAAAAAATCTGGTACTCCTCTCCCTTATTCTAAGCGTTAACTAAAGCTAAAAAGATGAGATGATTTTCTTTCAAAGTAAAGGGGTAGGAAAATTTCCTGTGACCTCACTATTTTACTTTAGAGAGAAATAATCACACAAGGATTGGAAGTGAGGGGTAGGAAAATTTCCTATGACCCCATTATTCACCTACAACCTTTATATATATATATATATATATATATATATATATATATATATTATATATATTTAAAAAATGCCTGCAAGTGAATAAGTTCGGGGGCGAGGAAGAGTATATTTGTGTGTTTTGGTCAGTTTGTTATGGTATAGTATGGGAAATGTCTAGAAGGTCCTGAGCATTGGTTTCATCAGTGAGACCCAGCGATGATGGGATATGGATAAAGTCGTGAAATTATGGATCTAATCTGGGAAGCTGCTATGTCTGCGGAGAAGTACATAGAGGTTCGGTTTGGATTGATGTTGCAACAGGTCTTCTGCATGCTATGGTCTAATTTACGGTCTTCTGAGTTTTTGCGAGTTCCCACCATTGTCTAATCAATTTTTCTGGAACTAGATTTAAATTTGTTTGAGGACAAACAAAGTTCTAAGTTCAGGGGAGTTGATAAGTGGAGATTTTGACTCATTATAACCTGTGTTTACTGATCTTTTTAGATAAGTGGAGTTGATAAGTGGAGATTTTGACTCATTATAACCAATGATTTTGAAATCGTTTCAGGTAACTAGGAGGCTTAATGCGATGGTTTGGAGCAACTGGAGCTTTTGGTGCAAAAAGGAGTTGAAGTTGAGCACAAGAGGTCAATTTACACGAAGTTGGATCATTCTTGGTCGGGAGTACCTGCTACCGATTTCACTCTTTCGTGGAGCACCTGCTCCAACCGCCCGGAGAAAAATAAGAAAATCGACTTTTACCTAATTTTGGGATCAGAAAGAGAATAAAAAGTCTAGAGCCGCCTCAGAAACAAACCACGTTTTTACAGACTTTCTTCTACGCTTTCTTTTTACAAATTTTCTGAATCAGAGAGTTTTTATTTGTAAGCTTTTGGGAGAGGAAATATGCTACATTTTGAGAAGAATTCTGAACCCTATATTACTTTTGCGATTTTATTCCATGAATTCATTTTCATCTGTTACTGTGTTTTCTTTCTCCATGTCTGAGTAGATCTCTTAGGTAGATTAAGGTTTTCAAAGGATTTCATGAATAAGAGAATTGGATGCAAATAGGGTTTAAAATCGATTGTCTTCACCTTTGTTAGACTTAACGCTTAGGTTGAACTGGCCATTCAATTTACGATCTTAGGTAAATCTATTTATCAAAAGTGTCATAGGTTGCTAGAATAGACTGTGGTGAGCGATTTGTCCTTAGCCAACGACAGTTGAAGTTAAGACAAATCGTGAACCGATCAAACCTGCTCGTTAATGCTTGTCTGCAATTTTCTAGGTTCAACGCATAGTTTAGAATTTAGGTTGTTAGATAAAGTTATCGAGATCACGATAGTGTATCGATAAGCTTTTATGTTTGAGTTTGAGACCTGCATTTAAGTTGTGCCATGAATAGTCATTTGATTCTCATCTCTGAAACTCCTGCGAATTTCCTTGGTCTAGTGCTTGTCTTAAATTGAATTTAAATCGTCTTTAGCTTGCTTTTACTTGTCGTTAAAGTAACAAACCAACCATCTTTCATCTTAGCTTTATTTCAGTCCTCGTAGAGTTACAGAGTAGCATTGGTTCTGTGGATTTCGAATCCTTTATATTACAATCTCATTACTGTTCTATTGCAGTGAAAACTAGGAGATACATTTAGTTGGAATCATGCGTGAAACTTGATCCCCAAGTTTCAAAATGGTATCTTCCCTAAGACGTAGTCAGTTGTTTATGGGAATTGGCTCTTACCCACAGCTTGTTACGACAATGGCTTCCATTGACGGCCCATTGGAGGATGAAGAAGCCAACAGTTTGATGGAAACATCAACCAAGTAGAAAGCAAGAAACAGTTTCAGCTTGACTTGAGTAAGATTATGAGCGGTGAAGATTAACGGACAACCTTGATGATTAAAAACATCCCTAATAAGTAAGAGTTCTCCTTTGATTTTCCTTTGCGCCAGTCAGTTTACTGTTCTTGAAAGAACTGATCTTTTCCTTGGTTTGATTTTCCTTTGCGCCAGTTAGTTTACTGTTCTTGAAAGAACTGATATTTTCCTTGTTCTCAGGTATACCCGGAAAATGCTGTTAGCTGCCATCGATGAGACAAACAGAGGCACTTTTTTTTGCTATATTTGCCTAATGATTTCAAGGTAATGACCACCTTGGTTGCATGCTGAACCTCTGACATCACAGTGATTAAAATTCTTTGATGTTCTCTCTTTTTTTTTTTCTTTCATGTGTGCAGAATAAATGCAATGTGGGTTATGCATTCATCAATATGGCGTCTCCTACTTTCATCATTGCATTGTACGAGGAACAACCTGATTGAGTCCTTTAATGTTTGTTTCTCAGAAATTTAAAATTTATTGAGAATGACCTTATGCTTCTGATCATTTTCATAGGTCTTTGATGGAAAAAAATGGGAGAAGTTTAACAGCGAGAATGTTTTTTCCTTGGCTTATGCATGGATCCAAGGCAAAATCGCTCTCATTTCTCACTTCTAGAACTCAAGCTTAATGAACGAAGACAGGCGATGCCACCCTCTTGTCTTTGATGGACCAGAATCTATTTGTCCAGTATACAACCTCTTACTATAAACACATTGCCTTGACATGATCATTTATATGTTCTATGTTTTGCTGATGAACTAGTTGACTCATACATCTATATCTGACTTAGATCGTCCAGGACGTGGAGCATTGGCAGCTTGATTGAGGCTCTTTCCAGCGGTAGCACGCATTGAAGCTGACATTCAAGTGAATCCCTTTATTGCCTCTAGTGAAAACGTAAATATTCAGTTTTTAGGATGAGATGATGATGAACAAACAAAGTCAAAGTACTACATAATAGTTTTGGATATTCTTTTTTCTGGTTTTCTTAGGTTAATTTTAGACTTTTCGGTTTGTTTTAGAATTGGGAATTAAAACAGATCCTAGACAAGGACCTCTGATGTAGAAATGTAAATTGATGGTTGTGTGTTTTTTTTTTATTGGTCGGGTGAATCATGTATATAGGGATGGTTAAGATATGTTTTATTGATAATAAAATAATGAGAATTTCGTGTGACTGACATATTTGATTACATTTATAACGTAAAAGAACGCTTATATTCTTTGTAACTGCAAAATTTCTACTTTATGCTTGAACCAGCCTCTTTTCCTCTAGTCTCAACACCTAACCTTGTCTTCACTTGAAGATCCACTTGAAAGAAACTATGTTTGTCTTCTCGAATATAACTCACACTACCATTCATCTGCTCCAGCAGTTTCCGCGAAAGCTTTAGCCCTAACCCATCAGGCGTGACCCATCCATCTCGAGTCTCAAACATATCACCTAGCATCTCTGAAGGAAGTCCTTTCCCAGGATGTATTATCCTATCACACAAATTAACATCGAACATTGTTAAAATCATTCAATAACTATATTGTTTAGCTGGAAACACTCATACTCAGCATAAAAAGTTGCATTTTTCTGGAAAACATAGAATCTGTCAAAAAAAGTAGGTTGAATTTGTCAGTTGTTTCTTTGGATCTATACCTGAATTGTAGATGGATATAGTGATCAGTGTCGCTTGCAAGCTTATGGCCTGGTGAGATGTTGATTCCTATCCAACTATCTGGAAACGGGGCATGATTCACAATGTTGCGCAGAAGATCAGCAAGAATGAGCTGAAGCTTTATTCTGTCACCATATAGAGGCAGAGTTCTGATCTCCTCGGCGACTTCAACCTTGAGTTGGGAGTTCCTCTCTTTCAACATAATCATCACTTGGCTAATAATTGTGTCCAAGATGCTCTCGAGTCGAAACTCCTCTATTTCCAACTGCCACTTGCTGATATCATGAAAAGAAAGACATCTGATTTTTAAATACAAAATATAAAGAGATGAAGATTCAAAACTGTTACGCTTTACCTTTCCTTGATGCTATTTAAGTCTGTGCCATCGATTATTTTCGTGATCTGCTTCTCGCAAGCATCACTAGTCTCCAGAAACTGCCTTTGGCTCTCTGAAGTCTCTGAGGATTCAAGAAGCTTATGTGCAAATCGGATACCGTTAAGAGGATTCATGATTTCTTGTCTTATGTAAGTTAACTCGTTGAGGCTTTGAACGCTTTCCTTCATCTCTGGACAATTCAAACCCGAATCTTTATCAATAATCTGCAAGAAGAAGAAACATCTGATCACTTTGCCTTCAGTGTTTGTACTTTTGTTCGCGGTTATGGATGCCTCTATGTACTTTTCTTCCTTATTAAAAAACCCAATCAGTGAACTCTCTGGAACATTATCACCAGCAATGCCTTGGTACAGAGAGATCAAGAATTTTGTGAGTGAATCTTGGCATTTCACTTTACAAAAGACTCCAAAAACTTCACCGGGTAGCAGTTTTCCTATCACCTCGTGTTTTGACCACCCGGTAAGCTTTTCCATGGCTGCGTTCCACTCTGAACAACAAGCATTCTCATCAGAGGCAAATATCGGTGGAATCAACGGATTTAAGCTTTGAACAATGGTCTTGTAGTCTCCTTGCAGTCTGATGAATCTATCTGTTATTGCTTTTTCGCTAGTGATGTCTTGGCCAACAAAGCAGACACCGACAATTTTTTCTGTATAATCCCGGCTGGTGCAGGAGTTAACGAGAACACACACATCAGAAGAAGAATCTAAATGATCGTTGTGACCAAACTTTCTTAGTTTAAGCATTACGTTTTTCTCCTCCTCACCTGAATAACACAACAAAACCGATGTTTTTGTTAGTTCATCAACACTCATTCAAAGAGCATAACATGAAACTTGTATCAAGGAAATCATCTTTCTTATAACCTAGTAAGGCTTTGCACAAGAGATTTTCAAGAGTTGCGCGTGATTCCTCTAGAACAATCTCATCAGCAAGTGACTTCCCCATGGCTTCACTAGCTAGTAATCCCGTCATTTCAGCGGTTTTATTGTTCCAACCATTGATACATCCAAAAGAATCAACCCCAAAAATAGGTGCAGTTGCGGTTTCAATCACTCTAACCATTTCACACACAAAAGAAGTAAGCTCATTTGCATCTCTTATCACACCATTACCAGACAATACAGGCCTAGAGCTGGTAAATGACTCTCTCATTATAACCCTCAGGGAATGAATGGCCTCAATCTCGGAGATTTCCCACGGCAAGCTCCTGCTCTTTGCAACTTCAAGAAACGCTTTGAATGATGACCTTGGATGCATTCTCCCATCATCATCTCTATCCCTTGGATGATGTTTAGCTCCTCCCCATTTGATTGCACTTGCAGTGTTGGACCTGAACCAAAGTAAGTAATCTTTTGAAGAAATCCCCGCAGCAGCCACACCGCAAACTGCATCTCCAAGTGAGATGGCACTAGGGTATCCCGCATTGACCAAACTATCAGTGGTTAAACCCGTCGAATCATCACCATGATTCTCCACCAGCCAATTCACCAAGTCTTTAACTTGTGACTCATTAGGAGTAACACCAACCAACCAACACTTCCCCTTGTAATATAAAGCCGCTCCATCGCACTTCACAAGGTCCATAATACCCGGAGATTGTGTCACAATAGCGGAAACAGTATCGCGGAGAAGCATATCGCATAATAAGGTATGTGTCTGCATAGCCTTCTTCTCTTCTAACTGTGACGCTAACTGAAGCTCCATTTGAAGCTGAAGTCCAAATGCTTGCATCAGAAACTCACAAGCATACCGTAATGGGAATGGAATGTATCTAGGAGAACAATGATGACCCACGACTAATCCCCAGAGCTTAGTTGAACTTTTGTTCTTTACCACAATTGCGAGTGCAAGAGAAGCAATAGAGCCCATATTCGCCATGTACTGCGTGTGGCAGCTATGAGGAGATCTCAAAGTGGAATTGACTAAACAAAGTGGTCTCTTTAGTTCATCACTTTGAATAACCTTAACAGGAGTTGCATTGCAATCACAAATCATCCGGACACGGTTCTGTTTGAACAAGAACCGAGCGGCTAGAGGAATATCTGTTGCAGGGTAATGTAAACCCAAATAAGGTTCCAAATCTGATCTTCTGATCTCAGAAATAACTTCACCATGATCATCTTCATGAAACTGATAGACCATAATACGGTCATAACCGGTAAGTCTCTGAACATCTTCCACAACAGTATCACACAAAGCACCAATATCTCCTCCGGGAAGCGACTGCAGCCTAGAAATAGCCCTAACCGCAAGTTTCTGAGACTGAACTGCACCGGCAAGAGTCAAAGCCGGGTCTCCAGATTTAGCAGGCTCCAAATCAATCACAATCCCTGCATCGATCCTGTGAAGTATAGCATAAAAAGGCTTCTGGGTCGTCTTAGAATTAACCAAAACCGGATTCAACAACGAAATCTCAGTAAAGGAAACAGCTTTAGCCAAAGAAGCTCCTGAAGTAGGCGTAAAAAGCGTCCTCGCATCGATTCCAATCAAACCCTTAACCTTAAACTCACTCGAATGAGAGCTCGAAGCAAGAGACAGACCAAGAAACTCAATACAATTCTCACTAACACCAAGTATCCTAAAACTAGGCTCTTGGACAGCAATCAAACAACCAAATGGCTGAACAAGGCCGCCTCTTTGGATATTAGATAGATAAGCAGTTATGTGCTCATCAGAAATGTTGTTAGGCGGCGAAATCACAGATTTGGAGTAGTTAAAAGACTTGCCCGAGTAAATGGAGTGGTTGAAATCCGCGAAAAGACCAGCATCAACAGAGTATTGAGCAGTGTTGGAATTTTGAAGTCTTGAATCGCCGCCATTTTGAGGTTTTGAATCGCCGCTGAGAGGTTTGAAGTTGCTTGCAGCTGATGAAGTGCTCTCGAATCCCATAATTGGAAAAATAGAGAGTGAGGAGGGAGTTTTATTCGATCGGAGAAAAAAATTAAAAAGATTGATATTTTGATTTTTGGGATTCGTGTTTTTTATTTGCAACTCTTTCTTTTAAGCTTTGTCTTTTCTAGCTTCAGTGCTTTTTGAGTTATTTTCTAACTCTGTTGAATTAAAAAAAAATTCAATTATTTGTTGAATCCATCAAAACCAACAGGATAACCGACCTTTTATACGTAATAAAAGTTTTGACGACCCAATCAGGCTCAACTAGAATGAATCGCCCACAAATTATTCTCTCTGCCCTTTACTTGGCTGTGTTGTAAGTAATGTTAAGAGATGAAGACTCTTACTTATAGTGCAGCTTCCCCTTCTATATTATTTCATTTTGTCGATGTGGGACAAATTTAAGGACAGATTTTTAAAATAAAATTTTCAAAATAAATAAATATTATTATAAATAAATAAATAAATACTTAACAAATGAATAACTGATATCTAGTCTCAAAATTTTCTATTATCTAAATCTATTTCAAAATAACTGAATATTTAATTTCATTATCCGGATTCGGATCCAAACTATACAAATATTCAATTTTTACGGATCGAATAGGAACTATCGGATTAGAGACCGGATACCAAATAATAATTCCAGAGCTAGTGACAACCGATAAAATTTCTTTTCTTATTATTATTATTTCTTTTGAGCTCTCTTTTTACAAGTTTCATGGAATCTCTTTTTTTTTGTTCTGTGGAATTAGAAAAGAAAAAAATGAGTTTGATTCAGTATTTTAATTGATCGTGAACTGTGATGTATTATATTTTTGTTGTATGATTCGAACAAGTATATTTTAGACCAAGTATAAGTTATAATCTCAATTTCTTAGAAGACCTTAAGCACTCACTCATTCACAAGAGATCTCTCTCTCTCTGTCCCTCACAATATCTCACGATCTACATATTCAACAAGCTAATCTCGCTGGATACAAAGAAGCTTCTTCGGTTAATGAGACCTTTCATAGTATTGTATTGCTTCATGTCTCGATGCTTTTTGTAAAGTTTAATGGGCTTTAGGCGCATTTTACGTGTACTAGGTATTTCCAGTGGCGGAACCAGAAACTTTTTTTATTGGGGGCATAAATAAATAAATGAAGGCATATATAATTTTATAAATGGGGGCATCAATAGTTGGTTTTAGTAAATCACACCAAATTTTAAAATTTACTGGGGGCATATGACCCCAACTCATTCAATGTGGCTCTGCCACTGGGTATTTCCCTGGACTACGCCCGGGTTTTTCCCACTAGGTATTTCCCCGGTCTACGCCCGGGTTTTTTTATAATACTAATTGTCTTTTAAAGTTTTTTTATAATACTAATTGTGAAATTTATTTTGTATATTTAGTATTTAGAATAGGATTTTAGCAATTCCGTGGCATTTTTTAATTGGTTTATAACTGATGATGTGTAAAAAACTTAAAACAAACCGATTTAAATTAATATGGTTTAATGTTTAATTTCATAGTCAATCATAAAACAAACCGATTTAATATGGTTTAATGTTTAATTTCGTAGTCAACCAAACCGGTTTTGAAATTATATAAAAACAAAAATTTTAAAAAAAAAATTTAAAAAAAAAAATCTAAAAAAAAATCTATCTCTTAGTGTTTACTTTTTCTTATGTTTCCAAAATTTAGAAAAATTCTAACAAAAATGTAAAAACAAAAAACAAAAATGGAATCTATCTAAAAAGCTATCGTTTTTGAAATTATATAAAACCGAAATTTAGAATTTTTTTTCTAAAAAACGTTTTAGAGCGAGTTTTACAGCTTTTCGCTTACGTATCAGGTTCAGAATGAATTGAAGCTATAAACAGGCCGTTTAGCCCTAATTTAAAATAACATGTCATTTTTTATTGATTCTTATCCGATGATGTGTAAAAAAAAACTTAAAACAAACCGGTCTAAATGTGGTTTAACATTTAATTTCATAGTCAATCAACAACAACGTTTATTTAAGAAACATATAATTTACATCTCTTAGTGTGTACTATATCTTATTTTAAAAAAAAAATCTAACAAAAATGTTTAAGATGTTGTTATAGAATGTTATTTCAAAACTAAAAACTATTTAAAAAGTTATAGAATGTTGTTTCAAAACCAAAAAAAAAACTGAAATTAAAAAAGAAAAAAAAATTGAAAAAAAGTTAAACAAAAAATATATATATCTAATAATAGAATGACAGTATTTGTGATGTTTAAAACACATAAAACAGTGATCAAAATCAATAAGTTCATACAATACTTCAAAAAATTATGTCTAAAATACATAGAACAGTGATAAAAAATCCCAAAACTATTTAAATTAAATTATTTGGATACTAATATATTTTTATTTACCCTCTTCTATTCTATACTGTTTTCAAGATCATGTTTTCCAACATTAAAATGCAAGAAAATCTAACAAACAAATATACTCAAGAATAAAAAACAAATGAATTCAAACTACTATTACATCTCAAACAATCAAATGGAAATTATATCAGTCCGTGCAAGGCGCCGAAAAGTTAACTAGTAATCAAGTAAATTAATGATTATTGCAATAATTCTACACACGCAAATTCTCATTTTTTTGCCCCGCTGACATTTCCACAGCATACGTTAAAAAATACTCCGTTTCGAATGTTAAAACGGCTTAAGTGATCAATATTATAGATGATATTGAAGAGAGGAAAAGCCGATTAAACCATATTAAGCCGAACAAACTTAAACCCCTCAAGGCTTGGACCAATATACTCTTCTAATTCTTGCTCTTGTATTTGATCTCCGAAAGATTGTTTAGGACTCCTCTGAAGTTACACTTCCGTTCCTGGAATTCTTTTTAACATGTTTTCTTTCTTTTTTTAATCTTAATCACTTCGTGCAGAATCCAAGAAAACCTTAATTATAGTCTGTTTATGATAAACAATGAGCAGAAATAATGTAAATAAGGGAGATCTGAGAAAGAGAATTACATCCTTGTTAGCATTTTTGCTTCCTCACAATTTTCAACGTCATTACAAAGCTCTTGCATTTGAGAAACAAAGGTCTGCTCCACTGCTTTAGGAATGGTACTTGCGTGCTTACTAATGGCCTCAACAATGAGATCTAAGTAAGTTAAATAATGGTTCACATTTGCATTTTTATATATGGTTGATAACACCGGATTTTGACCATTTTTATGGATCACTTTAATATCTTTTACAGGTGTTTTTACTCCATTTCCAAAGGTTTTCAAAGGATTTCTATGTTTTCGGATTTTAAAAGACTTTTCAGGTAATTTGGGATAAAGAAGCACAAATTGGAACAAAAGACTCTTTTGGATAAATACAGACCGTCAGAACTCTCATGGAGAGACGAAGACCTTCTCACCGTCTGATCACCTCAAAATTGGACAACTTATAGAAGAATCAACCAGCTTTCAAATGCACTTGGATTGGAGACATTCCAACGGTTGGATCTCAAGATATTCCATTAGCCCCGGAGCCACTCGAAGACGGCCAGCAAGTCACGCGACCGCGGCCAACAGCCCATTTCCCGCGGTCAGAAGCCTCCCGACTGCGGCCAACCACCTATTTCCCCCGGTCACGTCACTCTCGACCGCGGCCGTCAAACTCCGAACTAAAGCTCATATTTCTGAAGCCCAAAGTCATTCTCAGCCTCAATTCCGGAACCCTAGAGACCATGGAGTATTGAAGACTATAAATACTTGTGTTATTGACGAGCAAGAATGAAACAGGCGATTTTTCCGTAGGAGTGGAAACCTACCTGCGGCGAGATCGTGAGTATTGACGAGTCTTGTGCAGCTCTTGCGTTCTCTCCCTTCCAGGGCCAGAGTGGAAACCTACTGGTCAGGGTTGCGAGAAACAATTGGTTATGATCACGACAGTGATGTAGTCATATAGCCGTACTCTAGCTCTAGAATCCTATATATCGATATCCGTCAATCCCAATCTACCTACCCTAGTGTTAAAACCGATTATGATCCCTTAGAGTTCCCAAAAGCTCAGCGTTAGCCATAGTTTACAAACCAATCGATTTTTACTTGTTTATTTAGATCTGCATTTCAATTGCCTTAGTTCGATATTTTACTTGCTTTACTTGCTTTCCATTCGATTTTTCTACTTGCTTTCTAGGATATATTTACTTGCTTTCTTTAAGTTTTAGTTTAATTCGTGATAAACAACCCACCTTTAAAACCAATCTAGTCTAGACATAAAGTTAAAAACCGTAGAAGAATACCAGACACACAAATCTCTGTGGATTCGATCCCTAACTACTACAACTGATTAGCTGTGCGCTTGCGGCTTTCATTTGTTTTTGTTAAGGGTAAAACTTGTTCCCTCATGCAGTTGACACGACATCAATGGTCAGTGGCATAGACATAAATAAATATAAATTACATCTATTCTTGAATTATATCAATATGACGATTAATATGGCCCAGCGAAAGTAGTAATATAATACACCAGTGAACCAAGAATCAAATACATACCAGCATAAATAATTTGGGTACCAACATCACCTGTACTTTTTTTTTTAACATGTAACTGAAATAAAAATTTCAAAAAGAAGAAGACGTATTCTCATCAGCCCTTCATATATATGAACTATCTAGAGTATATATTGCAATGCAGAAATTATATCTGGAAACTAATGGCATAAAATATGTTTCCATCATCTGAAGCATCATAACGGCTTTGTAATTCACCCTGCAAATTTAGTTACATACTTAGGCATGAAGTAGAGAAAGTAGTCATAGTTGCTGCAGTCACTTTCAAGTTGAGGCTGGCATATTCTGGTATAGAATATAAGATTACTCTATGAAAGAGCTACTTCAAAACCTGTAAAGGCGTAGACATTTTAGAACTGATTGCTTGCATTTTCTATTGGTTTCAGACTTGCAGTGCTCAGTAAACATATGCAAAAACATATGCAAAAAGACAAATCCTTACATTTCCAATGGGACATATGGTTATGCTTTAAAAGTATTCCCAAGAAGACTTGCACTGTTGATAAGAACACCATGTGAACCTGACAGCAACAGTTACGTAGAGCTTGACACTTCACATTCATAACCCAATCAACAGACAACAGAAAATCAATATAAAGTTGTATGGATTTAATGTATTCTCGATAAATCTAAACCGTTTAAAACATACTTAGTCAATTTAAGTCATGGGAGTGAAAAAGAATCAGCGTTAGAATTTTTACACCGTTTGAAAGCAAAATGAATACCTTTTAGAAGGAGTAGCCTCAAAACAAAGACCTCTTAAATATAGATTCAACCTTATTGAAGAACATGTGTCTTTGGATTTGAGCGAGAGCAATTGAGATTGGACACGCCATTGCTGTGCTAGGAAATGAGGTGGAGCAAAGTTATAAATTGTATCTTAGGACCCATCAGAGACTATATAAAGAGACTGTTTTAAATGCAGTGTTCGTCAATGAGGAGTAACTCGAGCCCAATGAGTAAGCTACCTTTCATAGGGTTCCTTGCTTCCCAGAGGTGGATGAGTCTAAAAGCCAGTTCTTCCTTGCTTAGTCCGGATTCGACTTCAGTGAAGAGTAGCTGTCAGTGGACTGGTGTAAGGGCCTTTGAAGCAGAGGCTGCCATAGCTGTGATAGTGTATATATGTTGTGTGCGCCCAATTTTTGTATTGTGTCTCTGCTATGATCGAAGACTATATAAAGGGGATGGAGTTGTGGTGACATTTCCGATTTTATTAGAATGGGCTGATGTTGCAGATTCCACATCGTGGATATTTACAGCAGGAGAACGTGGCTTTGTGGGTAGGAAGACGAGCCGTTCATGGAGATGTTGAATTTCAATTGGGAGGAAGGAGAATCGTTACTGGTTTTTTTTATTTCTGTAATTTTCGGTCACAGATGTGTAGACAACAAAGAAGCGTAGCAGACTGATTTAGGTTTTGTGTTTGGGTTGGGTTGTTGAACTATAATGGGTTTCATTATTGGGCTGCCCTCTATTCTTCTTTCGTTGGTGTTTTTTGTTTGGGAGGGGTTGTTGAACTATAATGGGTTTGATTATTGGGCTGCGAGGATGTGAGTATGTTTTTATTGGCTGTTTAATGTTTTAAGTGACGTGTAATGAATTGATGTTTTGATTGGTTGATTATTTTCCTGAATATCTTGGAATATGTGGCATAGCTGAGAAGCCAGGAAAATAAATCCTTTTATATAAAATAGATTTTCTAACTAGTCCTGCAACTGCGTCCTTATCCATTATTCTTATTATTCAATTATTAAAAAAAAATCAAAAATCTCTTAGATTCTCTCTCTACGTGTTTATTTCGACGTGTGGACTGATTTTCTCAAACCTTAAATTCAAATCTCAAATTCAAATCTCAATTATTTATATTTTTCTAATCGAATCTCAGACAACAACTGGAAAAAAATATAGAAATAATTGAAATACATTTTAAAAAGTTATTTTAGCTAATAAATCTACCAAAAGAGAAATTTCTTAATTAATAGTATATATCTTCAAATTACCATTTCTCATTACATAGTTTCTAAAAATTTGAATCTTCTCCATTTTCCCAAACCATTAGCCCCAAACCCAGAGAGCAAAAGCATAAAAAGAGGTTTTTTTCTCTCCGATACTTGAGAGAGTGAGATAAAGAGAGACATCGAGAATCCTTTTTATTTGTAGAATCGCAATTGTGGGAGCTCGAGAGAAAGAATCGCGATTCTGAGAAATTTCCGTTTCAGATCTGATTTGTTTTTTTCCCTGGTAATCCAGAGAGAGAAGGGAAAAAATGGGCGGTCTAGGCGGTGGCGGCGACGGCAGCATCAGTAACGTGAACACGGGTGTTTCGGCATCTTCGAGAAAGGTGGTTCAGAGTTTGAAAGAGATCGTGAACTGCTCTGACTTAGAGATCTACGCGATGCTTGTTGAGTGCGATATGGATCCTGACGAAACAGTTAATCGTCTCCTTTCTCAAGGTTTTTTTCATCTTTTTTACTTCAAGCTTCCATAACTTTTTTCTATTTGTTTTTTCTTGGTTTTAGCTTTGAATTTGTTTGTGGAAATAGAGTAAAACCAAAAGAAAGAAAAAAAAACAAAGTTTAAAAGAATTCTTAATTTAAGCTTTTGAAGAATTTGTCTATCATGTTGAGATTTGTGTAAGAAAATGTCAGAACTTTATTTGTTTTTTTATCTTACTTGAAATATTAATACTTTTAGGATTTGGTTGAATTATCATTGTTACCTGTTTCTCGAAAGAACATAAAAATCAGTTTTTGTCCTTTTTTTGCATTCTCCTATGTTTGTTCTATGGTACTTATTATATGATTTTTATATTCTCGGCTTGTTCATTCAGTTTTGTATAATGCTGCTTCGTTTTAAAAATCTTTCAGATACTTTTCACGAGGTGAAGAGCAAACGAGACAAGAAGAAAAATGTTTGTAGTACAAATTTGTTTAATCTAAACACATTTATAGTATCAGAAGATGAGTTCCTTTTTTGTCTTATTCTCACTTACTTTGTCTGTTTGGTCAGACCAAAATTCCAGCAGAATCCTGGACATGTAGCACCCCAAATCGTGGAGCTAGAAGCAGCGGTAATGACAGCTACAACACCGCTCGAGATGGCGGAAACAGATATAACTCGAATGGTAACAAATTGCTAGAGAGAGAGTGTTTATATTTTTCTTCGGATGGTTGTGGTTTGGTAATTTAATAAAAACTGTTTAAAAACTTGTTCAGAGTTGGGAAGTGTTCAAGGAGTACCTGCAAACAGAAGAGAAAACAGAACACGTAATCATTGGGCTGTCTCTTCTTCTTCTTCATCTGGTGTCCTCGGGCACCAACCTCCATCGAACAGGTTTTATTTCTTCACGTGATCGTTTCTTATCTGACTTAGTCAAAAAAATGTCGTTGTTTTGTGGTTTGCTTAGTGTATCTCCTTTGCTTTTGCAGTGATCCTACAGACGTTGAAGTTAAGAAAGCACCAATGGGTTCGAGTGATGCAATTACCTCGTCATCGCTGCCATCTCCTGCATATCAATCCGCTTGGGCCAATGCCAACCCTGGACAGAGAACCATGGCTGATATTGTGAAAATGGGTAGGCCTCTCTACCAGAAGAATGTCACTGCGTCTCGTTCATTAGAGACTCAAGAGAGTGGAATTAAAGCTCCTTTAAAGGATGAATGGCCTTCAATTGAGAAGCAAGATCCATCATCATCTCTTGTGAAGCCATTTGCTGAATCTAATATATCCACCGACCAATTCAGCGAGTCTCAACATTTGAACAAGACTCATTGGGATGACGAAAATCCTATTGCTTCTCCTCCTAATGCGGAGCAGGTTCTTCCGCCTGCTTCAGTATCCAGCAGAAACTTGGTTGATGGTGATTCTAGAGAGTCCTCGGTATATGACGACGAAAGCAACAACATGGAGCGACATGCTTTTGAGGAAAATGGAGGTTAGATTATTCTTTTTAATTCTCTGTGTGAGTCTTGTTTTTTTTTAGCTCTTTTCTTCCTCTTTGTTCATGTTTTCTGAGTTTTGTTTGCTCTATTTTCAGGGGAAGATGTTCCTGCATCTGTTGCTACCGGTTTTCAGCAACTTACTATAGACAATGATGAAGAGCATGAAACATCACCGAAAGATGACAAACCTGCAGTGATAATCCCCAATCACCTGCAAGTCAATACCTCAGAATGCTCGCACCTAATGTTTGGTAGTTTTAGCTCTCGGATAGGATCTGGCCAAACTAGTGGCTTGAATGAAACCTTGGAGGAAACACAAGATGAGTCATCATTCAGACACCCCGACACTAATTATTATGGAGAGGAAGAGGGACAACAACTCATGAATGTTACTACTGAAAAAGAACAAACATCCTATCAAATCGATTCAACGGCCCGGAATTACCATGCCTCCTCTAATTCTGAGACAGAAGCGGCGCAACAAGAACCTCATCAAGAAGATCATCAGTACAAGTTTTCACCTCCTGCAGATTATGGATTTGAAAACATGCAACAATTGAATCCTCCATCTGAAACAAATCCTCAGATGCAGAATCTGGATGCCTTCCCCAACGTAATGGTAAAAAAAAAACGCTATTAAGTTTTTATAGAAATCCATCAAAAGTTCGTTTCAAAGATCTAACCATGTCTCTTTTTTTCCATAATGTTCAGCAGCAAGGATATACAAGTTCATTACCTAACAATCTGCTACCATCAGGTATTCAAGATACAAGAGATCAACCTGATATTCACTACTCGCCTTTCCAAACAAAATACAACACTACCACTCCCTCTTCACTCAGCGGTCCAGCAATATCCATGGCCGAGGTAGTAAACTGCATTGTCTTTAGCATAAACATACTCCTATCTTTCCTCTTAATATCATTGCGTACACAATTTTCTTTTGCAGGCACTAAGAACCGCGAGTATGTCTAGTCAAAACGCAATGCCCGGTGCAGGACAACAAGCAGCAGCACTTGCTCAACACCTTGCCTTAAACCCATATGCTCATCAGCCTGGGATGCCTGTAGGTCATTATGGTAACTTGATAAGCTACCCATTCATGCCACAAAGTTACAACCCTTACATGCCTTTGGCTTTTCAACAAGCGTTTCCCACTGGTAACCATCAGACTCTAGCTGCTATGCATCTGCAGTACAAGAATCAGGCAACCGCTCCTCCTATTCCGCCTCCTTCTGCCTACAGGTTTGGCGGTGGTGCTCCATCGAGTAACAACTTCCCTTTGACTCCCACTACCTCTGCAAACTCCTACGAAGATGTCTTGAGCTCACAGTTTAAGGACAGGAATCACTTGGCGTTATCACTTCAGCAGCAGGTAAACCAATAAATTCTAGTCTTGTTGGTGTCAGCATTATGATGGTTCCATATTGTTTTCTCTGTTTAGTTGGTTGTAGGGTTTTATACCACTTCTGTTTGCAAAAATTCAGGTTCATTCTTAGGCTTGGTTTGGGTTTAGATGTGTGGTTTTGTTTGGTTTATTCCGAGTTTGAACTGAATTTCTTGTTTGGTTTGTTTTGGTTTGAAGAACAATCAAAACAACATGTTTTAGCTAAAAATGTATTTATTGCTGTTTGGTTTTGACTATGTAAGGTTTATTTGGTGCTGATTAACTGTTTAGACAGATTTTGGATTTGAAAATTTGGATTGGTTGTGCAAATCTCTGTTTCACAAATCTTAACTAGTATATCTTCTCTTTTGCTTTGATCCGCAGAATGAGAACTCAGCAGCATGGCATCAAGGACAACAATCTAACTCGCGAGTGGTTCCAGGGAGTGGATATTACAGCTTCCCGGGTCATCAGAGTCAGCAGCCTCCTGGTTTCCGTCAAGCTCAGCAACTGCAGCAGCAGCAGCAGCCGTCCCAACAACAACAACAGCAGCATTTTGGAGGGCATGGCTATGCGAGTCCTTACCATTCACAAGCTGCAATGTCATTAGAGCATCTCCATCACCAACACCAACACCAACAACAACAACAAAACGCTAGAGACGCATCTAAACAGACCCAACAACAGTTATGGCCCAACAACTACTGATCTAAATCAAATCCCTCTCCATGCCTTGCTTTTTCTTTGGCCCCTTACTTGGAAACATCTCTCATTCATGAGCTGCGATGGAACTATTCTGAGGTGTGAAAAATAGAAGTGTGTGTTTGTGGTTCAGGGTAAAAGTCTTATATGAAGTTTTGTGAGAGGTCTTCACTGGCTGGTTTGTTTACTTGCTAACTTTTTTATATTACTAAAAGACTCTGTTTTCTTACCATTTTTACTCTTTGAAAATGAAAAAAAATAAACAAACTCTTGAATTTTATGTTTTGTGTTTTGACATTCTATACTAGACCAAACTTCACGTTAAAGATCCAGACTCTAAACCTGGACAGGATCTAGGCAGACCGGTTGGACAATCTGACCCATGATAACGCTTCTATATTACATGTGTTAATTAAATATTAGCATTATTAAATCTGTAAATCATATTAGGTCACAAAGAAAAAGACCAAAAATTTGGAAACAGAAAAGTGACAAGAAAAAAATTGATAACTAATTCTGAGCTAGACGGCTAATCATGTGTTTAATATTTGGTACTAGTCTTTAGTCTTTACATATATTTAATTAGATAATTAACTGAGAGTTGTACCTTTTTCTGAGAGTTTGTACTTATCTAACGAATCATATAGTTAATTAATAGATGTACTTATCTAATCCACGTCATGTGAGATTTTGATAAAACGACACATCTTGCCGTTTTATCGTTTCTTAGCTCCATGGATCGAGATCGAGCCATCTTTATATTAAATAAGAAAGAGATGCCGTGCTGTTTTTTTTTTAACGTCTATATTAATTTATATAAAACTTAAGTAGTCAGAGTATAATACATCAGATAAATTATATGGAACATAGAAATGAGATACATAAGTCGAATTATTTGGAATAGAAGATTTTTCTAATGTATCTGCAGCTTGATTGTTTTCTCGGTGTGTCCATATGAACTCTGTGCTTTGCAATTTCTTCTTCCATTCCCATATTTCTCTGATCCAGTTGTGGAAGCCGAAATTTAGGGTTGTCTTGTTAACTAAGTTAACTAAATTCTTGTAATCTCTTTTAAAAATTACTTTTCGATATCCCATAGACCAACAATACTGAATTGCCATGATGAGAGCTTGCGCTTCTCTTTCCAAAGGAAAATGTGCCTTGGTTGCTTTTTGCCTGTCCTGCCCCTATAAACTTTCCTTCTTCATCTCTTATGATCATCCTGCCTTAGCACAGTTAGTGTCTTTGACATAGGAGCCATCATAATTGCATTTAAGCCAACCCGGTTGAGGTTTTCTCCAACAATGATATCGTCGATGATTGACCCTTAATTTTTATTTCTTCGGTCGAGTCGTCGAGGAGGAGTGTTTAATAATAATATTCAAACTTTACAACTTGACCCTTCCATTTTAAAATTAAACTTTCTCACCCAACAAAGAGAGAAAATTTTAAAATCGTATACGGCTATTTTATCAATTGCATGATGATCATATTTAATCACAACTATAAAAGGGGGTTAAACTCAATTTAGGCTTAATAAAGGGCATTTTCTCCAAATAGTTAAAAGAAAACCAAATCAAATATAAGTAATCATGTGTATTTTGTCATCTAAAATTTTCAAACTCATCTTAATTTGTTCCTGATTACGGAAGAAGATTCCCTTTAGTTTGCAATTAAATAGGCTTAACTAGTAGCATCAATGTTTCTCTCTCTTTGTGCTAACAGGATCATAACATATTTAGTGTGATGAATATAAAAACCTTTGATTTCGTCTCGTAAATGTAATAGCCACAAGAAACTGAGAAAGCGCCATTTCTGCTTCTACTTCGGTCTTTGTGATAAAGTTTCTTCCTTTTTCCACTCTTTACGTCCCACCACTTACCTCTCTTAGCTTCAAGCCATCGAATCGCCGACTATAAACAGAACAGGAAACGATTTTCCGATAAATTCGTTATCTGAAATCGGTTTTCCGATAAACAGAACAGAAAACCACCACCGGTTTACTGTTTTCCGGCGAAAAAACCCAGATGGCAAACGACGAAAGTGGCGGTAACAACAGCAACATAGACCCATTACTCCAATACATGATTAGCCCTAGGATGAGAAAACCGACTCCGATTCTATTCCCCTTACCGGAAGATGGCGAAGTCGCGATTCCGATGCCGATGACACCGTCGGAGTTCAAAGACCGTTTAATCTTCGGACCCTTTTCTCGCTCGCCGCGAGATTCGTCTCAGTATTTCGATTCTCTCTCACAGACACTTTCCCCCTCGTCTTCCTCCGCCGCCGCCGCAGCCGCCGCCGATACCTTCTCCGATTCCTCAACCCTAGATCCTCTCCTCCTTCCACAACCGGAGCCACCGTACCCCGATCGACACTCCAATCACGGCCACGCACTCCACCGATCCAAAACCGCACCAGCAATGGCCGTAATCAATGATCTTCACCACCCGATTCGTGGACAAAAGGATCTCGAGACGTCACGCTCCGTCGTAAGACAAGCTTTTGCTCTCCTCGTTGTGTATCTCTCTTTAGGTGTGCTTATCTATTGGCTGAATCGTGACAATTACGTAGTCAATCAAACCCATCCCGTTGTTGATGGTTTATACTTTTGTATCGTTACAATGTGCACGATTGGTTATGGAGACATCACTCCCAACAGTGCGGTTACGAAGCTGTTCTCGATTATGTTCGTGCTTGTTGGGTTTGGTTTCATCGATATCTTGCTTAGTGGGATGGTCTCTTATGTTCTTGACCTTCAAGAGAGCTATATGTTGGACTCTGCTAAGCGGAGAGACGAGCCAGATAAGAGGAGGTCGTATATAATCGATGTTAAGAAAGGAAGAATGAGGATTAGATTGAAAGTGGCTTTGGCATTGGGTGTTGTGGTTTTGTGCATTGCTCTTGGTGTTGGGATAATGCATTTTATTGAGGAGATTGACTGGTTGGATTCGTTTTATCTCTCGGTTATGTCTGTTACTACTGTTGGCTATGGAGATCGGGCTTTTAAGACGTTGCCAGGGAGGCTTTTCGCTGCGATATGGCTTCTTGTGTCTACATTAGCCGTGGCTCGTGCTTTCTTGTATTTGGCTGAGGCAAGAGTGGATAAGAGGAATAGAGAAAGGGCAAAGAAAGTGCTTCGTGAGACCATGTCTGTCTCTCAGTTTTTCGCTGCAGATATTGATAATAATGGCTGTGTGAGGTATTTGACTCGTTTTCCTTATCCACTTTATATGATATGACTCACTCCTTAAGCTTTTTATGGAATCTTAAATCGATTTTCATAAATAATCGTGTGATCACCGGATGTAAAGTATACATTTTTCTACACTAAAATCTTTGTCCTTGATGTTAGTCCTTCCATTTTCTTTCGTGTTAAAGATCTTTGAAAACAGAACCATTCCTAGCTCATTAGTTATCAGATTCTTGAAGGTGATAGATTCCTGAAGTTATTGCATCTTCTGCACTTCTTTTCTCGAATCTTTTTGTGCAGAAACATAGTTTGTGTTCTTAGGCTAAGTTGAAGATCTGTGAAGTGAGATGCCATTATGATGTGTTTAGCTTTATCTAAAGTTTGAATGACTGTAAAAGGGAAGGCTTATGTGCATTTTTTGGATTCAGGACATGTATGTATATGCTTTGCTTGCTTGCTCTAATCTGAGATATCTTGTGTGTTTTTGTGTGTTTGCAGTAAAGCAGAGTATGTGATTTACAAACTGAAGGAGATGGAGAAAATAACCGATAAGGACATCATTCCAATCTCTAAACAGTTTGACAAACTCGACCGATGCAGCAACGGAAAGATTACTCTTGTAGATCTCTTGGATAGTAGCAATGGCGATGGATCCTCTGCAGCTTTTTAATTTAGCATATAGCTTACAGTTGCAACTTGCAAATCACAAACTGACCAACGATGCTGATGATGATCCTCGGAGTCCAGCCTCGGGTTTACTTCAACCGGGTTTGGACCCATCTTAGTTATGTCTTTGGTCTTGTCTTGCATATTTAGTTAAGCAGGATTCAGTGATTCACACATCACCAAATATGTTACCCTCTCCTTTTCACCAAAGATGATGAGGAGAAGTTCTGGGTTTTTCATAACCGGTTTGATTTTGTACCAAATGGTTATGTCATCGGTTTACTTTGGTATGATAATGAGATTTGTTTCTCATCTAAATCAGAGATTCAGAGATATATCATATATTTAATGACCCCTGTAATTTTTGCAGATATGATAAGTTAATTAGGATCAAGAGTTATATGATTCAATGTATATAAATTTGGATGCTTAATGGTCTTATCGAACTTTTCTTGGTTCGGTATGGGATATGACGCATAACTGTTAACTTTTTTTCAAAAATGATATTCCTGAAAAATTCGAATGAGTATTCTTCTTCAACAGCTTTAAAAAGAAGTCTGTGAGTGTCAAATTATCTGCTTGATCAAATTAGTTATATTCCTAATAGAACAGAAATTTAACTCGTGTGGTAGCCAAAATGTAGTTAATCATGTAGAGACCTGAAGATACATTTAAACTAATGGAAATTGTTTTCCCTGTTCTTGATAATTCCATTCAAACATGATTATCTTATTCGAAAGTTTAATTATCAGCTCTAGAAACTCAAATTTCAAAAAGATATGTGTGAAAGAACAGAAAATACAAGAGATTCCTTTTCATTCATCACACACACACAACCAAATTTTAATAATACTGCCACACACCTAACAACAAACCTGCTCCCAATTATTCTTTCTAAAAGGTTAAAGTCAACAATTTCAATCTATTTTCCTTTTTATTTTCTTACTCATATACTAGTAATAAATAATAATAGTATTTTTACTAAAATAGTAGTATTTGTAATATCTTTATGAGTTAGGCACATATCCCCAAAATAGGTAAGACATTTCAACTGCAGACAGATACAGTTATACATACGTGTCAGCGTGTATATATGTGTTTATATAACCAAAAATGTTCTCAGGTCCACAGACTAACTTAGGGTAATTAGGAAACCAAAATCACATCAACTAAGTAAATAAGAACTTTCATAAATGTGAGGCTAATCAATAAAGCTTTATAGATATGATAGCGCAAACGATTAGGCACCAATTACGGCGTTCAGTTTGTGTATCCCCAGTCCAATAATAGTTGAACTCTTCAAATCAACACTATAAGATTTGATATTCTAACCCAACAAAAAAAACATTAGTCAAATAAGAATAGTAAATGTCTTATGCCTCTTTTGGTTCATCTAGAATTATTCGCTTTTTCAATATCGACAAAAGATTACTAGATTGGTATTGCTTTTATCAAAAACGTTTTTCTTTAATCTTACTTTGATTTGACCAGAAAGGGGCTCGAAATATGGGAATTTTAGTTTTAGCTTTTGAGGAAAAAGAGAATATGGTTTTACTGTTTTCAATGATAAAGAACCATTATACACCTAAGAATAGTCCGTTTCTTCAGTTTTTCGAAAAGAAAAAAAAAACTGTAATTAAAATATATGAGTATACATAGTGACTATCGATCGGACCATCCATAACATTGATCTAGATAACATATAGAGATGATCAAAACATAACCCAATATATGTATAGTTTGTAATCCAAAAACTTAGGCGTGACCGTGTGAGTGTGTAACACCAAAACAAGAAAGATTTCATGTAGAAACGTGAAGAGAATGATTTGAAACCTTCACCTACCAAAGAATTGGATCGTGGACAACACCACTAGACCATGAAATATCATCTGTTTACTTTACTCTGACGAACACGAATTTCATCCAAGTTTTTTTTTTTTTTTATCTTGCCATGTTTTTAGTGATATTTGTAGTAAATCATTTACTTTGACCACACTAAAAGTTGATGTATGTTCCCTTCTCCTTTGTCATGTCGGTTAGGCATAATTATATGTCTATTTGTATTTCCTCATATCATGTTTCTGTCAATTTCTCTGTTGAAAACGATTACTAGCTAAAGATCAAAGAAAGAACAAAACAATCTCTAGCACAATGGTTCCCCACAATTATCGCAAATAAAATCGTACGATTATTTATAAAAGGAATTTCTGACTGTACATGTACAAAGCGTTATCATAATTAATACCTTGCATAATGCAACATTTAATAATATTGGTTTGACCATCTTTTTCCTTAGTATATAAATGCTCCTTTACTAAACTTTGTTAAGAGAAAGTTCTCATGTGAAAAGAAATCCTTGTAGCGAAATGATGACAACACTTACCCGTCAGCATAACGATCCACTCCACTTGGCCAAAATATTATAAACTAACTTTCCTTGAATGTATATGAAGATTTTTTTTGCTTGTTTTAAAACTATTACATTATAGTATTATCAAGAGATTCATATATTTGCACCCAAGAAAATGTTGGGTCTATATATATGATTGCCTCTTGACTAGGAATTTTAAATTCACCTATGATTCATATACAACTTATTAAGGTTCGTGAAGCAGTAAGAGGAAGAAGAAGAAGAGAGGACCGTCTAGCAAGCACATGCCAGTCATTTGTCGGCGACGGTCAAATGCCGGTGCCAGTATACACGTGGCTGCCTAATACTCCCAAAATTATTTTTTAAACTTTTAAAAAAATCTTTTTAACCTTTTTTCGTTTGAATCGTTGACTGTTGCCTCTTCAATCGTTCTTCACACCGAGCGACCGGTGACTGACTGTTTCCGGTTTCCGGTTTCCGGTAATACATAGTCTTCGCTGACTATAAGACTCCTTCAATTACGTCGTCTTCATCCACGCGCTTGGTTGTAGCGCGTGTTACCACCTCCTTTCACTGTTCCACGTGTAGAGTCAAGTGTGAAAAAAAAAAACGAAGGTGTGAACTTTTACATGTCTTACTTTGTAGACCCATTATAAAGGCAGGACACCAAACGAACCCAAAGTTTATACATGTTTATCAAATGTGGCAAAATCATGAAAGTAGATTTTGGGGAGCTTAAAGACTCGAACTATTATATAAGGACTTGCAATTAAATATCGGAATTTTTTCTAAATAATAGTACTATTAAGTAGGAGTATTGTATATTAGATAATTACAGAGGCTAAGTATGTTTCCTCACTAGAAGCCACTTTGCAGCTCTTCTTTTTGTCAACTTAGCTTTATATAAAGTGCTTATTGCCAAAAAAACAAAACAAAAGTCATTCTTTTTTTTGAACGTTACAAAAAAATTAAAAAAGTAATTCAAAAGGCACAAAATGATATCACAAATGAATTAGTTTTTTTTTTTTGTAAAAAGGGTTAAATGAATTAGTTATTCACATCTATATCGTATTGTTAAATTTATACACTGTTTATTTTTTTTTTGCTAAACTTATACACTGCTTTTTCTTTTTAACAACCCTGGTAATTCATCTTTCACAATAACTTTTTTTTTTTACCGACAAATAATTTATTGATCCTCAATTGTAAAATTTGTTTATATATTTATTAAATTCCAATATGTTGATTAACTAATGAAATTACTGCATAAATAAAAATGAAATATTTGAAACAGAAAGAATTACATTGAGTCTTTTGTTTGAAAAAAGGCTTAATATTTTCTCCGTTTCACAAAGAGTGTTGTTCTGACATTCTTCACACAAATTAAGAAATAAAATAAAAGGTCTCTTATATCCTTATTAATTTGCAGAAAATGACTCTTGGAATTATATTTATAATTAATTTTCTGAATTTATTGAGGTTAAAAATGGTATTTTATGTTAAAAATTACATTGGAATTCTAAAACGACATTCTTTTTGAAACAAAAAAAAATGTCAGAACGACACTTTTTATCATAGGTACCATTGAATAACGTCCCATTATAGTTTCACTTAATTAACTCCTTTCCAAATCAATTAAGCCAAAAGCATACTATTTATCACTCTTTTTCTCTCTCTTTCTTTTTTGAGTTTCAAAATGCATAAATACGAGAAAGAGAGACGAAGACCCAATTAAAGTCCAAGCACCAATCTAGACCTCTCTAAGGAAAAAAACCTAATCCCCAAACCTAAAAGGCTTTTCTTCTCTCTTCTTCTTTATCTTCTTTACAATATTTTCTTTGTTTATCTTTGTTTTTCTTCCTTCACCATGTCTAATGAAAACAAAGATCTATACAACTACCAATACCCTTCATCGATGTCTTTGTACCAAATGATGAATCTCCCTACTCCAACTCCATCTTCTTACGGAAACAGCTGTTTCGATCCATCTTCGTACTCCTTCACCGATTGCCTCCAAAGCTCTCCAGGAACGTACGAATCTCTACTTCAGAAAACTTTTGGTCTCTCTCCCTCTACCTCAGAGGTTTTCAACTCTTCCATCGATCAAGAATCGAACCACGATGTTACTAATGACGTAATCGGTGAGACTCCAACTAGGGTTTCTGCATCTTCATCCTCTAGTGAAGCTGATCATCCCGGCGAAGACTCCAGTAAAAGCCATAGGAAACGAGAGTTGGTTGGAGATGGACGTGAAGAAAATCAAAGTTCCAAAAAAGTGTAAGTCATAACTATATTGCAATTTTTTATGGAATAATATGGAAATATTATCCCCTCATTAATCTAGCATGTTTCACTAACTTTATTATGTATAATTTCAGAGGGAAAACGAAAAAGAACGAGGAGAAGAAACAAAGAGAGCCACGAGTCTCGTTTATGACTAAAAGTGAAGTTGATCATCTTGAAGATGGTTATAGATGGAGAAAATACGGCCAAAAGGCAGTCAAAAACAGCCCTTATCCAAGGTAATTTTTTTTTTCTGCATTTGCATTTTATAACTTTAGGTAAAAACCAATATTCAAAATGCAATTCTAAAAAAAAACTAATAATTGTAAATGCAAACGAAAATATAGGAGCTACTATAGATGTACAACGCAAAGGTGCAACGTGAAGAAACGAGTGGAGAGATCGTTCCAAGATCCAACGGTTGTGATTACAACTTACGAGGGTAAACACAACCACTCGATTCCGACAAATCTCCGGGGAAGTTCCGCCGCGGCTGCTATGTACTCCGCTGACTTCATGACTCCGAGAAGCTTTACACATGATATGTTTCGGTCGTCGGCTTATACTAACGGCGGTGCTGCGGCGGCGCCTTTGGATTACGGATATGGACAAAGTGTGAATGGAAACCCTACTTCTCATCAAGAGTATCATCATGGTGGTGAATATGAGCTCTTGAAGGAGATATTTCCTTCGATTTTCTTCAAGCAAGAGCCTTGATCGATCAGTGTTACAGCTATACACTTATATATACTACTTATATATCTATATATAGAGAGGAAGAGAGATTATAATTTCCATTATATATGTAACTTAAGATCTTATTTTTTGTCTCTTATTGCATGTACATATTTTGTTTTTCATGAGAGAGTGAGACAGAGATTGTGCTTAGGATTATATTTGATGACGATTAATGGGTTACTTTAGATATATTTTTCTCTTAGGTATTTTTTCCTTCTGTCTGTAAAATCGTTGTTCCTGTTTTGGGTAGTTTTATGACATGATGTTATGTTGTGTAATGTGTGTACTATCATATGTAGAAGCAAAAAAAAAAAGACATGATTCTAGCTACAATATAAATATCATATATATTTTGATTTATTATTATGATTTTTGGGAAGTTTTAGTTTAGAATTAACAAGCTCACAAGAAATGAAAAAAATTATAATCGAAAATTTTAAGTTGTGGACGGCGGACGAATAACTGTGTGTGAACGATAGGAAGAGGCAAAACAAGTTGAGTTCTTCCTTGTGTTCTAAGAGAGAATGGACCCAAAGAAAGATTTGACTGCTTCTGCTTTCCATCTTATCCACACACATGGAAACATGCATAGACTCTGGACCAGTAGTATTACCCCTACCATGAAAACTGAAAAATCAATAACAAGAAAACAATATTTACATTCCACAAACGAGTAATAAATATAATAAGTAAAAAAACCGATGAGAGAAATGATTATATTGATTTTAACAAAAAAAGAAGAAATGATTATATTGGAAATATTTTAAATCTGAAATGAGTAATGGGTTATTCTAACATATCCCAAATTAACTCGATAAGTATATGGGAGTCTATAAGTTTATAAGTTAGTTTGTAAATACGGAATGAAAAGTTATTTCAAAACTGTATGTGCAAACTGCATGATATTGTAATGTATGTCTCACTTGAAGATCATTAGTTTGGGAGAAGACTCGTACATATATCAGTAACACTGTCTGTAGCTAGCAAATTATTTAAGTAAGCTAAGGAACTTTTAACTAACAACTATATATATATATACGTAAAGATGTATTAGAATTAATGATCGCTAACCACGAAATTTGGTTGCTGATTATACATATTTACATTCACCTTTCCATCCAATTATAGCATATTCCTACTGAAATAGTTATGGAAATAGCAGAGTTTAGTTATAGTAGAAATAGAGAGTCGAGATTCTAATAATGATATGAATTTTATACAAATGCACTGTCTGACGAAAACAATAATGCCAATTGTTTGTGAAAACTATAAATATACATATATTTTCAATATATATGTCGATCACCGGATCAGCGATACATTATTTGGGAGCGCATTTATGTCATATACCAAAGTTACTGAATGCATGAAATACATTTATATCTCAATTATATGATTCAGGAGAGCATCATAGATCATGTGGCTTCTGATATCTAACATGCGCCCTCCGATGGAACTTCACTTTCCTATTTGAAAATGAATTTCAATTAGAAATTCAACTGATATGTCCAATCCCTAGTCTATTCATGTTGATCAATTATCATTATTCATTTTGTATAAAATCACTTCAAATACAGTTGTTTGGAAGACGTATCTAAAAAAGTTTAAGTATTTTGAGAATACTTTTCATTTTTAGTATATCATTTTCACAATACCACTCGTTATATTTTGATTGGTGATTCCATATAAAAATCTTGAAACATTCGATCAATAGAGCTATAACATCACGTTTGACATATAATTCTTCCAAAGACAAGTACTATGTTGCAAAAATGTTTACGATTTTAAATAAACAAACATAATAAAATATATCCTTTATATGTTCTACATTTTGACCAAATTGGTACATGTTTTGACTGAAAATGATTTGGCCTACATAAATAAAATAACAGATGATATCAAGTCCAATCATACATCGAATCATATGGAAAATCCATTTAACACATATCTAAATTAGTATGATGAAAAAAAAATTAATATGATGAAACATTAATATTTATCTAGCATTTCTTAGTTATATAAATATCAATTTGTTGATACAAACAAATCTTGTGATAATGATATATTTATTCTTTTTCGGGGTCGTTATCAAATTTACCTAACAAAAACAAAAGGAAGCAAGAATGCTAGAAAGAGAAGCAACTGTAAAAGATCTTCCGGGAGAATCAAGTAATTGCCAAACCCCCTAGTCCCTAGACAATTATAATGACATGATGAAGATACTCTCTATATAAAGAAACCATATACATTTAACTATATAAGTCTAGAAAGCTCTCTTTGAAATGAATAATGAATTTTCTATATAGAAAACAATTTATCAAGTTTTTCCAATTCTAAGGAAGAGTTTAAAACTAGTCTACAATAGTGGAATAACATGTTTCCAATACGATCTTAGATGGATCGACATCGTTTCTAACAATTGGAGTGTAAAAATTGCTAACATACAACATTGGATGACTGTATTATCATGAAAATAATAAACGCGTGGATCGAATTTCAAGCTTTCTTTGTTTTAGTATAGTTTTAGATTTCGATTAATGGTTTCTTTAGATATGAAACCACCCATGAATAATACACGTGAAAAGATTCAGAGCACTATATTAAATCCACATCTCGTTAAACTGAATAATCTCATTTTTAACAATTAGACCATATATGCTTCTATATTCTCACGTAATGATGAGTACTTAAAATAAATAAATAAATCCTTATAACAATCTTTTTGTTGTTAAACAAAAAATTCTTATAGCAATTACGGTAGGAAAAGTAGAGGTAAATTTGTTAAACATATATTATAGTTTACAACTATAAAATATCGTTGGTCTAGTTAATTATATTTTTTACGACCTCTTTTTTGACTTACATATTAAAGCTAGTGTATAGAGAAAGTACATACGGATCAAAACACCTCTCTTCTCAATGAATAGTTGGGGTTTTGATCAAGTAAATTTATTTATTATCCTCCTCTTACATCTTTGATATACGTCTCTTCTTATTTAAATGATAGATCCAATTTTTAGGCACGCCATTTTTGTATCATATGTAGGAATCAAAGAACCAACCTAACGTGCTTAAATTAAATACATTCATGTAAAATATATAGTTTTAACATAGTTGAACCTTTTAATCCTTGGTATAAAGAACATAATTTTTGATGTGAAAGAACATTATTAGTTAGAATAATAAGCCTAAATGGACATGTATTTTTGGTGTATAAGTCGTGTATTTACATAAAAATTATAGTATATTCTTAACATTCAAAAATTTATCCCACAAAAACCTAATGGATGACACCGTCATACACATTTACACAGAAACTAGCCTAACAGTTTGGCCGGGGAATCAAGCCTAACATGAATATGATAATTCCTTACGTGTAGAGCGTAACCAATGACCCCAAAATATGAAAGCCCAAGTTGAGCCCATTTATCTTCTCTGGTCCCACACGGTAAATACATGGAATCGAAAACGGAATCGCGGAAACGGAAACGTTTGAAAGTGGAGAAGCAAAGTTTTCCAAAAATTTAGGAAGCGGTACGTGTTGGAAACGTATGGCTTAATGAATTTAATGGGCTTGAAATATATTAAACAAATAATTAGCTTAATTAAATAATGTTAAAAATAAAATAAAAACCGATAGTGATGACTTAATGGACTTGAAATATATTAAGCCTAACAAAATTGTAATGACAGGTCATTTTTTCTTCTATAATTTTAGTCGCAATTTGCAGCAACCTTTCCAACCACGAAGAACACGATTCTAACTCGGAATTGTATGATTTCTCAGCGTTTCCAAACAATAAAATTTTGGAATCGTGATTCTCCAACGATTCCGTACGACTCCGATTCCGATTTCAAAATGGGAATCGTAGCTTTTCAAGCGATTCCATGCAACGTAGGTAAATACTCAAGTTTGTTCTATTTTTTTCCTCTAGATTATGTAGTTTTTCCCTTTTACTACGAACTTGGCTTGTATCACAAGTCAGGCTAAGTGTTTCGTTTATACACCGTGTTTCGTATCTCTCTCTGAAACCCTAACTAGTCATTAACATTTCTTATTGTATGAAAAAAAAATTCCAGCCCGACGCAGAATGAATTGCAATCGGGGCAAAACAAGAAGACTAGCGAAATCATTCAGCCACCTGCGGATAATTTTCAATAGAACAATAGTAGAGAAAAGCCACACGTTTAGTTTCCAAGAATTGGTTGAAGTTTTAGAGCAAGATTCAAATTTTTTAGGGAGCCCAACAAATATCCTCATCACGCGTATTACAAGCACAAGCTCGCTGAATACTGTAGCTTGAAATCAAAATCGAGATCCGGATGATGATAGTGTTGATTATGATGCTAATGTCCAGCCTGAGGATCACCTAATTAGGAGTCTCAAGATCTTTGACACGCCTCCACATGTCAGAACTATAACTCTTATCAAGAGAACGGCACTTTTGGTTGCCAAAAAAAGGGGATTGAGTTTGAGAGGATGGTCATGACCCGTGTTGATTGCTATATTCAACTATTCGAGGTCGGTCCGGTAATTTGAGTTCGAAAGATCTTAAGTTGATCAGATTTTATTAAGTTCTCAGTTACAGTTCGTTCAGTTCGGAGGATTCTCAGCGAACTCAATACAATGTTCAGGTCTCTATTCTCCGGGTCCGAAAAAGATCCCTTCTAGAGTAACAATTCTACTATTTATAGTACACAAGCGAGGAGACGTTCTAGGGCTTCTCGTTCAGCTCTCACCGCCTCTTGTCGCTGGGCCTCTCTCTAATGGGCCGCGCTGTCAGGTCAGGCCCACTTCGGCTAAGACCATCGTAAACCGGGGTCAATTGGGCTGGTCTCGGTCTCTAACCGGTTTGGACCGGGGAGCGGAGCGTACCACCAACAGTATATCCCCCCCCCCAGTTCAGTAAATGGACCTGACTGACTTTTGCCGAATTAGAGTTAGATCGGTTTCAGGCTGAGGTCGGTGACGTTGAGTCCTCGGCTTACAACCTTCGTCGTCCCTGGTGCCTTGGCAAGGGTACTTAAGTATTTTTGCTTGCGGGGAATTGAAAAGACGCGTCAGTTTAGGTGGGAAATGGCGACATTACAAGGCGCAGAACTCGAAAAGTCGCAATGATTTGCTCTTTTTCCATAAATAGGGTTCAGCTCTCCCCATTTCCTACTTTCGCTCCTACTGCCAAGGTATTTGCTCTCCCTTCTCTCTAAATTTTCTTTTTTCTCTCTCTAGAGTTTTCGGTCGCCGTCCGCCGTGCTCTCTTGTCGACGATCATTCTCTCGAGCTCTCCGACGATGTCTTCCGGCTCTTCTTCCAATTCCGAGGCCGCGATCCTTCCCAAACACCGCAGGGAGGAAACTTCTACCGAGATCTCGAGCTCGGGATCTACGGAGCATTCCTAAAATGCTTCTTTGGTTCGGAAGAACTCCTGGGTCGTCGAAGTCGGCTCTGGTAGCCGAGTTCCGATTCGGGCTCTAGAACGGATGGATCCAAATCTCCGCGAGCCTGAGGGCCAAGTTCCTGCTGATTTGGTCCTGGAACGGGAGCCTGACGTGAAGACAGACGAGGACGCTCCGTTGCGCGAGGTCGGGGATGGAGGGGCGCAGGATCCCAATGACGACGATATGATGCCGATCGCGGATCGGCCGTGTATATGTGCCCCGGTAAAATCCACACTGTCATCTCCAGAGACAGTTCGGGCTGCTATGCTGACCGGCGGAGCCCCTCCCGGAATCATTATCCAGGTTCCTGAGCCGGATGAGCGTCCATGGGATGCACCCGAGGACTTCATCTGCGTCTATGAAGCCTATTTTCGCGAGGCCGGGTTGAAATTTCCCCTGCCTCGCTTGTTGTTTGCTTACTGCATTCGTCACGGGTGCGCGATCTCGCAGCTTCAGCCGGCGTCAATAGTGAATTTTGTCGGGATTGTCCAGCTCGGGCGCGGCATCCGGGCTCACATCAACGTGGCTCAATTCGAGGAGCTCTTTATTATGAAGGTCTCGGCGGCGAAGAGTTGGTTTCTGTCGGTGAATTGCAACCTGAAGTTCGACCTGGTGACTGGGAACAAGGCTAGCAAGTTTCCGAACTGGGACCAAAGTTACTTCTTTGTCCGCGTGGATTCGGTATCTGCTGAGAATCCGTAGAGCACGTTCCGGACTGGCTGGAGTGTCGATTTTGGTACATATCTCACGGTTAACTCCTCTGTTTTTTGGTCGGTACTAACAACGTTTTTGTGTTTATGCAGATCGCCACGTTCCAGGATTTATTCAGCGCTCCCTCACGTCCGACCTTGCGAAGCAGTTAAGTGCCGCCGGACAGCGCCGTTGGCCACTTGCCTACCGGGAGAAGATTGACCGTCGGATAAAGAGAGCTCAGGACAGAGGTATGAGTTCTCGGATCGTCTTGAATTTGTTATTATTCGGATTATGGTTGACACTTGTCTTTTGTAGCAAAAAATAAGACGGAACCCAGCTCGTCGAGGCCGGAACCGAAGAAGAGGAAAACGAAGAAAGTCAGCAAGTCAAGTCGGAGAAGGATGGCGTTCGACAGGTCGGATATCCCAATAATGGACTTTGGGGCTGATGAGGAAGACGACAACGCCCCAATCGACATCGTCGGTCTCGATGGGAACGAGGCCAGTGACGGTGCTGAAGCTGCTATCGGGGACGAGGTCGATAATGTCCCGGTCGGCCCAGTTGACCCCCTGATCCAGGTTGCGGAATCGGAGGGCGATGTGGTGGGAACACAGGTGACTCCTCAGCCTCAAATGGAAGAGGGGGAAATTGGTGAGCAGGATGAAGACGAGCTCACCATCGCCGACCGAGCCCGTAGGAAGAAAGGCAAGTCTAAGAAGTCGTCTCGGAAGAGGGATGGCGGGCCCGAGACGGTTGCGAGTGAGGGGACATTGGTCCTTCGCGACTCGCCTAACGCTTCTCAGGTTCCTCCAGCGGATCCGGCTGCTGAGACCAAGAACCCGAGGTCGTCCAAAAGGCGCCGGACTTCCGACTCGTCCTCTTTCTCGGTCCGACTTAAGTACAACAAGGACCGGTTTTTCTTCGACAACTCGTCTGCCTGCGCCGAGCTCTTCAGGCAGATCGTGCCGGCCTCGTCTCCGATGCCTGAGACGAAAGACCTCTTCCGTCCCAAGTCTTACGCTCGGGTCACGAAATCTGCCTCTGCTGTAAGTTTCCCTCCGCCTTGAATACTTTAGCTTTTTTATTTTCGAAGTGTTTTGACTTGGGTTCTATTTTCAGCTCGTCTGCGATACCAATGAGCTCGTTCGTGAGTACGACTCCGAGGTCGAGAGGCTGAGGAGGATCAATGCTGAGGTCGCTGCTGAGATGGCGTCTCTGGAAACGTCGTACCGGGACGAAAAGGAGAGGTACGAGGCTGCTGTACTGGCCTTTACTGAAAAGGAGAAGGAGAACGCGGCTCTGAAAGAGCAAGTCAAGGCTATGATGAAGCGAACTGTCGAGCTGGAGGGGGACGTGGACGCTCTGTCCAAGTCGTTCAAAACAAGCGAGCTCGAGAAGCGGAGGTATCGGGATGCTGAGTCGAAGGGAAAGAAGATGCTGGCCGCCCTTAGAGGCAAGTGCGAGGGGAAGCTCTCCAAGATGAAGGACTTCATGGACAAGTCTGAACTCCGGAAAGCGCCATTCCTCAAACTCAACCAGGCGACGGCTCTGGTCGGCTTCTGCGACTTCCTCAAGCGGGAGCACAACATGATCGTCCCGTCTCACATCGTGGAGACGTATGAGCGCAGGATCAGGAACTGCACAAAGGAGGTCGATGGCATCCCCCTTCCGCGGTTCCAGAACGAAGATTTCCTCCTCCCAAGCGACGACGACCTCATCCCGAGGATTGTGCTTCCACCGGGGACGCAGGTTCCAGAGGGCTTGGATTAGTTCGGCTCGAACTCCAAGTCGATCTCGGCTGACCGGGCGGCAAGACTCAAGAGTCCGGTGTCCGTTGCTCGTCAATGAATCATCCTCTCAGTTTTTTTTTTTATTTTGATGTTGTAAAGACTTTTCTGCCCAAGTTGCTCGGGTTTTTTACTTAGTGTTTTATTTTGACCGCCGTTTTTAGGCGTTGTATTTGTTGCCGTCTAGTTCGGTAAACTTGGATATCTTTATGAAATGGACATGGTCTCCCTTTATCTCGACTGTTACTTAGAATTTTCTTTTGATATTTCACTGCGGACTGTTGGGAGTTTAGCTTGTTTTGATTAATTTTGGAGTTCGTGATGTTATTGCGACGATGCAGACAAACTCGGGGAACTCTTCGAGCTTGAATCGCGGTCGGCGGATTGTTGTTCGAAAGAGTGAGTGCGGGTTGGACTCCGGCTTTGAATAGTGGGCACCGTGGGGTGCGGGCGAGACGGATCCCGGCTTTTGAGATTGTATTCATGGGGAATACTTAGTTCGATCTCCTGGCCGGGGAGTGGATTTATGGAGTTAGTTATAGAAATGAAAAAGGAGGATTTTTATTGGATTTGTAGCTGGACTCGAAATCGAGCTGCCTACGTACCCTTTTGCAAGGGATCAAGCCACTCGTAGTTCAGTTTACAGGGGTGAGTTCGGCCGGAGCCGGACTGGTTTTTTTTTTTTTTTGGGTCCGCGCGCTTGTTGGCTGGGACTTAGTAATAGTATCGCTTGAGATTGGCTGAGTTCCAGGATCGCGGGATCGGCGTTCCGTCGAGCTGCATGAGTTCGTAAACCCCAGGCTTGACGATTCTCATTATCTGATATGGATCTTCCCAGTTCGTTCCCAGTTTTCCTGCATTTAGCTCCTCAGTGTTCTGGAACACTTTGCGTAAGACGAGGTCGCCTTCATCGAAGTGCCGACCTCGGACTTTTTTGTTGTAGTACCGAGCAGCGAGGTTTTGATAGTTCTGAATTCGGAGGAGAGCTAAACAGCGTTGCTCTTCCAAGTTATCGAGGTTGTTGACCATCATCTGGTCGTTGAGATCGGGATCCTCGGGGAGCACTGAGTACCTTAGGGTTGGAATACTCACTTCTGCCGGGCAGAGGGCTTCGAGTCCGTACGCTAAGTAAAAAGGTGACTGTCCGATCGATCGTCTTGGAGTAGTTCAGTGCGACCATAAGACTCCATCGAGCTCGTCTGCCCAGGTACCTTTCTTAGCATCAAGACGTTTCTTTATGCCGTCCAGGATTGTCTTATTGGTTGCCTCGGCTTGGCCATTGCCTTGCGGATATCGCGGGGTAGAAAAACTAAGGCGGATTTTGAACTTTGCGCACCACTCATTGAACGTCCCTGCAATAAATTGTGGTCCGTTGTCCGTGACGATCTTGTGCGGGACCCCGTGTCGGCAAATGATATACTTCCAAACGAATTTTTGTATGTCTAGTGCGGTAATCTCCGAGTATGCTTCGGCCTCGACCCATTTGGTGAAGTAGTCAGTCATAATCAAGACATACTGCTTTTGATTTGTTGATTTGTTGATGTCCATAGCCCACCGCATAAACGGGTAAGGGGCCGTACTGGTTTGCAGCAGCTCGGTCGGCACGTTAATCATTGGGCCATGGCGCTGGCACTTATCGCACTTCCTGACAAACTTCTCGCAGTCCGCGTTCATCGTCGGCCAGAAATAGCTGGCTTTTTTTATTTTCAGAGCAAGAGATCGACCTCCGGAATGGTTGACACCGGACCCGTCATGGATTTCGCGCATGATTTCGACTGTATCATTCCCGGAAACGCAGGCCAGGAGTACACCGGATGCACTCCAACGGAATAGCTTATCTTTATGCATTGTGTAATGGGCAGCCCGGACTTTCAGACGGCGAGCAGCCCATTTGTCTTCGGGGACTTTGCCGTTGAGGAGGTACTCTCGCAGTCCGGCTGTCCAATCTTCGGCGGACTCGCTTTCCTGGCTTTCGCTGGTTGACGGACTGTGGTGTCCTTCGGTTATGAGCTCGAAGTCGTGACCGGCAGCTAGGTCTTCTGGATTGTTCTCGGCGTTTTCTTTAAGTTCCTTGCTCGGCATTCTTGTTCGTCCGGGTCGACTTCCTGTTTTGCGTACTTGCCGAGGTCGGATTTTCGTCATAGTTCCGTCGGCGAGTAGCAACATTACATTTCAGCGCGGTTTGGATACTTGGTTCTGAGATACTTTTGACCGGGATCCTTCTCTTCATATGCGGGTCAGAACTGGATGCCAGGGCGGCTAATGCGTCGGCGGACGAGTTCTCGCCGCGAGGGATTTTCGTGAGTTCGAACGTCTCAAACTTAGCGATGAGTACCTTAGTCGCTGTTAGGTATGCGTCCATTCGTTCGTTCTTGGTCGTGTATTCTCCACTTAACTGACTTGCGACGAGCTGCGAATCGCAGAAAGCGTGAAGATGTCGTACGCCGAGCTCGACAGCCAATCGCAGCCCGGCAAGTAGGGCTTCGTACTCAGACTCGTTGTTAGTTGCTGGAAACTCGAGGCGGAACGACTGTTCGAGGATCTCGCCGTTAGGGGACTTGAGGCGGATTCCGACTCCTGATCCCCGGTGAGATGACGATCCGTCGACACGCAGAATCCATAGTTCGCGAGGCGGCTGTTTGACGACGAACTCTTTGGGAAGTTCGATCAGAAAATCGGCGAGTACCTAGGATTTCGTGCTGTTTCGATTCTTGTACTCTATGTCGTATTCACTTAGTTCGACGGCCCACTTCGCGAGGCGACCTGATTGGCTTGGACTATGTAGAATGGTTCGGAGTTGCTGGTCGGTCAAGACCGTAATTGAATGAGACTGGATATATGGCCGACGTTTCCGAGCAGAAACTACCACTGCAAGCGCCAATTTTTCTAAGGTCGGATACCTGACCTCGGCGTCACTTAGCGATTTGATGACATAGAATATTGGACGCTGTTCTCCCCTATCCTCGCGAACTAGAACACTGCTAACTGCCGATGTCGAGATAGCGATGTATAAGAAGAGCGTCTCGCCGTGCTCGGGCTTAGCTAGAATGGGGGGGGGTTGAGAGATACGTTTTCAGCTGCTTGAAGGCGTCTTCGCACTCAGCGCTCCAGGTATGATGCTTGTTACCTCGTAACAACTGGTAGAAAGGCAGGCATTTATCCGTCGACCTGGAGATAAATCTGTTCAAGGCGGCGATTCGGCCTGTGAGTTTTTGCACTTCCCTTTTTGAAGTCGGAGAAGGTAGGTCTAGAACTGCGGATATCTGCTTTGGGTTAGCCTTGATGCCGCGCTCGGTGACGATGTAACCCAGGAATTTGCCTGCTGTCACGCCGAAAGTGCACTTAGCGGGGTTGAGTTTCATCCCGTACTCGTTCAGAATGTCGAAACACGTTGATAGGTGCGATATATGGTCCTTAGCGTGCAGGGATTTAACCAGCATGTCGTCGATGTATACTTTCATCGTTTTTCCGAGCTGACTGGCGAACATGCGGTTCACGAGTCTTTGATAGGTGGCGCCCGCGTTCTTGAGGCTGAACGGCATGACCTTATGGCAGTAGATCCCTCGATCAGTAATGAACGAAGTCTTTTCCCGATCATCCGGATGCATTAGGATTTGGTTATACCCCGAAAAGGCATCCATGAAAGACAACAGTTCATTGCCTGCAGTTGCCTCTACCAACCGATCAATGTGTGGCAGTGGGAAGCTATCTTTGGGACAAGCTTTGTTCAGGTCGGTAAAATCGACGCAGATCCTCCACTTTCCATTCTTTTTCTTCACGACTACCGGGTTTGCTAGCCAGTCCGGGTATCGAACCTCTGTGACCGAACCGGCCTTGAGTAACTTTTCGACCTCATCATTTACTGCTCGTGCCTTCTCGGGTCCGAGCTTGCGTCTCTTCTGTTTGATAGGTTTACATGTGGGATCGATGTTTAGCTCGTGGCAAGTGATGTCGGGATTGATTCCGGGCATGTCGCTGATATTCCATGCGAACGTGGAAACGTTTCTCTGGAGGAAACTGATGAGTGCTTCTCGGATACTGTTGTCCAGCTCGGCCCCTACGCCGACACATTTCGTTGGATCTGTTGGGTCAATGCCGACTTGGTCGACCTGGCTCTGCTTGGGTGGACCGAACTGGCTTTCTGCGGCCGTACGACCGTCCTGAAAGGGGCTTATGACGCATGTCCGTGCCATGCTTAATTTGCACTGGCTTCCTTTGAGTGTGAAAATCCCTGACGGGGTCGGGAACTTGACGCATTGATGGAACGTTGAAGCGACGGCCTTCATGTCGAACAGCCAGGGCGTTCCCAAAATCGCATTGTATATCGCCGGTTTGTTGAGGACCAAGAATTTGATCATTCGAGCCGCCCCGCCGACGTAGATGGGTATCTTCACTGTTCCTACTGTTCTTGTTTTCTCTCCGGTGAACCCGGTCAATGATTCCATGTAGGGCTTGATCTCGGAGTCCGGAAAATCCATATTCTTTAATGTTTCTTTGAATATGACGTTTACCGAGCTCCCTGTGTCGATTAAGATTCTGCTTACTTCGACATCTCCGAGCTGGAGTTCGACGACGAGGCAATCATTGTGAGGCATGTGCACTCCCCGCAGGTCGGCTTCGGTGAATAACAGTGGTACGGTTGTGACCGTTGTCTGGGGTTGTGAACTCGACGCTTGCCGACTGTATTCTTTGAGGGCTCGGACAGAGTAGTTGCATGATTCAAGGGCTCCCATGATCATATTGACCTTCTTCCTGGTTTTGGGCACGTTCGCCTCTCTATTAGGTGCTTCGCGGTCTCGTTTAGGGGGAGCGACCTGTTCGTCATCGGAGTCGGTTGCCTTGGCAGCTTCTTGATTGCCAGGTTTGTTTGGTCGCGGGTTCGGCCGCCAAGGTCCCGGTTTAGGCAAATCCGCGGTGTCGATCTCGCCCTTGCGGAACTGTTGAAGTAAGAAATGCCTCAAATGTCAGCATTCCTCCGTGCTATGCCCATATCGCTCGTGATACTCGCAAAAACGCTCACTCAGTGGCGTATCGTCGTCCTTGTGCCATGTGTTCCAAGATTTTGGAGGTCGTCCTGTCCTCTGGTTCGACGGTCCTGCTTGGTTTACTACTCTGCGCGGTTTCCCGGGCTGGACCTTCGTTTCTGAGCTCTCTTTGGGGGTTGGCGTTTGGCCTGACTTTAGGGTTGAATACTGCCGATCCTTGGCGGCTTCTTCTTCTTCTTCCGCGATGAAGATGTTTGACTTATGGAGCGCGTCCTCGAGGGTGAGCGGTCTGTTCCTGCGAAGCTCTTTGTGAAAGGGGGATTTATACCACGTTTTCTGATACAAAGCCTCGAGAGCGGCTTCATCGTCCACTGTGCAGTGTGCTACGATCTGCTTGAAACGTGCCATGAAGTCTCGGAGCGACTCATTCTCGCCCTGTGATATCTCCCACAGCTCGGAGTTACGAGTTTTCTGTCCGATAAACATCGAGAAATGCTTTGCGAACTTCGTCGAGAGTTCATTGTAGTTGTCGATGGAGTCGGCCTCCAATCTTGAGAACCAGTCTAGAGCAATGCCTTCGAGGTGTTCGACGAACAACTGGCATTGAATCGCGTCCTTCTGTTCGGCCGAGGTAAACTTCAGTCGGTTAATTACGATACCGAACGAGGTAAGGAAATGCCTTGGATCGGAGTTCCCCTCGTACGATCGTAGCTTAAACTTTTCTAAGTTTGGGACGGGGACGTTGGTGATTCGGGAAGTGAACGGTGTTTTCTGTGCTTCATGGATTACACGGTCGATTTTGGGTGCCGAGCTGGTGGCTTGGTGAAACTTTGAACTGATCTCTCGCAATTGAGCCTGCATCCGCTCAATCTCCAGGTCGCGTGCTGTTGGTTGAGCTCGCACGTGCTGAGATGGGCTCTCTGTCTGCTGGTACTGCTGAGCTACTAACCGTGCCGCTGTGCATTGCGGGTCTCGCTCCTCTTGGAAGTCACTAATGAGGTTCCGTCTTCTGATCGGACTCTCTTGCTGTAGGCTGGAGATCTGTGCGGTGAGGGTTGCGAACTTCGCGTCGTTGCTTCTGACCAACTCTTGCATCTGTGCGGCGAAGGCGTTCATAAGCGCAGTTGGATCGAAGGTAGCTTAAGCTCGGATTGGTGAGGTCTGGTGCGCCCCGTCGCTTGAGCTCGGCTCCGTCCTGATTTGTTGCGCTTCCGATTGGGGTTGTACGGGGATGCGCTCGCATTCCTCCATAGGCCCTCCGACCTGGCCGGCAGGTCCTCCGTCCTGGGTGATTCCATCTGCACAGGTCATCTGACTTCCGACCTGGACTGAGGTCGGTTGTCTATCATCACTTGTCATATCGTCCTGGCCGATTACCGAACCGGCCCCACGGTGGGCGCCAATTGTTGATTGCTATATTCAACTATTCGAGGTCGGTCCGGTAATTTGAGTTCGAAAGATCTTAAGTTGATAAGATTTTATTAAGTTCTCAGTTACAGTTTGTTCAGTTCGGAGGATTCTCAGCGAACTCAATACAATGTTCAGGTCTCTATTCTCCGGGTCCGAAAAAGATCCCTTCTACAGTAACAATTCTATTATTTATAGTACACAAACGAGGAGACGTTCTAGGGCTTCTCGTTCAGCTCTCACCGCCTCTCGTCGTTGGGCCTCTCTCTAATGCGCCGCGCTGTCAGGTCAGGCCCACTTCGGCTAAGACCATCGTAAATCAGAGTCAATTGGGTCGGTCTCGGTCTCTAACCGGTCCGGACCAGGGAGCGGAGCGTACCACCAACAACCCGTACTGAGGATGATCCAAGATTCAACTGTCCATGAGTAAGAGTCTTTTCGCTGAGAATACCTTGGCTGTTTAATGGTTGTCAAATGCATATGCAGAGCAATAGCTCCATCTGAACGAGGATCCGAAAGTTTCAATCCAACCATTTCTTCACTTGCTTCAGCCACAGTTGCATATATATAGGACTACGTAGATTTCTATAGTAGTCCCTCATCCCCCAACAGCTTGTTAAGAGGGCCTAAAAGAGTCCAAGAATCATACCTAAAACGCGCCACAAGACCATTCCCTAATGAGCATTTCACAAACCTCTCTACAAGATTTCTTAATTTCAACAGATTTTTCCAATTTCATGAATCACGACACTGCTCCACAACAGACCAGAAACTAGCCTTTCTGATGTTTCTCTGCAAGGTTGCCCTTTATATTATATTTAGCTCAAGATTAATATTAAACCATTTTACCAAAAAAATAATAATATCTGATTGAGCTCCAAAACGTTTATGTAGCACTGATCATATTTTAAAAGAAAAAAAAATTCAATGCCAAAGATTTGGAGACTCTCATTTCTTGTTCTTCTTAAACTTCTTCTTCGCTTCATCCTTGACAGTGAGAACATCGACGCGGCTCAACTGAAATTGAAACGCCGGAACAATCTTGCTTCCGTAGCTACAATAACTTCCCGACCAATCAAAGCTTCCAAGTCTAGCATTACAATTAGGACACATCAACTTCCCTTGCGACACACCATCTTCCACTCCATTCATCCAACTCATCGGCTCTACAAATACAGAAGTACACTGCTTCTGCTGCTGCTCGCCACCATGATTCTTGTTCTGAACATCTCCGTTCATGTTTGCAAACATGGCAGAGAACTCTAGATCAGCCTCACCTGGAGTATGATTCATCACTTGCTCTTGAAGCAACACAACTCTCCTGCATTTCTTGCACTGGTACGTAGATGTATCACCACCACTATTACTCTTCTCCGGATCTGCCCTCAGCTTTAACCTGTCGAATTTCTTATCTTGACTATATATATAACCTAAAGCTTTAAGACGGAACCGCTTGAAAATAGGGCTTGAACGGTCGACTTTAAAGTTCATCTTCTCAAACAGTTCCAACTGTTTTAAAAACCCTTGATTGGGACTCACGTTAGAGCTTTGTCTCAGTGAAGCCAAAGCATCTTTTACAGACAGCTTCTCGGTTCTCATCAGATACGCAATGACAATAGAAGCACTCATCATCATCATCATCACCTACGTAGACTCGTTTGATTTCTTTCGACTCTAATCTCACGTTTTGCCATTCCTCGAACGTTTTGCCAATCGAAGGGCTGTGTAAAACTGTTAGAACATGTGAGATTTCAGAGCTACCATTCTTGAGAATTTCAGCTGCTGCGCAGAAATCTCCAAGGAATAGATTCTCCCTGATTAGGTCAAGTTTCGACATTGATTGTGTCCAAAAAGAAAAACCCTAAGTTTGATTTGCTTGTGACCAGCGATGAAACACTCAGCAGAGAAGAGAAGAGAAAGGAGCGATTGTTTGCTTGTGACCAGCGACCAAACTCAGTTTTGATTGGCACTGCGCGAATGAACTCTCTTTTAGGTTTCTCTCTATTTCACGACATCACTGCTTCTCTTTCCATCGGGTGGATTGATTTTACTTCCAAAAAATGGTAACTGGGTTGGGCCCAATAAATAAACCCAATTTAAGCCCATTTATCTTCTCTGGTCCCACGCGGTAAATTCTCAATTCTCTCAGTACTTCAGTAGTGGGAAAGGAGTTCATGGCAGTTTCTTTCACTTTTTAACTCCCCGAAAAAGAAAATGATTTTTTTTTTTTTTCCGTGTCACGATTCGTTTTAATTACTACAGCTCTAAAAGCAGTTTCTTCACCTTCATGAGCATAGTGGAAGATGGAGTCTGCGATTTTTCATTACCTCAGAGTTCTAATTCTCTTCTTCTTCTTCACATTATCTTCTTTCAGTTTTGTTCTTCGTGGAGACATAAACTTGTCTTTGAGAAACAGAGTCCGTAACATTGATAAAAGCTCTGTCCTTATTGTTAATGTCCATAGTTTTGGTGCTCGAGCTAACGACCATAGAGATCACACCAAGGTTCTCTCTCTCTTTTTTTCCTTCGTAATCTGCTTTTCATTTTATAGATCCAATCACTGTTAACTCACTGGAATCAGCTAATCCCATTGAGATATTGTTTTATAAGGCATTTGAAGCAGCATGGGACAAGGCATGTAAATCATCTTCAAGCTCTGTAGATCTTATAATCCCAAGAGGTGAATTCTCTGTTGGTCCTCTCAGATTCTCTGGTCCTTGCACTAACGTATCCAATCTCACTGTCCGAGTTAAGGTAATCTATTAAACTCTCCCCTCAATTCTATCTCTCTTTTGAAACTCTCCCCTCAATCTCTATATATCTCTCTCTCTTTGAATCTGCTTTTGGCATGTGTTTCATTAATGTTTCCTTGCTATACACGTGACTGAATTAGGGTCATCTCAAGGCATCAACTGATCTGTCAAAGTATAGATCAGGTGGAGGTTGGATTGAGTTTAGATGGATCAACGGTTTAACTCTTACCGGAGGTGGAACATTTGACGGTCAAGGCGCCGTAGCTTGGCCGTTTAATAACTGTACTACCGATTCTAACTGCAAACTCCTCCCAACAGTGAGATAAAAACGTTTGAATGTGTGATCATAAGTATTGTCTCCTTTTGAAGGAAATGATTGATTTTTGTTTTTTTTTGCTGTTGATTTTCAGAGCTTGAAGTTTGTGGGGATGAACAGAACAGTGGTAAGAAGGATAAGCTCAGTGAACAGCAAGTTCTTTCACATGGCATTAGTTGAGTGCAGAGACTTCAAAGGCACAAGACTCAACATCACTGCTCCTTCTGATAGTCCAAATACAGATGGTATTCATATCGAACGCAGCTCCAATGTCTATTTCTCGCGTTCACATATAGCCACTGGAGATGATTGTGTCTCTATAGGACAAGGAAATTCTCAGATCACAATCACTAGTATCAAATGTGGACCAGGACATGGTATCAGGTAAAATTGATCAAAACCGCCTTTTTTTGTAACTGTTGTTGTTGCAGAGTTTATAAACGGTTTTGTTTTCTTGCGTTTGAAGCGTTGGGAGTTTAGGAAGATATCCAAATGAGAAAGATGTGAAGGGGCTGGTGGTGAGGGATTGCAAGATGAGCGGTACAACGAATGGGATAAGGATCAAAACTTGGGCTAATTCTCCTGGTCTTAGTGCAGCTACCAACATGACTTTTCAGAACATTGTTATGAAGAATGTGACTAATCCAATCATCATTGATCAGTCTTATTGTCCTTTCTCTTCTTGCACTTCAAATGTAAGTCTTCTTTATCACTTAACTCTCTAGCTACTTCTCTATTTTCTAAAAATATAACGGTTATCTATAGACAAATTATCAGTTTATGTTAAACGACTGTAATTAATCAGCCTTTGTGAGTACTTAGACCCTGTCATGATAATTACATTTCCAGTTACTCTCTTTAGAGTGACATAACATCAAGAACCAAAGTAGACTTAATCTACCTCTATATATAACGGGCAATAGCCCCGGTTTAACCATTGATTTTGTGATATCAGCTTAGATTCTGTGATAAGTACTACATTTTTCAGGTACCCTTTAGAGTAAGTGTGAGTGACATATAACTTCAAGAACATAAGAACCATACCGCGTTGATCTGAGTGACATTGAATGTTTTACTAGAGATTTGTTACTGAAATGGGTCTGAGAGCACTGTTTTGGTTCATTTCCTTGTTGCAGGTACCGTCGAAGGTGAAGCTGAGTGATATATACTTCAAGAACATAAGAGGAACATCATCTTCGAGGGTGGCTGTGCAGCTACATTGTAGCAGAGGAATTCCATGTAAGAAAGTGTTCTTAGAGAATGTTCATCTCTATCTTTCTTCTTCTGGTGGAGGAATTGGAGAAAACCAGAGCAGAAACAGAGGAAGTGAAGCTGTCTCTTCTTCTTGTAGATACGTTAGAGCTAGATACATTGGGACTCAAATCCCACCCCCATGTCACTAATTTTCATCATCATCGTCATGTAGTTGTTCTTGTAATTTAACTTCTGTGCCTTGTTTTGTCTTTTTGGACACGTTTTCTTATAAAGTTAGAGACTTTTGTTAGATAATTCGATAGCATCATCCTAAAGAAAAATCTTGGCTAATTAAAAGATTATTCATAAGAAAAATATTGGTTAGTTTAAAGATGGAATGCGAAATCATTGGGGGAGATGGTTCATGTCAAGAGCACCATCTAACAATTTCCGGGTAATAGCTTGCACAGATTATATCCATACACAACTTATTATTTTAGTAACTATATATTTAATATAAGTAATAACAAGATTGTTTATAAAGTAATAATTTATGCACCTTTATATAAGTAATCAAGGACACATCATCTTTACTTGTTCCCTGAGATATTGCTCCCTCCGGCTTCTATGATGGAAGTAGAATCAGAAACTCAAGAACTCCATATTCACGTCAATGGAGGTAAGTAGTATAACCAATACAAATGTAATCAATCAAACCATGGTATAGCGCTTCCTGTGTTCTTATCTTACATATGACCTTGTTCTGTTTTCATGTGTTGATCAGAACCTGCAAGAAAATTTTCAACAGAACAGAGAAGTCACAACTACTCATGGAGGTTAAGAGTGTCTCTCTATGTCACTCTCCTATTAGCTGGAGAGACAATAGCCACTCTCTTGGGTAGACTTTACTACGACAAAGGCGGAAACAGTACATGGCTCGAGACTTTGGTTCAGCTTGTTGGGTTTCCTTTAACCCTTCCTTGCTATTATTACATAAAACCTGAGCCTTCCAAGTCTAAAATCATAACCAAAAATACAACTTCTTTCTTTTCTACACTATCTTTAGTGTATATTGGACTTGGCTTGCTTGCTGCTGGACACAGTGTTCTGTACTCCTTTGGATTACTCTACCTTCCAGTTTCTACTTTCTCTTTGATATCTGCGTCGCAATTAGCGTTTAATGCCGTCTTTGCTTACTTCCTAAACTCCCAAAAGTTCACACCATTTATACTCAATTCACTTGTTCTCTTGACCATATCTTCTACACTTCTTGTCATCCAAGATGAGCCTGAATCTTCCACTTCGAAGTCATTAGCCAAGTCCAATTATGTGATTGGATACATCTGCGCGATTGGTAGCTCAGCTGGTTATTCTCTGTTGCTTTCTTTAACAGATTACGCGTTCGAAAAGATTCTAAAGAAGTACACTTTCAAGGCGATTTTAGACATGGTCACATATCAGTCTTTGGTAGCTACTAGTGCCGTTGTGGTTGGACTCATTGCAAGTGGTGGTTGGAAAATGTTAAGGACAGAAATGGAAGAGTTTAGGCTTGGGAAAAGCTATTACCTATTGATAACTATTGGTGCGACGATATCGTGGCAAGCTTGTTCGATTGGTAGTGTGGGTTTGATTCTTGAAGTTTCATCGCTTTTCTCAAACGTTATAAGCACTCTTTGTTTACCTGTTGTTCCAGTTCTTGCTGTTGTGTTCTTCCACGATGAGATGAGTGCAATCAAGTTGATAGCAATGTTTTTGGCCATTTGGGGATTTGTTTCTTATGCTTACCAGCATTATGTCGATGATCCAAAACCAGAAGAAGATCAGCAAGAGATTCCTCAACCTGAAGAAGAAGATGAAGAACCACAAGAAGATAACGGTATCATTCTGGCTTAGACAAAGACCCAAGGGCGGAAGGGCCCAATGAGGTTTTATAATTGAAGAGAATAGTAGGATATTACTATGATTTAGTGTTCTTGAAAAAAGAAAAAAAAACTCGTCGAGGGAGAAAATTGTGGGATGATGATATTGATTTCCGTTTACCTTTTTTTTTATTTTTGTGCTAATAAGATTATATGACATACTGTTGCAACACTCCTGGAATAAATGATATCTATTCTATTTGGACAGAAAATTTTGATTCCTGTATAAATGCAAAGTCACATCCGATTTCCATAAGATTATGATGAGTAGAGGAAAAAAACAGAGATATATTGAAGAAATTAGATTAATTTCTGAACTGCTTCGTGATAGTTTAGCACTTTAGCTAACTAAAAATCTAAAACACACATTTCATAATTTATCAACATATAAAGGAATGAGAATGCGCATGGATTATAGGCTTTTCACAATCCAAAGCATACCCAACAACTAGACGAAACAGAGGAACATCTTCACTTTTGTTTTAGTTATATTAAATTGATAGTTATTAATTACATTTATCATTTGACATTGAATGTTTAACTGTTTTAATTTGTTTATATATTAGATTAATAAAGCAATCCTTAACGGGATCATTATTTTTTCTGTAATCCACCATTATTTATATATTCCCTACGTTTTCACAAAGAGTGTTGTTCTGACACTTTTTTTTTATTTCAAAAAGAATGTCGTTTTAGAATTCCAATGTAATTTTTGACATAAAATACCATTTTTAACCTAAAAAAATTCAGAAAATTAGTTATAAATATAATTCCAAAAGTTATTTTCTGCAAATTAATAAGGGTATAAAAGACCTTTTATCTTTTTTCTTAATTTGTGTGCAGAATGTCAAAACGACACTCTTTGTGAAACGGAGGGAGTATGTGTTTATATACAAATCATTAAACATACTAATATCATTTCCGTAATTTTTTATATAATTTAATTTATAGTAAGAGTTTTAATTTCTTAATAATGAACTTCTCCCTTTTCATTATAGAATATCAATTTCATATGATAATCAATATTTTTTTGGTAAAACTATTAATAAATCTTATTAAAATAGGTTAGAGGAAGATTTTATCAGTTACATTTATCATTTGATTTCTGATTTATTAACTATTTTATGTGTTCACATATACATATCTAAATATACTATGATAATATTTTGGTATATTCAATTTAATATATGGAGTTAGTTATGTTGGTAATTTAATAAAATTGATTATAAAAGAATTATTTAAAGTGAGCACTCATCATCTTTATTTGTTCCATGAGATATTGCTCCCTCCGGTTTCTATGATGGAAGTCGAATCAGAAACTCAAGAGCTCTGTCTTCACGTCAATGGCGGTAAGTAGTTTAGTCCCTACAAGGTTGAATCAATCAAACGAATACAGCAATTTCGGAATAGAGCTTCTTGCGGTCTTGTTTTTATATACTTATGTTCTTGTTTTCATGTGTTGATGATAGAACATGCAGGGAAATTTTCAACAGAACAAAGAAGTCAAAACTACTCATGGATGTTAAAAGTGTCTCTCTACGTAATTCTCCTCTTAGCTGGAGAGACAATAGCTACTCTCTTAGGAAGACTTTACTACGAAAAAGGTGGTAAAAGCACATGGCTCGAGACCTTGGTTCAGCTTGTTGGGTTTCCTTTAACCCTTCCTTGTTATTATTACATAAAGCCTGAGCCTTCCAAGACTAAAGACATAACCAGAAAAACTATTTCTTCCTTCTTGAAACAGTCTTTAGTGTATATTGGACTTGGCTTGCTTGTTGCTGGACAAAGTGCTTTATATTCTTTTGGATTACTCTACCTACCTGTCTCAACTTTCTCTTTGATCTCTGCTTCACAATTGGCTTTTAATGCAATCTTCTCCTACTTCTTAAACTCACAAAAGATCACATTTCCAATACTCAATTCAATTGTTCTCTTGACCATATCTTCAACACTTCTTGTCATCCAACCTGACCCTGAGCTTTCTTCTTCCAAGTCCATTGCCAAATCCAATTATGTGATTGGATACATCTGCGCAATTGGTAGCTCAGCTGGGTATTCTCTGGTGCTTTCTTTACAAGATTACGCGTTTGAAAATATTCTAAAGAAACACACTTTCAAGGCGATTTTAGATATGGACACATACCCGTCTCTGGCAGCTACTTGTGTAGTTGTAGTTGGACTTTTTGGAAGTGGTGGGTGGAAAATATTGAAGACAGAAATGGAAGAGTTTCAACTTGGGAAAATCTCTTATATTCTGATAAATCTCGGTGCAACGATATCATGGCAAGCTTTTTCGATTGGTAGTTTGGGTTTGATTCTTGAAGTTTCATCGCTTTTCTCAAATGTTATAGGCACTCTTGGTTTACCTGTTGTTCCTTGTCTTGCTGTTGTGTTCTTCCGCGATGAGATGAGTGGAATCAAGTTGGTTGCAATGTTGTTGGCCATATGGGGATTTGTTTCTTATGCTTACCAGCATTATGTCGATGAACCAAAAACAAAAGAAGTAAATCAGGAGAAAGAAGAAGAAGAGCAAGAGCTTTTTCAACCTGAAAAAGAAGAAGCACAAAAATATAACATTTCATAACCTATGAACTTCTATCTTATAGAGAACAGTGTAATAGGAGCAACATGATAAAAGGAAAAAGTAACTCTTTTTGCTTCCCTTGCAACAAAATTTGTTTAATGCCAAGTGTAATAGGCCTCCCTCTCTTGTTATATCTATGTTGACTTCTGAGTCCATTACTAAGCCAAAAAGTCAAGAATCAAAAATAAAACAAATGTACACTTCCAATATGATTCGAGTGAGATAACGAAATAAAGCGTTTCACCAAACACAGCCTATTTTTAACAACGTTGAGTTTAGGAAGTTCGCTTAGAGCCGCCAATTAAAAGGTTTCAAGAATTCCGAGTCAACGGTAAATAAGAGCAGACCTTTAATAAAATATGATGCACTTGCCTCAAGCTCCCATCTATATAACAGCTTGACTAAAAATCTGTTTGTGGGAAGTTCTCTTAGAGCTGCCATGGAAAGAACTCAAGAAATCTATGTCAATGGTAAGCAAGAAGCATCTCTTTGTGTAGATCCCTTTGAAAATCATCTGAAAACATGCAGATCATTTGATACTGTTCATAAAATATGCTCTAACCATGACTGGTTTTTTTCTCTGTTTTCAGCTCAGCAGAATATAGAAGCAAACCTGACTGATCAGGAGGAAACATATACCCCCATGGAAATTGAATCATCGTCAGTACCTCAACAGAAGAACTATAAGAGGTGGATTCGAATCTCCATTTATGTATTCTTTGTCCTCTCCTGCCAAACACTTTCTACAATTCTGGGAAGATTGTACTACGAAATTGGTGGGAAGAGCACATGGATGGGAACACTTGTCCAACTAATCGGCTTCCCTGTTCTGTTCCTCTTCCGCTTCTTTTCCCAAATCAAAACCCCTAAAGCAACAGATACTACTACTACAAGTTTCAGACAGTTTCCTTCCTCCATCACCCTTGGATCAGTTTACATTGTCACTGGTCTGTTAGTGTCTGCTAATTCTTATATGTCCTCACTCGGGTTGCTTTACTTACCGGTTTCTACTTTCTCCCTAATCTTGGCCTCACAACTAGCCTTCACTGCCTTCTTCTCGTATTTCCTAAACTCACAAAAGTTCACACCTTTCATCGTGAACTCTTTGTTTCTCCTTACTATTTCCTCAGCCCTCCTTGTGGTCAACACTGAGTCGCAAAGCACAACAAATGTTTCTAGAGCTAAATATGTGATTGGGATCATATGTACCATTGGTGCTTCTGCTGGGATTGGACTGCTTCTATCTCTGGTACAGCTCATCCTCAGGAAGGTTTTAAAGAAGCATACATTCTCAACGGTCATGGACTTGGTCGCCTACCAATCTCTAGTTGCAAGCTGTGTGGTTCTCATAGGACTATTTGCAAGCAGGGAGTGGAGAACTTTGACAAGTGAGATGGAAAACTATAAACTCGGGAAAGCGCCATATGTTATGACTTTGGCCTCCATAGCTATTTCCTGGCAAGTCTATACCATTGGTGTTGTGGGATTGATCTTCGAGTCTTCTTCTGTGTTTTCTAATTCCATAACTGCTGTGGGATCGCCTATAGTTCCAGTTGTAGCAGTGATAGTTTTCCACGATAAAATGAACTCGTCAAAGATCTTCTCCATCATTTTAGCTATATGGGGATTCATTTCATTCGTTTATCAGCACTACCTCGATGCAAAGAAGTTGAAGACTAGCCAGACAAATCCTGTAGGAGGTCCTCGTCTACCTGTTGAGGAAGGTCACACAAACACACAAAGCGTATGATCACGCATATATATCCTGTATAAAGCTCATGTAACTCTATTTGGCCAACTAGTCCGTTTTAACTAACTGATAAAGTTTGTGCATTTCAGATTTTATAGCTTTTATCCGATATAGAACTGTGTAGCAGATGACCATGTCAATTTAGTGACATTATACTTTTGTGTGTGTGACACCAAAGAAGAATTGAGCAGTTAGCCATAAATTACAAAGATTTAAATGCACTACTCTGCTTTGTCATTTCGCAATATACCTGAAACACTGAACACTAGAGCAACCAGCGTAACATGTCCAATGAAAAAACAGAGACAGCTAGAGGAAAAAAGTGCTTTTAACAAAAAACAAGGGCACAGAAATAATACCACTTGGAAGCCACAAATAAATAACGTAGCGACTTGAACAGTAACTGTTTTCTTTCTTACAACAAAATTACTTCAAATGTAAAAAAGTTACATAAGGAGCTTGTCTTCTAATAGATACTGAGAAGGAAAAAAAAAAGGTTTTCTTAGAGCCGCCATACAAAGGTTTCAAGAATTCCAAGTCAAGTGAAGCAGAAAAATCAAAGTCAAAGGTCAACAAGAGCATACTAGATTATGATACTGCTGTGCTGTCGCCTATCACCTGCATCATCTATTTTTTTAATTTACTAAAAATTCTATCAGGTTTGATTGTGCAACTTGTGTGGGGTATTTAGTTTTTAATTAACTACCAAGTTTTGTATAAAGAGAGATTTTGGGTGTACAATGCAAGACATCTCTAACAAATAACAATCAATAGAAGACAATTCTCTTTCTTCCAATTTTTCTTTCTCACCTTCTCATTCCTCATGGACAGATCTCAAGAACTCTATGCCAGTGGTAAGGAAGAAGCACCTGGTAGTGTAGATCCTCTAATTTTTTTCTAAGGAAATATAATAACCATGAGTGTTAAATATTTTCAGGTGACCAAAACTTAGAAGCAAACCTAATAGATCATGAGGTAACTGAATCATCATCGTTACCTGAAACTAGGAACTTTAAAAGGTGGCTCCGTGTCTCCATTTATGTAATCTTTGTCCTCTCCTGCCAGCCACTTGCTACAATTCTTGGTAGATTGTACTATGAAAATGGTGGGAAGAGCACATACGTGGTAACACTTCTACAACTCATTGGCTTCCCTGTTCTGGTTCTCTTCCGCTTCTTTTCACAAATCAGACAACCAAAATCAGCAGATACAAATTTCAATCAGTCCCCTTCCTTCACCACCCTTGCATCAGTTTACATGTGCACTGGACTGCTAGTATCTGCCTACGCTTCTCTGTCTGCAATTGGTTTACTCTACTTACCAGTTTCTACTTTCTCCCTCATCTTGGCCTCACAGCTGGCCTTCACTGCCTTTTTCTCCTACTTCCTTAACTCGCAAAAGTTCACTCCTTTCATCGTCAATTCTTTGTTTCTCCTCACCGTTTCCTCTGCCCTCCTCGTGGTCAACACTGAGCCGCAAGAAACATCAAATGTCTCTAGACTACAATATGTGGTCGGGTTCATATGCACCATCGGTGCTTCCGCTGGGATTGGATTGCTACTATCTCTGATACAACTTCTCTTCAGGAAGGTTTTCAAGAAGCATACATCCTCAGCAGTCATGGACTTAGCCATTTACCAGTCTCTAGTTGCAAGTTGTGTGGTTCTCATAGGACTTTTTGCGAGTGGAGAGTGGAAAACTTTGCCTAGTGAGATGAGAAACTACAAACTGGGGCAAGTGTCGTATGTTGTGACTTTGGCCTCCGCAGCTATTTCCTGGCAAGTCTACACCGTTGGTCTTGTTGGATTGATTTTTGAGTCGTCTTCTGTCTTCTCCAATTCCATAACTGCTGTGGGATTGCCTATAGTCCCAGTCATAGCTGTGATAGTTTTCCATGATAAAATGGAAGCATCAAAGATCTTCTCCATCATTTTAGCTATCTGGGGCTTCCTTTCATTTGTCTATCAGCACTACCTCGACGAAAAGATGTCCAAGACTTGCCACGCAAACCCTGTCGAGGAAGATATACAAACTTGATGAAACACGGCTGCACTGAAGGTCATATAAACAAACATACAAAGTTGTGCACACAATTATGCATATCTTCGATGTGAAGCCCGTCTATGTAAATTTTCTCTAATGGTCCATGCAAATGGAACACCTGTCTTTCATTACGGGTTGAGCAGTTGTGCACATATATCAGATTTGTGTTAGTTTATTTAGCCAAATACTCATTTCTAAGTAAATAAGAAATTATGTACATTTTCAGGTATTTGAAACTTATATTCGAAAGAGAATAGTTTAATACGAGCAGGGTGATAAAAAACCATTTCCTCAATACAAAACCATGTCAATTTTTGTGAAATTTTCATTTTGTGAGTGTGACACCCGATAAAAATTGACCAGTTAGCCATAATTTCCGAAGATGTCAATCCACGATTCTGCTTTTAGTTTCAATGCACCTGAGATAACAAACAGCAAATCAGTTATAATGTAAAAAAAAGGAAGAAAACTTAGACAGACAGGTCCAAATATCCTGAGGGAAACAGAGCTTTGAACAAAATGTAAGTTACCAGAAATAATACCAGTTGGAAGTCTCTGACTTCGTCTGCCATCGTTCTAGCTAGCCTCATCATTATCTTGATGAAATAAACTTCCAAAGAACAAGCCAAAGAAATTAATTAGGCACAAAGAACTTTCATTATATTCAGCCTGAACTTCGGCTGCCATCGTTTTAGACTTTTAGCTCCTCATCATTATCTTGATGAAATAAACTTCCACATGTCTCATCATAAGAGAAAGATACAACCCAAAGAAACTCATAGACATAAAGAACTTTCAAAATATTCAGCCCGAAGGTCTCACAACCACACAACTTGTGTGTGTGCGTGTAAGCTTGTAAATGTCTATGCGTATGGTTGATGTGTCTTCACACAACTTGTGTGTATTCAGCACGAAGGTCACACAATCCTCCTTGGCCTAACTTTCTTGGTCAACAATAGTGGCATCTTTGCATGTAGAAAAACACAATGATTAACTTCATGACAAGAGAAGAGATGTATAGTTGGCATTTACTCGATGTGGGGCCAAGTGCAATGAAAACGTAGACGGTGACCGATTCCTAATCTAATATATATCTGTAATGTATCTCACCCATATAAAAAAAGCTATCATACAGTAGCATATTAGCAACCAAGGGAATTGATACTTATAATCCGTTCAGACCGTCGTTAGCTCCTCCTTGCCCATCTCCAAGGAGGTGATTCCACCTCCACCATGAAGGGTGATCAAGAACTACAAGTCATCGGTGAGTACGCATAAACCAGTTTGTGGAGAACTTACTGGTCTTTCATCTTCAAAAAAAGAAAAGAAAAAGAGGCTTATTATCTCAGTATTCAGTATATAAAATTAAGTTAAAAATGATACCAAAATAAATTATAAACTAATTTTTTTTGCGATATTTTCCTCACTTACCAGTTCAGCAGGGAAAAGAACCAAATCCAACAGTTCAAGAAGAAAGAAACTCGGTCAGTAGCAGGCAAACAAAAGTATCTCCCTCAAACACGTACAAACGGTGGCTCCGGGTGACTATCTATACAATCTTGGTTATTTCAGGCCAATCAGTTGCTACAATTCTGGGCAGACTATACTATGACAATGGAGGAAACAGCAAATGGCTAGCAACAGTAGTTCAACTCGTAGGCTTTCCTGTTTTAGTTCCATATTACCTCTTGTCAATTAAAACACATACAACAACTCATGGAGATGGCCAAAAAACCTCAACAAGGAACCGTGTATTGGTTTATGTAGTGCTTGGACTTCTTGTAGGAGCAGATTGCTACCTATACTCCATCGGACTGCTTTACCTACCCGTTTCAACCTATTCCCTGATCTGTGCATCTCAGTTAGCCTTCAACGCTTTCTTCTCTTATTTCCTCAACTCGCAAAAACTCACTCCTGTCATTTTGAATTCTCTTTTCCTCCTAACTATTTCATCCACCCTCCTTGCGTTCAATAATGAGGAATCCAATTCCACAAAAGTTACAAAAGGAGAGTATGTCAAAGGTTTCATATGCACTGTTGCTGCGTCTGCTGGGTATGGCCTACTCTTATCCCTACAACAGCTAGCCTTCCGTAAAGTCCTCAAGAAGCAAACTTTCTCAGAAGTTATGGATATGATCATCTACGTGAGTCTAGTGGCCAGTTGTGTTAGCGTGGTGGGGCTTTTTGCTAGCAGCGAGTGGAAAAATTTGAGCGCTGAAATGGAAAATTACAAGCTAGGGAAGGTATCTTACATTATGAACCTAGTGTGGACAGCTGTTATCTGGCAGGTATTCAGCATCGGTGGCACGGGGTTGATCTTCGAGCTTTCCTCTCTATTCTCAAATGCAATAAGCGTTTTGGGACTGCCCGTGGTTCCTATCCTGGCTGTCATCATTTTCCATGACAAAATGAATGGATTAAAGGTGATTTCTATGATCTTAGCTATTTGGGGTTTCACATCCTACGTCTACCAACACTATCTTGATGACAAAAACATGAAGAAAAGTCATGGAATCCCAACAACGGAATCCTTTGACCCACCAGAAGCAGAAGGGGTAAAGTCGGCTATCGAAATAAGGTGAATGAGTTAACTTACTTTCCTTATCGGCCTCAAGGCAGCCTACAGTGAAGACTACACATAATACATTGGTGATGCAACACAGGTGAAGTCTCAACGTGAAACTTTTTGCATCGTTGTAACAGGAAGTAGATTTCATTTAAATAGTAAACGACTCTGCGTTAGTTTTGGAAAAGATTACCCAAAATCACATCGTAAGCTCAGTGAAATGGCATGGACAAATTCAGACCAGTAGCTGATTACAAAAGTTCATAATATAAAACTTGATTTCATAGCAACCAAAGACGAGTATTACGAAAATGATCCTGTATATAAAGAGTGTAGGCTATTTAGCAGTTCTAAGTTATTGTACCAATTCGAGGTGCGAGGAGAGTTCCAATCAGCTTACATCAAGCACCCAACATAGTGAGCCCGAGGGTACTTCTTTTGCAGTTGTGGCCATTGAACAAAGAACTGATCAGCTATCTTTAAATGGTACAGCAGCAATCCACTTAATGAGAGTTTTTTCACTCTTGCTACACTCTCAACATAAAAGATCGATGACCATCTAATTCCCAGCACCTGTAAACCAAAATATGAAACAAGAACTTAATGGAAATTCCACATAAAATGGAGAGACCATGACTAAGAATAAAATCCAGGACATGCTCTGTTTTCTTGCCACAGGTCCATTCAAGGTCATCCAAAAAAGTAAAGCTAAGAACTGAGTAATAAAATATTTCTGAAGTGTGTATACCTTGAACAAGAAAGCGATCACACATAGAGGAATACAGGTCCCAGGACCATTGCAGAGAATCTGAAAAGGTTCAACTAGGATTTAATAAATAACCTGATTCATTTTTTGTGAAGAAGCCTTTTAAAAAAATCAGAAAGCATTCAGAGAAAGATCATACCACTTGTGGTCTGATCCGGACCATTAGCCACAGAGCATGAACAATAGCAACAATTGTAGTCCAAACAGAAGTCACATAAGACTGACCAACTTCTCGACTCCGGTAAATTTGCGTGAACTGTGAGGAAGCTTCCTTAACAACAGGCTACATCACAGCCAAATCAAGCAAGAAAACAGGACTCATCAATCGGCTCAAGAATGATCCACTTTTATGCTATAAAATGCAGTATCAACCACACAAGATACTAATCACTCGCATCTTTCTAAGACAGAAATTTAACGCTCAAGACAACCATAAGCAAGAAGCAGCAAAACTCAAACCGAAATTGAAATGAAGGATTTAACTATACCTTCTCAGCTACAGAGTCTTCAAAACTACGAGCTTTCTGGAGACTCATGTTATCCGTAGCCGCAGCAATGTAAAACCTTGGCGCAAATCTGTCCTTCCGCAAAACAGAGAGGAGACTCAACATCTCTGCCGTGTGTCCCCCTGATGAAAAATAGAGACATTTCATCTAATCAACGATATGCACATCACATGTATCCAAATTGCATAAGACACACTGTATTAACTCCTCTCACCAGAGCCAAGAACAATAAGAGTACTAAAAGACCGTGAAGCTCCTTTCGGAAGAGGTTTGCCACACCGGTATATAACATACAGTACACGAACCATTAGAACAATCGCCAAGCTAATTAGAACCAAACCGATGCTGCATTTAGAGACCATCTTCGAGTAAAAGCAGCAATAGTTATCCTCCATGATCCTTGATAACCCTCTTCTCTTTCCAAACTACATTTGAACAAAGAATGTAAATAATAAAATGAAATTCAAACATGAAAATCCATCCTTAAGCTTCTAAATCCAGTCAAATCAACTATGGAGATAGAAACTACACAAAGAATCAGACTCCCAAATTGAGAAAAACTCTGATACCCAAAAAAATATCTTATCTTTCCGTCTTAGTAAATTGAAAAAAATTGAAATTTGAACTAGATCAAATGTGACTTTGATTCACAAATATAGACTGCACAAAGTTGTGAACTTTAGAAGTCACAAAGTTGTAAACTTTAGGAAGTTCACTCCAAAACTGAGGATAAAGAATCTGATTTCTAGTAATGAAATATTCAAGCCAAAACGATTCCAGATCTTAATCGTCAAAAGCTAAACGAGGAATGACTCAAAATTAAACCATAAAACAAAACGAACCGTCAAAATCAAACTGGGAAATTAGACTAGCAAACAAATTTCTCAGAAGCGATACAGAAGATCTGCGACGGCGATGATAAGGGAGGAAGGAAACAAAAAAAACTCACCGGCGACGGGGAATCCCGGCGGTGACGGAATCAATAGGATTAAGGGTTGATTTTCATTGGTTATGGTGTCTCTTCTTTTTACCACCGTTCGATTTGGATATTGCTTCGAATACACGTGGCGTAAGCACGTGAGTGATGGACCTGCGAACATGTATTTTTTTATTTTAATATTTTTCTAAAAGATACTAAGAACTCCTGAAGAAGATATTTACACAGTACTTTTTGAGAAAAAAATGATAATTTTCTACAGAACCTCCATTGAAGCACCCTCCTTTGCATCTATCTTCGTTTAGGAATTATCTAATCAATGACGACGAAGCTGTCAAGCTATTTCTTGACCCATGGATTAGCAGGAATCTCCTGCGAGAGAGAACATGGAAGCTCTCGTCGATTTTTCTGTGTCCCTTCGCGTCGATTACTTCCTGCTTCTTGTAAGATTCGACAACAACGTGGTTTCGAGTGAGTATTTCCGTCTATTCGTACTTTTTTTTTTAGGGTCTTGAGAATAAGCTGTGAATTCGATTACAAGACATAACCATTTTGTCGGATTTATACGAACTTGGCATTTTTGAGTTTGATGTTTTTGCTCTTAGATACCTTGCGTGATGTGGTTTTTCTTACCATTAACCTTATCTCTGGTTTCCAGTTTTGAAATTTTGGTTTATGTTTTGCATTTTGAATTGTTCTTTTCCTCAGTTTGACTTTAGGTGAATGGTCATAGATGTGAATTTGGTTATGGTTATCTTCATTTAGATTCCTTTTTCTGCAGGATGAGTTGGATAGGATTCTGTGAACTAAAATGTTGATTTTAGTTAGAAATCAGATGAAAAATGTTGCATTTGAGCCTCTTTGCAGCTTAAGTTCCTTTCAAATTCAGTTCCCATTTTAGTTACATTATGATTATGTCAAGAAAAAAATCTTCTGATGTCTTGACAATCTGCAGCTCCAATAAAAGACAAGAAATCAAGAAAGGCTCTCCTAAACCAATTCTACCGATAAACTCAAGTCTTCAGAGTAACAACGATGAGGAATCAGAACCTGAAAATGGTTCCGCAGAGAGTGTTTCGAGCGTCAAATCGGATGCAGAAAAGGGCAATGATATTCATGCCACCATAGATATTAATCATGCTGATGAGAATACTGAAAAGAGAGATGATATACAGAAAACTGAAGTTACTCGGCCCAAAAATAAATCTGCAAAGAAGAAGGATGAGAACGTTCATGCTACTGTTGATATCGAGCATGATGATGTGCAGAACTTAAATAAATTAACTGTGCCTGAGGTAGCTAAAGCTTTGGTATGGATTTTTTTTTGTGTTAATGGTATATTTTGACTCTCCAATTCTTAAAGGGCCTTCTTTTAATAACTTCTGTAATCGTTTTTCAGTCCATTAACAAAAGTGGAGGCGAGCAGTTTTCAGATGGACAGTATGGGGAACTAATGACAATGATAAGAAATGCAGAGAAAAGTGAATTTTTTACCAACATTTAGATTGTTTATGTGTGTTTATTTCTTATATTGTGAAATCATATATGAATTTCTGATGGCTTCATGTGGCAGATATTCTTCGGCTTGACCAAGCAAGGGCCACTGCTCTTGACGACCTTAACAAAATTCTAAGTGAAAAAGAAGCATTGCAGGGAGAAATCAGTGTCTTGGAAATGAAACTGGCTGAGACTGATGAAAGGATTAAAACTGCTGCTCAAGAGAAAGTACGTGTAGGGATTCTGGAAGAACAGTTAGAGAAGCTTCGTCATGAAATGCTTTCCCCGCTAGAAAGTGATGGTTATATTCTAGCTCTTAGCAAAGAACTCGAAACATTGAAGATAGAGAATCAGTCTTTGAGAAAGGATTTAGAATTGCTCAAGTCAGAACTTCAGAGCGTTAAGAATACTGATGAACGTGTAGTTGTGTTGGAAAAGGAATGCTCGGGTTTGAAATTTTCTGTAAAGGATTTGGAGTCTAAGTTATCGGTTTCCCAAGAAGATGTCTCGAAGCTTTCTACACTTAAAACCGAATGCACTGATCTATGGGCGAAGGTAGAGAGTCTACAGCTGTTGTTAGATAGAGCTACCAAACAAGCAGAGCAAGCGGTTTTAGTGTTACAACAGAATCAAGATCTCAGAGATAAGGTTGATAAAATCGAGGAGTCACTTAAAGAGGCCAATGTTTATAAAGAATCATCAGAAAAGATTCAACAGTACAATGAGCTAATGCAACATAAAGTGAGATTACTCGAGGAGCGGCTCGAGAAATCTGATGCTGAGATATTCTCGTATGTTCAGTTATATCAAGAATCAATAAAAGAATTCCAGGAAACACTTGAAAGTTTGAAAGAAGAAAGCAAGAGAAAAGCAAGAGATGAACCGGTCGATGATATGCCTTGGGATTATTGGAGTCGTTTGCTTCTAACTGTTGATGGATGGCTGCTTGAGAAGAAAATAGCAAGCGATGATGCTGACTCACTGAGAGAAATGGTTTGGAAGAAAGATAGAAGAATTCACGATACGTACATTGACGTCAAAGACAAAACTGAACGCGATGCTATCTCTGCATTCCTCAAGCTTGTGGCATCTCCAACAAGGTAATCAACGCCTTTGAACGTGCTTTCTCTTTTTCCAGTTTCAATTAATTTGGCAAAAAATAACTTATTTACTTCTTATGGTGTTGATTCTAGTCCAGGATTGTATGTCGTTCACATTGCAGCTGAAATGGCACCTGTAGCTAAGGTATGTTCAGCTAAACCCCTAAGAATTTCTCTTGCTATTCGTGTTTGTTTTTTGTCACCTCCATTCCTAATTTCCGTATGTAATTTCTGTAGGTGGGAGGTTTGGGGGATGTTGTGGCAGGTCTTGGTAAGGCATTGCAAAGAAGAGGTCATTTGGTGGAGATTATTCTTCCCAAATATGACTGTATGCAATATGATCGTGTGCGTGACTTGAGGGTAATGTTGTTGCAATTTGACGAATCTATAAAGAATAAGAGGACTTAAAAATCTCTAGTCTTCTTGATGATGGTTTGCTTTATTCACCGCAGGCGTTGGATACTGTTGTGGAGTCATATTTTGATGGGAAGTTGTATAAAAACAAAATCTGGGTTGGCACTGTTGAAGGTGAGGAAACTTTGTTTTTTTATTGTGGTTGTGTTTTTTGTTTGAATCAAAAGAAAAATTTCTTTCTAATTACAGGGTTGCCTGTACATTTCATTGAACCTCAACATCCGAGTAAATTCTTCTGGAGAGGACAGTTTTACGGAGAGCAAGATGATTTCAAACGCTTCTCGTATTTTAGCCGCGCTGCATTAGAGTTGCTTCTTCAGTCCGGCAAAAAACCTGACATCATACATTGTCATGATTGGCAAACAGCTTTTGTTGTACGGTTTTATCTTTGTTTGTGAACAGTGACATGAGTCTTTTTGTTTAGGATACAATTTTAAGCACTTTTTATTTTGTTATTGCAGGCTCCGCTTTATTGGGATGTGTATGCTCCAAAGGGGCTAGATTCTGCAAGAATATGCTTTACATGTCACAATTTCGAGTATCAAGGTACCTCGTCTGCTTCGGAATTGGGATCTTGCGGGCTTGATGTTCACCAGTTAAACAGACCAGACAGAATGCAGGATCACTCTTCTGGAGATAGAGTCAATCCTGTTAAGGTAAATGATCACAAAATCAGCATATAAATTCGACATTTTGTTCTTATTCATCTCTCTTTCTTTCTCATATTGGTCCAGGGTGCTATAATTTTCTCAAATATTGTAACAACTGTGTCCCCTACTTATGCACAAGAAGTTAGAACACCCGAGGTAGAACATTCTCCTTTTGGTATTTTTCAATGCTAATTAACCAAAGCTTTCATACTAAATCGGTCTAATGTATTTTACAGGGAGGAAAAGGACTCCATTCCACACTCAATTCCCACTCCAAGAAATTCATTGGAATCCTTAACGGCATTGACACAGACTCATGGAATCCCGCCACCGACCCTTTCCTCAAAGCTCAGTTCAACGCTAAAGATCTACAAGGGAAAGAAGAAAACAAATATGCCCTTAGGAAGCAGCTCGGACTTTCTTCAGCCGAGTCAAGACGACCGCTGGTACTTTTTACGTTTGAAAGTGCTTATTGATGCATTGCTGCGAATGCTGAGAAAATTTTGAGCACACTGATTCAGTTAATTTATACTTTTCTTTCAATATAGGTTGGTTGTATAACAAGATTAGTACCACAGAAAGGAGTTCATCTAATCAGACATGCGATATACCGAACATTAGAGTTAGGTGGACAGTTTGTTCTTCTTGGTTCTAGCCCTGTCCCGCATATTCAGGTAATAACCCGTATGCTCTCTAGCTTCTCTCTTTCATATCTTCTATCTAAGTTCCAGTTTCATGGTTTATAGCTTTGATGCATTTTTTTTTTCTAGAGGGAATTTGAAGGTATTGAACAACAGTTTAAGACCCATGATCATGTCCGGTTATTACTGAAGTACGATGAAGCTCTGTCTCATTCGATATACGCAGCTTCCGATTTGTTCATCATTCCTTCAATTTTCGAGCCTTGTGGACTTACACAGGTTAGAAGTACCAAACATGATCTCTAGAAGAAAATCCAAACCATCATCAATTTGACTACATTTTGGCTAATCTCTGTTCTCGGATTCTTTTCTCTTGCATTAGATGATCGCTATGAGATACGGCTCCATTCCAATAGCACGAAAAACCGGAGGGTTAAACGACAGGTAAAACCAAAAACTTCAGACCATTTTGTCAGATTACATTGGTTTCAAACTATCAAAAGATCATTTTGATAGTTTGATCATTTTTCAGTGTGTTCGACATCGATGATGATACAATACCAACCCAGTTTCAAAACGGATTCACATTTCAAACAGCAGACGAACAGGTAACTGAAACGATTCTCTCTTCCTTTCGATCTTTATCAGTCTTTGCTTATGATTGCTTAAAATGGGTGGTGGGTATTTAGTGTTTAGCTAAACAAAGAAAATGTTAAAAACAGGGTCTGAATTACGCATTGGAGCGAGCATTTAATCATTACAAGAAAGATGAAGAGAAATGGACCAGGCTTAAGGAGAAAGTGATGAGTATAGACTTCAGTTGGGCATCATCGGCTACACAATACGAAGAGCTCTACACGAGATCAGTGGCCAGAGCAAGAGCTTCTGCTAACCGCACGTGAGTTTCACACATGCCTCATAGAGATTCTTTCTTGTAACACACGTATTTATTTTAGTTAATTATATATAATCTCTTTACTTGTTCATAATAGAAAAAAAACATTCGGGAGTTTCAATCACATTCAAAAGATTTATACTCCCTACTTTTCATTAAGAATGATGTTCTACAGATTGTTTTACACATTTTAAGAAACGTTTTCATACTTGTTTTTTCATCTAAATAATTTTAACACAACTTCATACCAAAGTACAATAACAATTACAAAAACTATGGCCCTGGGACCATATGGGTGTTTTTATTGCTTGTAACTTCCATAAGGAAGGTCTGACCAATTGACTGAGTTAAAACTATGTTAATCTTCAGTCCAACCTAATAATATCAGACTTCTGCATTTAAAATATCATTCCATAATTATTTTAGGCTTAAACTTACGCATGAATAATGCAATGGTGAAGTAAATATATTTTTTTTGAAGAGAATGTAACAAAATTAAATACGAGTGTCACAAGAAACCAACAAGAAGATCCCAAGATTTTGTAACTTAATTTCTTGTTTAGGAGGAATATGAAATATCTTTTTTTTTCTCTTCCACAATACATTAAACGGCTTCTTTGGAAACGGTTAGAGTATCTTGGCCGGTCGAAATATTTTTTCTCTCTAACAAGCTTTGTGTTGAGAGACTAGAAGTGTCTTCTATGTCTTCAATAGTTTTCCAAGCTGTCACCAGATGTGAATCCAAGAGAGGTTTAGGTGGAACCTGAAGAGCTTCTAGACTTCCCTCTAACATTTCAACGACTTTTCTCATTGGTGGACGATCAGATGGAATTGTCTGAATACACCACAAACCCACCAATGCCATTTTCTTCACTATCTTCTCTTCTTCTTCTTCGATTATATGATCTCCGACAAGTCTATTGGTCTCTTTCCTCTCGAGATCCTCATAGATCCAATCTGGAAAATTCATTGAACTTTTATTAGACCTAGAAGTTTCAGCTCTCTTTCTATTCCTTGCCCCAATCATCTCAAGAACCACCATTCCATAACTAAACACATCTGACTTAGGGGAAGCTCCACCAAAGTTCTTAGAAAAGACTTCAGGAGCAATGTACCCTATGGTCCCTCTCGCGTCTAACAATGAAATGATACTCTCATTGTTTTTGCAGAGCTTAGCAAGACCGAAGTCCGAAATCTTGGGGCACAAATTTCCGTCCATGAGTATATTCTGTGGCTTTATATCAAAATGCACAATCTTCGATACACAACTATTGTGCAAGTACTCTAAGCCACGAGCAACTCCTACAGCAATGTTGTATAACGTTTTCCAGTCCATCCTCGCTGACATATTCTCGGAAATAAACTTGTCAAGAGATCCATTCGGCATGAACTCGTAAATGATAGCTCTCTTGCTCCCTTCATAGCAGAATCCAAACAGAGAAACGATATTAACATGAGACGCTCTACTCATGCTGGCTAACTCATTGATGAAATCTTCTCCATTTCCCTTTGACGACTCATTCAAGATCTTTAGTGCAATTTCTCGGCCGCTTGTGTCCGGTAATTTTCCTTTATAAACAGTTCCAAATCCTCCTTTCCCTAGAACATGAGAAAACGAGTTTGTCATCTTCTTGACGTTTTCATAACTATATCGTCTCAACATTACAGCCGCTTCAATGTTCTCATCGGTGGAATCACTCTTTCTTCTCGTATTCTTTGCTCTCACCACTACCACAATAACAACAATAATGATTATCACTGTTAAAGCTGCTAAGCCTCCTGCAGAAAAAAAAAAAAAAAAAGCATAACTTAGGTGTTATGTACATGAACGAGCAACAAAGATGTGGTTGGAATGAATGTGGTACCGAGTATGGGTTTTAACTTCCGTAGAGAATTATCTGCAAATGTATCAAACAAAAATTATGATTAACAAAAGTACAAAACCAAAATAAACTTAGCATATACATAATTATGGGATGAAGAAAATAGACATAAACTTACGTTTTCCTCCTGCTAATGGACCCACTGAGTTTCTGTCGGAGCCGCATCCATAATATTTTTCACCGCAGGCAAAAAAATTAATTAATAAATAACCTAAGATCATTATTCTTATTTGAAATAATTTATATGAATCGGTACATATTTATGAACTATTTTGTTTCAACATTTTTTATAATTGGTCATTTACTTTTTTTTCATAACTTTATCTATATATATATATATATATATAACAATGGTTCAGTTTTGGTCGTTCATAACTTATAAAAAATAATTTTTGGCTTAGATTTTTGAACTATTTTAGCTAAATTATATATGCTGAATTTTTTTGTAAAGCTTTTTGATGAGTGGACAACGGTCTGACATTGTGATGAGCTTGGAAAGACCAACTAATGATGTTATTCAAATTTATCTAAACTATTTTGGTTGGTTTCCAAAAGCCTCTTTCTGTTTTCTTTTCAAGGAATATAAAACACCATCCTTCCTTTTCACATAAACTAACACCACTCGCATAAACAAATTATTTGTACAAGGTTATTTGATCCTATGTTTGACTTAAAACCCAAAAGACAAAAGAAAAAAGCTGACACACAGTAGTCTTGCTATTCACAACTGGTCTTATATTATATATTTGATATCAATTGGTCTTATAAAATTAATAGAAAAAGAATAAAAAAATTTGACGAAACCGTGTGATGTTTGACGAAATAAAAACTGAGAGGGGGCAGTTGCGAGAATTTACCTGTTGATGTTGGGAACGGAAGAGGGGCAAAACGTGATCACGTAGTTAGTTGAGTTTGTGCATGTGAAAGTGCTGTTATTATCGTTGTACGGATAGCTATACGCGAATGGGCAAGCCCGCTCGAAGTTCTGCGTGTACAAAGTCGGCTTGCAGTTTTGCTTCGACTTGAAATATTGCGTGCAACAATTCTCCGGCGTTGCAAACCCTCGACACGCGCTACTACAAGCAATTGGCGTTGCACCGTTGAATATCTTGAGATTATCAGGACACGTCTTGTTCAAGTCAACCATACAACCAGAGCTAAAACACGTCGAGCTACTCTGTGAAGGGACCACCATTACCGGAAGGTTATAACCGTACTCAAGACTGATGAAGTAGCTGTTGATCCCACCGTAGTCGATTCTGAAGTAGACGTAAGTCACTTTAGACCAGCTGTATGAGCCGGGACACTCGATCTTGCTTGATTCGCAGTCTCCAGTTGCGCAAGAGAAGTTTCCTGTTGAGTCGTTTGAGCAAAGCGTCCTACCAGAGATAAGACCGTACCATGAAGATGGTGCTTGTAGGGCACGCGCCTCGCCTCTTTTGAGAGTGAAACCTGTCGTGGAGAGCTGTGATTCCCATGAGTAGATCACTGGCCAAACTGTTTGGTTGCATTTGTTCTCTATGGTAAGGATACTCCCTGAATACACTCCTGCTAGCATAATTTAAGATTAGGGAAGAAATAAACAGTTGAAAAATTTTGGGAGAAGAAATTATGAGAGTCTAATATAATCCTTCCATAATACATATGTTGTGTTTCTATTCTCATCGGTTAGTCCCAAAAAAAAAAAAAAAAAAAAAAAAAACGTACCTGATACGAAAAAATGTGAAGCAAGGAGGAAAATCAATTGCAACCTCAACCTCTCCGCCATTAGCTTAAGGAGAAATAAAAACGTTCCAAATAGTGATATTTGTGTGGTTATGTTTTCTCTTGCTTCTTCCTCGTCAGTCAGTAGAACTTGGTGGTTTGGTGATAATTAAGAGTTCATAAGCAATAAATGACTCACTAACTAGGGAGTATAATATTTATTAATTAGGAAGGAAGGAGATGTTTTTCCTTGCTTCTTCCTCGTAGGTTAGTAGAAATTGGTGTCTTGGTGATAAGAGTTCATATAAACAATAAATTATTAGCAACTAGATTATAAATAATATATAACATAGGAAGGAAGGAAATCATCTAACTACTACCCTTTTTCCAAGTGATAAATAATTTTCCGGGAACTTGCCACACAGTGTATAATCACATTTGTTCACTATATATAAAGGATACATCAAGAAGAACACTGTACAATCCTGAGAATTAGAAATGAAAAGGAAAATAATTAATCAATGATGGCCTCTCAGCCATTTGGCTTATACAAAAGAAATATAAAATGTTCAAAATACTCTCTCTCAGAGAACAATAACATATGACATGGTATCGTACAGAGTCATCGTATTAAGAAAGAAGACCCTTACAATATGTCAATCGCCTTTTTGTCTATTGAGAAGAAACCAAGATTTCTCTAGAAATGCTTAGTTAGCGTATCTTGACATGCTAAAAGATTTTAAAAACTTTCTAACTGATCTGGTGTCAAGAGACTTAGAAGTCTATTGACTCTCTTTACCAGCTTCCCAAGCCATTACCGCAGGAGTCAACATAGGCTTAGGTGGAACCACTAGAGCTTCTAGACTTCCCTCTAACATTTCAACGACTTTTTTCATTGGTGGACGATCAGATGGATTAGTCTGAATACACCACAATCCCACTAATGTCATTTTCTTCACTGTATTCTCTTCCTCTTCGACAATATGATCTCCTAACAGTCTCATGGTTTCATTCCTCTCGAGATCCTCATAGATCCAATCTGGAAAGTACATTGTACTTATATTAGACCTAGAAGTTTCAGCTCTCTCTCTGTTAGTTGCCCCAATCAGCTCAAACACCACCATTCCATAACTATATACATCTGACTTATGCGAAGCTCCTCCATACCTCTTGGAAAACACTTCAGGAGCAATATATCCTACGGTCCCTCTTGCTTCTAACTGATAGGAGTGGAAGACCTCTGAAAGTATACGAAAGGAGAAAGAATAAGGATCAGAAGCAAGTTGAAGCGTGAGCACGCACGGCCACGTGGAGGAACAAGGAGCTTCAACGATTAGTATAAATAGCTAATCATGTTTAGTGAGAGAGGGGATATGTGAATTGTGTATTCTCGAGCGTGATGAGCTTGATTACTTTCTGTTACTTCCGTTATGAGGTAGTTAGCAGGAAGTTACGATACATAGTTCTTCAAGTTCTGTAATTCTCTTTGTAATTCTGAGTTTCAACAATCAATACAAGGAAATTTAGAGTGATAAGGAGAGAATAACGAGCTAAACTCTATCAAAATGGTGCGTCGTGACAAGATCGAAACGACGAAGATGGCGATTACCGATAACGAAATGGCGAGCGAAGAAGAAGGAGAGATTTCTTCAGTAAAAGAGGAATTGAAATTTCTTCATGGAGGATTCACGAGATTGTGCAACGCTACAGCAACAACGGAATCTCGAATGGCGGAATTGGATGTGAAGCTCAATTCGATTCTATCGGCAATTCAACAACAATCATCGTTACCGGCAAGATCCGATGGAGGAATTCGACCGATTGAGATTCCAGAAACATCGCGAGCAACCAACCAGGTACAGGATTCTAATCTGGGAACGAACCGGAATAATACTTCGTTAGGTTATCGGCCAGGTTATTCCGATCTTGCAAACAGAGAAAGTATGCTAAAGAAGATCGAAATGCCGATATTCGACGGAACTTATCCGTATGTTTGGATCGCGAATGTTGAACAATTTTTCCAGCTGGGACGATACGACGATGATGCGAAATTGGACTTAGTCGCATTATCACTGTCAGGAAGAGTGAAGAAATGGTATATCTGGGCCAGAAAACGTCAAGGATTTCGTAGTTGGAGAGATTTTCTGGACAAATTGTTGCTCAGATTTGCAGAAACTTTGGAAGAAGAACCTGGGAAGCGGCTGTATTCGATCAAACAAACCGGTTCAGTGAAAGATTATGTCTCAGAATTCGAAGATCTATCTTCACAAGTGTCAGGAGTGGATGACAAAGGGTTAGAAGACATCTTTTACAACGGTTTATAACAGGAAATGAAGGAGGTGATTAAAATGAAAGAACCAAAGGGGTTAGCTAACCACATTGCAGCTGTACTGAAGATGGAGAGCAGTGCATTCTGTAAGGTCGTAAGTGAATCAGCGAAGAAGGATTCCGGATACTCGCGTTCGTCGGGGTGGAAGGGACAAACGCAGTACTCCAATACAAAAACGCAGGCTATAATACCTTTTCGTTCGAAACCAATAATGAGTGAGGACAAAGAGAACAAAGTTCAGCAACAAATGGGTAAACCCCAGTTGAGACCAAGGCAAAGATTCACAGATGCAGAATTGGACTTAAAACGAAGTCTGGGACTGTGTTTTAAATGTGATGAGAAGTGGTTTAAAGGTCATGACAAGGTTTGTGCTAAGAGAGAGCTACAAGTCTTAACAGTGCTGAATGGTTTTGAAGTGGAAGTACTGGACGAAAACATGTTTGAACTGACGGAAGAACAGACCACTACGGGTGGAGAATTAATGCACCTATCTCTGAATGCATTCCTGGGGTTGGCATCTCCGAGAACTACCAAGGTGTATGGACAGATCGGGAAAACATCAGTGGTAGTTATGCTAGACAGTGGTGCATCTCACAATTTTATTGCACCATCAGCGATTCTCAAGGCTCACCTAACGACATCAGATAAACCCATGTTGGATGTCTTACTTGGGAATGGGTTACAGGTGAAAGGATTAGGAGTTTGTCGTGATGTGACGTTTTCTCTAGCTGGTTATGAATTTTCCACTGACTTCATATCACTAGAGCTGGGATCAGTGGATGTGATCTTGGGAATACAATGGCTGGAAACATTGGGGAAGTGCCACGTTGACTGGAAGAAACAAGAATTCTCTTTCAGACATCAAGGAGAATGGATCACTCTATATGGGGATTTGTCATTACACTCACACAAACTATCTTTAAAATCCTTATCAAATAAACCATCTGTACAGACGAAGGGGGTAAAGCTTGAGTTTGGAACACAACAGTTATCACATATGGAAAGAACAGAAGTCCCACCCATGATCACGGAATTACTGAATGAATTTGACAAGGTTTTCGCAGTACCAACCGAGTTACCACCGGTTAGAGGACGTGAACATGGGATCGTTTTACAGAATGGAAAAGGTCCAATAAACGTAAGAACTTATCGTTATCCGCAGATGCATAAAGAAGTAATGGAGAAAATGGTGCAAGAGATGCTTCAAGCGGGTACCATCAGGCCAAGTGTAAGCCCATACTCAAGTCCAGTACTATTAGTGAAAAAGAAGGATTCAAGTTGGAGATTTTGTGTGGACTACAGGGCTTTAAACAGAGCAACAGTTCCGGATAAATTTCCGATTCCGTTAATTGATGAATTACTGGATGAACTACACGGTGCAGTGTTATTTTCCAAACTGGATTTAAGATCTGGGTACCACCAAATCCGTATGAAAGCTGAGGATGTGGAAAAAACAGCATTTCGAACTCATGATGGACATTATGAGTTCATGGTTATGCCATTTGGTTTATCAAATGCCCCTGCAACATTTCAGTCATTAATGAATGATCTATTCAGGAAGTTTTTGCGCAAGTTCGTACTGGTATTCTTCGATGACATCTTGGTATACAGTCGGAGTCTAACAGAACATCGAGATCATTTACGGGTGGTGTTGGAAATTTTTGCTACAAACCACCTCTTTGCCAATAGAAAAAAGTGCTTGTTCGCTCAACCGGAAGTGGACTATTTGGGTCACATTATATCTAGCCGGGGAGTCTCGACGGATCCTAGCAAAACAGAGGCTATGAATAAGTGGCCCACACCGCGGACAGTTAAGGAGTTGAGAGGGTTCTTGGGTTTAACCGGATATTATAGGCGTTTTGTCAAAGGATATGGGAATCTGGCTAAACCATTGACAGAACTGCTAAAGAAGGATAATTTCCATTGGTCAGAAAGAGCACAAGTAGCATTTGAAGCCCTTAAAAAAGCAATGATGTCCGCACCAGTCTTAGCTCTTCCAAACTTCTCTGATCAGTTTATTGTTGAAACGGATGCTTCAGGGTTTGGCTTAGGCGCTGTGCTAATGCAAAACAAACAACCCATCGCTTTCTTCAGTTGCGGTTTATCACCAAGAGAACAGCTCAAGTCAGTGTATGAAAGGGAATTGATGGCAATTGTGTTGGCTATTCAAAAATGGAAGCATTACTTGTTGGGGAGAAAGTTTATTGTACATACTGATCAACGCAGTTTAAAATACTTGTTGGAACAGAGGGAAGTAACAATGGAGTATCAGAAGTGGTTAACTCGTTTGCTGGGCTATGATTTTGACATCATTTATAAACCGGGCATAGAAAACAAAGCGACTGATGGACTTTCTCGTTGTATGCATGCGCCGTTAGAAACTGTGAGCTCGTCCTTATTGGCATTAACGGTTCCTACAGTTCTTCAACTTCAGGACGTGTTCAAAGAAATTGCAGAGGATGAACACATTCAGTCATTGATAAGGAAGATCAAAACTGGTGAAAAGGTCAAGGAGGGTTACTCAGTTATTGATGACAAATTGTGGTACAAACGTAGACTTGTCATTCCAGATCAATCGGCTTATGTACCATTATTACTCGCCGAATACCATGAAGGGCCATTGGGTGGACATTCTGGAGTTCTCAAAACATTGAAGAGAATCCAACAATCTTTTCACTGGAAGGGTATTAGAGAAGTAGTCCAGAAATTTGTTGCTGAATGTCAAATATGTCAAACCCACAAATACACAACATTATCACCTGCTGGCCTACTACAACCGCTACCAATTCCTAAGGCTATCTGGGAAGACATAAGCATGGACTTCATAGAAGGACTTCCATTGTCTTGTGGATTCAATGTTATCTTTGTGGTGGTGGACAGGTTAAGCAAATATGCCCATTTTATCGGTTTAAAACACCCTTTTACAGTGACCGATGTGGTAAATAAGTTTGTCAAAGAAGTCGTAAGACTTCATGGATTTCCTTTGTCTGTGGTATCTGATCGGGACAGGATATTTCTGAGTCAGTTTTGGAAAGAAGCGTTCAAACAATCCGGGACTAAACTGAAATATAGTACTGCTTTTCATCCACAGACAGATGGACAAACAGAAGTTTTAAACCGATGTCTGGAAACCTACTTAAGATGCTTAGCTTCTGCTCATCCGAAGACATGGGGAAAGTTTTTATCTTGGGCCGAGCTGTGGTACAATACTACATACCATACAGCTTTAAAAGCATCTCCATTCTTGGTGGTATATGGTCGTGAGCCCCCAACCTTGATGCGCTATGAAACAGGGTCTACCACTAATTACGAACTGGAGCAAATGCTTAAGGAAAGGGACATCATGCTTCAACAGATCAAAAAGCATCTACTAAGAGCTCAAGATTTGATGAAACATCAGGCTGATAAACATCGCCGCGAGATGGAGTTGGAGATAGGATCTCAGGTGTTTTTAAAGCTAAGACCGTATAGGCAAGTGTCGGTAGCTCGAAGAACATGCCAGAAATTATCAGCTCGTTATTTTGGACCTTTTGAAGTGTTGGAGAAAATTGGTAAAGTCGCTTATCGCTTGGCGTTACCGGAAGGGTCCAAAATACACCCGGTTTTTCATGTTTCACAGCTTAAGAGAGCCTTGGGTAAAGATCATGAAGTACTACCATTACCATTGTCCTTACCTGGAACGGATGATCTGATAATTGTTCCAGAAAGAGTGATCAAATCAAGGACTAATATTGATGGTAAATTGGAGATTTTGGTGCTGTGGAAGGATTTACCATCTCATGAATCGACGTGGATATTAGCAGAAGAGCTGTTGACTCAGTACCCAGATTTTAATCTTGAGGACAAGATGCATTTCGAAGGGGGGTATTGATAGGAGTGGAAGACCTCTGAAAGTATACGAAAGGAGAAAGAATAAGGATCAGAAGCAAGTTGAAGCTTGAGCACGCACGGCCACGTGGAGGAACAAGGAGCTTCAACGATTAGTATAAATAGCTAATCATGTTTAGTGAGAGAGGGGATATGTGAATTGTGTATTCTCGAGCGTGATGAGCTTGATTACTTTCTGTTACTTCCGTTATGAGGTAGTTAGCAGGAAGTTACGATACATAGTTCCTCAAGTTCTGTAATTCTCTTTGTAATTCTGAGTTTCAACAATCAATACAAGGAAATTTAGAGTGATAAGGAGAGAATAACGAGCTAAACTCTATCATTGAATCACTCTTCTTTCTCGCGTTTTTTGCTTTCACCATTACCACAATCACAACAATTATTATGATAAAAACAGCTAAAGCGGCTGAACCTGCTGTAAGAAAAAAACAAGCGAAACTTAGGAGTTATAAATGTGCATGGATGAGCAACAGAGATGTGGTTGCAGTGAAGGTGATATATACCAAGTATGGGTTTGAACTTCCGTAAAGAATTATCTGCAAATGTAACAAATAAAACTTATGATTAACAAAACCAATATGAAAATTCCATACATTTTTATAAGATGGAGAAATCAAAAATAGACTTACGTTTTGGTCCTGCTAACGGAGCCATCGAGTTTTTGTTGTGTTCCTCGCTAAGCAAATTAATAACATAACTATATATATTAGTTTATCAAGCTAGTTATACGTATATTAAACCCAAAAAATATTTATACGTATATTCATTTTTGTGTTTGTGTGAAATCACATTCATTCAATCCTTAGGTTTCGTGATGTTGAAGGTTAATTAGCTACCACTATCGACTAATTTTCGGGATTTGAAACTGGTATTGGCTTAACCAAGATTACAATTTTACAATCATTCTAAAAGATTTTTTTTTTAAAGGAGCCAAACCAATATAATGTGTCCATAATAAACAGCCTTTCACCTAAAAACTGAATTGACTTGAAGCGTGAATTAAAATATTAACGGTACAAATACCTCCGGAAATGGTCAAACAATCAGTCCACATCTCAAATTGTTTGAGAATAACTGAGGCGTGAGCCTTGACCATTGAAAATTCTTAAGATAATTATAGGATTGTTCTTTCTTTCACTAAAATACAACATGCGGATGTTAACATTCGGATACTTTTGGTTTCGAAAAATTAACTACGTGAGTTGGGATGCAAAAATTGGATGCAAAATGAATTGCATAAAAACCCTAATAGGATGCCATGAAAAAATTAGAGTTTGGGATGAACAAATTGCATCGGAAACTACAAATAATCTATATCCTCCTACTTTAAGCTGCACAAATATAGCTTAAATAATGTCATATTCAATGTAGATTTACCATTTTAAAGCTGCTTCTAAGTTCCAAAGTCCTGAAACTAAAATGGAGAAACCTTTTGTATGTTCTCATGAAAAAAAAAACTACATATGAATAAAATTTAGCATAAATAATAGTAATGATAAAACTAAATGAAACAAATAACATAACTAACATTTGAGTAGATTAGAACACTCTCAATTGTTAAACCAACAACAACTTAGTACTGTTTTGCAAAGTCTTCTAATATTCACTTTTTACATATTCTTCAAAATTTTCAAATCAGAGATTAAGTTAAAAAAACAAAATTATAAGAAACAAAGATTATAACTAGGTCAAAATTTTGAAAATTTGTTAACTAATCAATAATAAACAGAAATAAATACAAAATATGTTTGATAACTACATAAGGTAACAATCAAATTTCATCTGCATTATATTTGCAAAATTTGTAACTGATATTTTTGTCTTACCATTTTCTAACATAAGTTTTATAATAGAAATTAATGATGATTTGATGATATTTTGAATGCCAAAATTTAAAATGAATTCCAGTTCAAATGCACATAAATATATATTTTTTTTTATTGCAGTATATTTTTGGAGTGATGATATGAAATTATTTTTGTAGAATTTTATCTTCATAGAAAAATGAACAAATTGAGAAATGATTTTGCGTTAGAAATAGGTACGCGATTTAAACGATATTGATATAGATTTTTGTTTTGTTTTAAATTTTTTTAAATGGTTAAACATAATGATTTTTTCAAAAGTATAAAAATCAAAAAATAATCAATAGAAATATTGAATGCATAGTTTTAGTTAAACATTTTTTAATTATAAATAAATAGTTTGGTAAATATGATATTTGTAAAAAAAAAATATTTTCACATTAAAAAAAACTAAAACACTGTATATAAAATCTTATAGTTAAACTTATATTATTATGAATATTAGTCAAATGAAACAAAAGTTTAATATGAATAATATGAATGTAATTATTCTAGCAAGAAAATATTTTTCAAAAATATATTAAGAGGTTATATGATTATGTATATTAATCAAATGAAAAATAAGCTTAATATGATTGACATGAATGTAATTATTCTAGTAAGTGAAATCTTTTTAAAAAAATATGTAGAGATATTAAATACAGATAAGATATGATTATGCATTAGTTGAATCAAAATAGCCGAGTAGTAAATATTCTAGACCATGAGCTTTCTTACAAAGAACCCTTGAGAAGTTTTGTGGAGATAACACTTTAACATAACAGATATATAAATAACACAAGTGACAAATGTTGTTTTTAAAATATCATTTTTAATAAATAATATAGGATTAACCACTAGGCACTAGCTAGTTAGATATGTTCTGTACGTAATATCGTAGGATTTTTATAACTCATGATTAATTAAAAATTTGACATGTGTCATGTAATAATATGTACTTTTCATTCTTAATTATGTATTTCAAAAAAATTATTTTTTACTAAAAAGAAATTAACAAATAGTAAAAGTAAAATAAGTAAAAAATAAAAAACTACCTGAAAATAATGTTTCTAGAACCTTAACATTTATTTAGAAAAAACTATTTTTCAGATTTAAGAATCAATTTCTATTTATTTAATTACGAATCATAAAACATAAATTGTAAAGAACTTAACTAGATTTTAATTTAGAATCTAATTATATAGATCATAATTAGATAAATAATTAATTTTAAAAGTCTGATTTTTTTACCCACGTTAATATGCGGAAAATCTAGTATTTTAGTATTTCAATAAAGTAGGACTGGGTTTTTTTTTAACACCACAAGGCATTAATTAGTTAATATCTGTGTTCTCTAGGTATCTTTTAATCCAAATTAACCACTAGGCACTAGCTAGTTGAATGTGTTCTGTACGTAATACATTATTGAGATATTCCAAATTAAAGGACGATGTAATTTGGAACTGTGTGATGGTGTTTGACGAAATCAACCCCAAGCAAGATAAGAAATGAAAGAGCTAAATTAACCTGGTGATATTGGGAACAGAAGAGGGGCAAAACGTGACAACGAAGTCAGTTGAGTCCGGGCACGTCAAGGTACTGTTATTATCGTTGAATAAGTAGCTATATGCGAGTGGGCAATCACGCTCGAAGTTCCTCGTGTACATGGTCGGCTTGCATTTTTGCTTTGACTTGAAGTCATGTGAGCAGCAAATCTCCCGCGTACCGTATTTCAAGCACGAGCTAATGCAGCCGATCTGTTTCCCACCGGTGAACAGATCAAGATCATTCGGACATGTCTTGTTCAAGTCAACCATACAACCTGCGGCGAAACATGTCTCGCTACCAGAGCTGTGCTTACCATATAGTAAAAAAGGCTTTCGCCTCAAGCCCCCAAAATATGTTAATTTTTCAGTGCCCCCATTTTCTTAAGAGGTGATTAAGTGGTTTATGGTTGGCATGAAATTTTTTTTTTACATAAGATGTTTTCTTATTTTTGTTTATAAGAGAGAAAAAAAGGAATAGATATAGGAAATAGATTAAGATTACATTCTCTCAATAGTATTAGGAAATTGATTAAGATTTGTTTAGATTATCGGCTTTATAACATCCTAAAATAAGACCAAAACCCTAAAGCCCAAGAGAAAAAAAAAATTCATAGATTGTTTATCAGATATTGCTGACGATTCCAGTTTCAGTTGCCTTGGCTGAAAGAAGTTTTTCAAAGTTGAAGTTGATAAAGTCTTAGTTGCGATCAACTATGTCACAAGAAAGATTGAATGGCCTATCTATCATATCTATAGAAAGAAAACTAGTTAATGACCTCGATTATGAGAGTTTGGTGAAAAATTTATTGAAAAAGAAGGAAGAAAGATTATGTCTTAATTAGTTTTTTTAGATTAAAATTTTATTTTTGAATATTTTATATGATTTTAAAATTATATTATATTTTTTTGTTAAAAAACCTTTTTTAAAATGAAAAATGCTTTATTTTTTAGTTTGCTTTAAGTCCCTATAAACCTTCACACGGCACTGCTCGCTACTATGTGAGGGGATCACAGTTAAAGGGAGGTTGTAACCGTACTCGACACTGATGGTGTAGCTGTTGACTCCTCCGTCACCGATCCTAAAATAGACATAAGTCACTGCGGACCAACCGTATGACCAGAGACATTTCACGTTGCCGGATTGGCAATCTCCGGTGGCGCAAGAGAAGTTTCCTGTCGTGTCGGTTGAGCAGAGCGTCCTAGCCAAGATAAGATCGTACCAAGAAGACGGTGCCTGAAGGGCACGAGCCTCTCCTGCTCTGAGAGCGAAGCCTGAGGTGGAGAGATTTGATTGCCATGAGAAGATCACTGGCCAAATTGTTTGGTCGCATTTGTTCTCTATGGTGAGGATACTCCCCGATAAGACTCCTGTGAAGATTAGTGAATGAAAAAAATTACAAATATCCAAAAAAAAAATTACAAATATCCAATAGATGATCCATTAACAGGAAAATGGTCTTACCGGATACGAACAAGTGTGAAGCAAGGATGAAAATCACTAGCAACCCCTCCGCCATTAGTTAGCTTACAGGAAAAAATGAAATACGTTCCAATGAGTGAATACTTATCAATAAAATCTGATTTTGTGTTATGTTTTTCACTTGCACCTTCCTCGTTGCTAACTAGACATTGATATTTTAGTTTGTGGCATTGGGCATGTGGTATTGATATAGTCAACCCCCAGCAAAAAAAGAATTTGTTTTTTTTTTTGGATAAAGACAAAAAAGAATTATTGAATTATTGGAAAAATATGATCATTGTTAATTGTAAGCACTTGGTAGTGGACCAGTGGTACGTAGCTTTCTGAGAATTGTTTCTGGTAGGTGTATGACTCTTACAGTATGAGGAAGAACATTCGATTAATATAACCGTTCACCAAAAAAAAAGAACATTCGATTATACGGTTTGGTTCGATCGACTAAGAGCTACGAATAAGAAATCGACTAAGAGAGATCGAATAAGAAATCGACTAACAGAGATCGAATAAGAAATATGATTCGCTGCAGCATTTCCTACACATTTCCTACGCTTTTTTTTATAGAGAATATTTAGTAAAAATACGTAGGAAATTTCCAACGAAATATCCATAATAGTCATATAGAACTTACCACTTTCTTTCCAAATTTGGACCAAATTTCTACAAATTTGTGTTTAGTAAGTTATTGGTAGAAAATGTCTTACCGTTTTTTTAACGCTTTAGTTTTATAGGAAATTTCCTACTAATTTCTTATTATTTTTACTTTTCATTGTGATTGTGTAGGACATTCGTTGTGATTGTGTAGGACATTCGTTGTAAAATTGTTTTACCAAATATTTCGTAAGAAGTTTAGTAGGAATATGCCATGTTTTCTTGTAGTGTTGAGATCAACTTAAGAGAGACGAATGAATGAGTAAATATAATTCTTACATAATACATGTTGTGTTTCTATTCTCATCGGTTAGTCCAAAAAAAAGAATAAAACGTACCTGATACGAACAAATATGAAGCAAGGAAGAAAATCAATTGCAACCTCTCCGCCATTAGCTTAAGGAGAAGAAAAAAATGTTCCAAACAATGATATTTTTTGTGGTTATGTTTTCTCTTGCTTCTTCCTCGTCAGTCAGTAGGACTTGGTATTTTGGTGATAATTAAGATTTCATAGGCTATAAATTAGTCACCAACTAAAGAGTATAATATTTATTAATTAGGAAGGAAGGAGATGTTTTCTCTTGCTTCTTCCTCGTTGCTTAGTAGAATTTGGTGTCTTGTGATAAGAATTTATATAAACAGTAAATTATTAGCAACTAGAAGTTATAAATGATTAAATACATAGGAAGGAATGAAATAATCTAACTACTACCCTTTTCCAATTGATTAATAATTTTCGGGGAACTTGCCACACAGTATATAATCGCATGTTTGTTCACTTTATGTAGGAAACAGAGAGCAAGAGAACAATATTGGAAAAGAGTTTTCTGTGTATTGAAGGAGGAACGATTACATCGTTATATACAAAGAGAGCATATTTGCTAGTAAATGCTAAAGATTACACAAGCTGTACAATTACGTATGTTACGGGAATAGATTAAGTGAAGAATCCCTAAACATGTGTGATATGATTGCATCATATCTAAATATACTTTATAATTTATACATCAAGATTCAAGAAGTACACTGTACACTCCTGCGAATTAAAATGATGAAAAGAAAAATAATTAATCAATGGCAGCCTCTCCGTCATTTGGCTTATAATGAAAAATAAAATATGTTTCAAATACAAACTGTCAAAGAAAAATAACATATATATATGAATTTGTATCGTAGAGTCAGAGTATAAAGAAAGAAAACCCTTACAATATGTCAAGGGACCTCATATATATCTCAATCCCCTTCTTTCTATAGATAAAAATATACCAAGATTTTGAAAACTTTCCTGGCTTTGGTATTGGAGAATTAAAAACCAACTTGAGACTATTCGAAATGCATAATTAGGGTTTCTGACAAGCTTTAATATTCAAAATCTTTCTAAGTGACTTGGTGTCAAAAGACTAGAAGTCTATTGACTCTCTTCAACAGCTTCCCAAGCCATTACCGCGGGAGTCAAGATAGGCTTAGGTGGAACCACTAGAGCTTCTAGACTTCCCTCTAACATTTCAACGACTTTTTTCATTGGACGATCAGATGGATTGGTCTGAATACACCACAAACCCACTAATGTCATTTTCTTCACTATCTTCTCTTCCTCTTCGATAATATGATCTCCTAACAGTCTCATGGTTTCATTCCTCTCGAGATCCTCATAGATCCAATCTGGAAAGTACATTGTACTTATATTAGACCTAGAAGTTTCAGCTCTCTCTTTGCTCGTTGCCCCGATCAGCTCAAACACCACCATTCCATAACTAAACACATCTGACTTATGCGAAGCTCCTCCATACCTCTTGGAAAACACTTCAGGAGCAATATATCCTGCGGTCCCTCTTGCTTCTAACATTGATATGATGCTGTCGTTTTTCTTGCAAAGCTTAGCAAGACCGAAATCCGAAATCTTGGGGCCAAAATTTTCGTCCATGAGTATATTCTGTGGCTTTATATCGAAATGTACAATCTTCGATACACAACTATTGTGCAAGTACTCTAATCCACGAGCAACACCGACCGCAATGTTGTATAAAGTTTTGCAGTCCATCTTCGTTGACATATCCTCGGAAATAAACTTGTCAAGGGATCCATTCGGCATGAACTCATAAATGATAGCTCTCTTACTCCTTTCATAGCAGAATCCAAAAAGAGAAACGATATTGACATGAGATGCTATACTCATGCTAGATAATTCATTGATGAAATCTTCTCCACTCCCCTTTGAATCCTTCAAGATCTTTAGTGCAATATCTCGGCTGCTTGCATCGGGTAATTTTCCTTTATAGACAGTTCCAAATCCTCCTTTCCCGAGAACATGAGAAAACGAGTTTGTCATCTTCTTAACGTTTTCGTAACTATAGCGTTTCAACATTACCACCGCTTCAATGTTCTCGTAATTGGAATCTCTCTTTCTTTTTGCATTCTTTGCTCTCACCATCACCACAGTCGCAACAATAATGATCAACACAGCTAAAGCGGCTGAGCCTCCTGCAAGAATTTAAAAACAAGCGAAACGTAGGAGTTATATACTATGTGCATGGATGAGCATCAGAGATGTGGTTCCAGTGAAGGTGATACCAAGTATTGGTTTGAACTTCCGTAAAGAATTATCTGCAAATGTATCAAATAAAACTTATGATTAACAAAACCAACATGAAAATTTCATACATTTGTATAAGATGAAGAAATAAAAAAAATATACTTACGTTTTCGTCCTGCTAACGGAGCCATCGAGTTTCTGTTGTGTTCCTCCAAGAAAATAACATAAATATGTATATTAGTTTATCAAGTTAAACGTACATAAACCCCATAAAAAATTATACGTATATTCATTTGTGTTTGTGTGTGTATGTGAAAAATGCATTCATTCAATCCTTTCGGTTTTGGGGATGTTGAAGGTTAGCAACCATTAATGACTAATGCATTTTCGGAGTTTGAAACTGGTATTAGCTTGATCAAGATTACAGTTTTACAGTCATTCTAAAAGATTTTTGTTATAAAGGATATATATATATATATATATATAATGTGTCCATATATATGCATGCATGCATGGGAAAACTTGCTAATAAAAAGCCTTTCACCTAAAAACTGAATTAACTTAAATCGTGAATTGAAATACTAAAGCTACAAATAAACCTCCTAAAATGGCCAAACCAAATAATCAGTCCACACATCTCAGATCGTTTGAGAATAACTGAGGCGTGACTACTCGTGAGCCTTGACCCTTATTCCACTAAGATTTATTAAAATATTCGGATATATTTGGTTTCAAAAAAATTAACTACGTGAGTTGGGATGCAAAATGAATTGCATAAAAAGCCTAGATTAATAAATTGCATCAAAAACTACCAAAGCCTCCTACTTTAAGTTACACAAATAATTTAGCCTAAATCATGACATATTTAATGTAGATTTACCATTCTTTTAAGTTCCAAAGTCGTGAAACTGAAATGGAGAAACCTTTTGTATGTTCTCATCTTTTAGATATTTCAATAAAGTATGATTGTGTGTTTTTTATTTTTTAACACCACAGGGCATTAATTAGTTAATATTGTATCCGCTTTCCCTAGGTATATATTAATCCCAATTAACCACTAGGCACTAGCTAGTTGGATATGTTCTGTACGTAATACATAATCCAAAAGGAAGATGTAATTTGGAACCGTGTGATGATGTTTGACGAAATCAACCCCTAGCAAAAATAGAAATGAAAGAGAGACGCTTAATTAACCTGGTGTTATTGGGAACAGAAGAGGGGCAAAACGTGACAACAAAGTCAGTTGAGTCCGGGCACGTCAAGGTACTGTTATTATCGTTGTATGCGTAGCTATATGCGAGCGGGCAATCACGCTCGAAGTTCCTCGTGTAAATGGTCGGCTTGCACTTTTGCTTTGACTTGAAGTCATGTGTGCAGCAAATCTCCCGCGTATTGTATTTCCGGCACGCGCTAATACAGCCAATCTGTTTCCCATCGGTGAACAGATCAAGATCATCAGGACATGTCTTGTTCAAGTCAACCATACAACCTGCGGCGATACATGTTCGGCTACTCTTTGACGGAACCACCTTTAGCGGGAGGTTGTAACCGTACTCGACACTGATGGTGTAGCTGCTGACTCCTCCGTCACCGATCCTAAAGTAGACATAAGTCACTGCGGACCAATCGTATGCCCCGGGACAATCCATGTTGCCTGATTGGCAATCTCCGGTGGCGCAAGAGAAGTTTCCTGTCGTGTCGGTTGAGCAGAGCGTCCTAGCCGAGATAAGACCGTACCAAGAAGACCGTGCCTGAAGGACACGAGCCTCTCCTGCTCTGAGAGCGAAGCCTGAGGTGGAGAGATTTGATTGCCATGAGAAGATGACTGACCAAATTGTTTGGTCGCATTTGTTCTCTATGGTGAGGATACTCCCCGAAAAGACTCCTGGGAACAAATTTTAAGATTAGGAAATGAAGTAAAAAAAGTTACAAATATCTAAAAGATGATCCATTAACCGGGAAAATGGTCTTACCGGATACGAACAAGTGTGAAGCAAGGATGAACATCACTAGCAACCTCTCCGCCATTAGTTAGCTTACAGGAAAAATGAAATACGTTCCAAAGAGTGAATACTATCAATAAAATATGATTTTGTGTTATGTTTTTCTCTTGCATCTTCCTCGTTGCTTACTAGATATTGATATCTTAGAGCGTGATAAGAGTTCATAAGCAATAATTTAGCCAGCAAGTAGGATTTAAAAAACGGAAAGAAGTAACAACTATACAAAAAAAATGCAGAAATGAAATAGAGAGAGGAAAACATTTAAGTATTTAAGTATCAAGATCCATTTAGATTTTAAATCGATAACAATCTAAAGTGTTTCATTCCGTAATTTTTTTAATCTAATTTTGTTGTTGATTTTCAATTCTCTTTTCAAGATTCATTTAGATTTTAAATGAATCTGAATTGTATTTTTTTTGGTAACTGTAATGTAATAATCTAAAATGGTTGATTGCGTTATCGTGGTAATTCCTAATTCTTTTTCGTACAAAGTCTTCGGGAGTCTGGACACGCATGGTCTTTTTATAGAGCAAGGGAACGTAAGTACGTAGGAGGAACACACATAATTATTTTCATAATTAAAAAATAAATAAATAAAGATTGATTTAACATCATCTTTAGATTTAGTGGTCAAAATTGGAGGCATCGGGCATGTGGGATGTTTGACGTAGTCACCCAAGCAAAATTAAAAAGAATTACATTATAAGAAAAGTGATCATTGTAAGCACTTGGTACGTAGCTTTCTGCTAGTTGTTTCTGGTAGGTGTATCAGTGTATGACTCATACAGTATGAGGGAGAACATTCGATTATACGGTTTAGTTCGATCGACTAATAAGAGAGACGAATGAGTAAATCTAATCACCTATTGGGTAAGATTTATAGGAACGCAATTTCAACAAAACAAACAATAAAAGACACGAACGGAAGATATCCCACGTAACAAACATAAAGATTACAATGAAAATAAAAAAAAACTTGTAAGAACAAAAAAAATCCAACATGAAAAGGAAAAACATAACCTTGCTCGGCCTTCTAATTCTAATTCATGAGAGAGGTTTAGCATCCATAGGTGGATGCATTGGCCAGTACATGCATTATACATGGAAAGTTAAAGCATATTCTTTTGTAATTGTAGCAGAAAATGGAAGAAAAAAAGTTCCTTACTCTTTACAATGTAACATGCTCGTAAAAGTACAATACAAACTACACTTAGAAACTATCCATCTAATCAAAAATTAGAATCGATGCTATTCATAAGAAAAATTTCTGTTATTGCGGTTGCTGTTGTTGAGCTTTAAGTTTCTCGAGCTGCTTTCGAAGATAAGCTTGTTTGAGTTTCTCCCGACGATTTGTTGCCTGCTCTTGTCTCCTTTGCTTCAACTCCGTTGCCTTTTCTCTCGCTTGATTCACTTCTTCATGAACCTCTCTGCACAGATTTTTCATTTCAAAAGAGAAGATCAGAGAGAGATAGATATATGTTAATTCACTTAATAAAAGCAGAGTAAAATCTATAACGATGGACTTGCTTCCTTCTCTCTCTCTCTTTGTGCCTGTGATGGAGAAAAAAAGACAACAATGGAATTTACCTGACCATACGCACGTGTTGACTTATATCAGCTGTCCCAACTGCGCGTCCGAGTCCAGCAAATTTGGTGCTAAACAGAGAACCATCGTCTTCACCATCTGGTTTTAAATCTTCAGGAGGTGCTGAAATGGAACTGTTGCTGGTGCTTGATGGTCGTGAATCTTCTCCATGTTCAATTCCTTTCCTGAAGAAATCCACACAGTACTTCTCTTCGGCTTCTTCATCTGAAAGCTCTCCCCTTGCAAGCTTTTCATATAACTGAGCTTTCTTCTCCAACGCCGCGTAGCTAACAGCTCCGTCTTTAACTGCTTTAAGCTCAAGCTTGTCCCTTCATTTCCCACATATACAAAAGAACATTCGAAATTTAGAACAGAACAAAAGTAAAATCACTGGAGATAGTTAAGCAGCAGAAATGGTCATGATAAAAGCTAAAAATGGTGATCCTATCATCCTCAATGATCTTTGACCATAACAAAGCACTGAAACTAAATTCGTATAACGCATATTCTTCTAAAGCATAGCATAATCCTATATTCTATAGTTTTTGCTTAATTGAGGTTCAATTTTAGACTAATGAATCTACTTAACTACGAAGTTGGAGTACTAACTAATCTTAATCAGAATGATAGACACGATGACTAAAGACTAAACCTCATCTCCTAATTCCCAAATCAGCCTGTTTCCAAATGCAGAAGAACTCATGCCCAAGTTTTATACTTTTTTGCTTAATCTACGTTCAGTTTTCGACAAATCATCCTACTAATTAAACTACGAAGTTCGATTACGATCCAATCTTACTCTGAATGGTTGATACAATAAGGCGATTATCAAACCCTAATCCCTTATTTTTCAAATCCTATCGTTTCACCGAATTGACAGCAATAACAAACAAAGAGAGGAAGATTCAAATTGATAAATCTCCGACTTACTTTAGAGCGCGACCCTCGACGCCGGAATTCTTCGCGGAGAAAGAGTCTTTCGCGGCAATCCTTTCTTTGGCGCGATGGTACTGAGCATCGGATCCCGTCAAATCCTTCGTCTGCTTAGCTTCTTCCTGCGACTTATAAAGCTGAGCCTTGAGCTCCATGATTGAGGAAGGACCCACGCCTTCGATGGCGCGATGCTTCTTCGGCATGATAGATGATTCCGTTATCCATCCCAGCGATTCAACTACCACTCTCTTCCTCGTTTCCCCTTCGCCTTCCATCTTCTTCTCCTCCTCCTCCTCTCTATCTCTCTCTCTCGCTCTCTAAATCTGTGCTATACAGAGCTTGAATTGAATCTCTGGTTCGTTAATCTCAGAGGTTAAGCTTCGATGGAAGAAATTGCGCACATTCCACCCCAAAATTGAAATCAAAATTAGATATGATCGTAAATATAATAAATCCGATCGTAAATTAAAGTAAAAGTTAAATCCGATCGGTGGCGACAAAAAACAAAAAAAAAAATCCGATGGGCTTCTTTCCTTCTTACTGTTGGGCCTGTCTTCGTTTGATGCCCGCAAATTTAACCCCGCGTCATGACCCACTCGCAAGTGAAGCGTGTTGACGTCACTGACTTTCCCCAACAAAATTTGAGCCAACAAAATATTATAATTATCAAATTTCAACTCGAAAATAAGTTTGTAACATAATGACTTAGAGTTGATTTCCTTAGTGCTAATATAACAATCTCATTATCTTTAGCAAATCACTAATCCAACTTGTTTGATCGGAGGTTGCTTTAAACTCCGTGTAAATGACTAGAGTTGACTACCTTAGTGCTGATAAAACAAGCTCATTATCTTTAACAAATCACTAATCCAGCTTGTTTGATCGAATGTGGACAGTGGACATATATATTGTGTTCATAAGATATATAATAAATCCCATATATTCACTTTAAACAACTTTTTTCTCACTTCTTTTTAACCATGTTAAGCAAATGAACTATTAAAATACTATATATATCAAAAACAAACCAAAGCAAATCCAACAGTATCTATCAACAATAAGTATAATCTGATATTGTGTATCACATGATTCACATCCAAAGAAAAAAAATATTAGAATCAAAATCCTTATATAATTGATCTTCACACCAATCAAATCAATTTAAACAGATTTACAAGTGCATTACTTTTGCGACAAGGCTGAGGAGCCATGACCTTTTGTTCATGATCATTTCTTGTTACCACTTGAATGATCTGGTCATTACTTCTTCTATTTGTGTCATTACTTTGATGATGGCCCAAATCATCAAGAACAACTCTTTGCTTTTGAAAATGTTCCCATTTATCTTGAAATAGATAGAAGAAGACTAGACAAGAGAGTTGAACCGTGAACAAGATTGTCCAAAGACTTGAGTCTCTACTTGATGACGTCTTCTTATGGTAAGCTCTTATTCCTGTGTATATGTTTATTATGCCAACTATTGAAACTATTGTTCCAAGAATCCAATGCAATAAGAACCATCTCAACCTCCTTTTGCTCCCTCTACAATGCATCCAATAGAATCACGACAAGTGCAAGGCGTATGTGTATGGAGAGAGATATGTATGTGTATATAGCTGTATGTATAGGTACCTAGATGGCTTGAAGACACCGGTCAAGAATTGGAGCCACATGGCTGCATAAAGCGCCAAGCCAAGTCTTTGATGGTTGTTGTCAAAAGAGTTCTCCAGTGTTCTTAAAGACATTATAGCTCCTGTTGTTGCCAAAACCAATGCTAGAATCTGCTCATTTATTAAATGAAATAAAATAAAATAAAATTATGCAATCTCATACAAGTAATTATGAAGAGATAACATTTTGTATTTTAGATATGTACGTGTTATGGATTCGAGTATGTGTGTAAGACGAAGAGTGTAATCATAATGTGTCCTTAGATCCTTTCCCTTAATATACAAGAAATCATGATCAAAGCTATAGAAAATTTAAGAAGCAATTCCTTCATAAGCTATCTATTTGGAATTAATTTCAAGGCATATATATCTAGCTGTTGAAATTGAGTAAATTAAAGACTACTATGAGTGCTTCTTGTTTTTCAATTTTAAAAATCCTATAGCCCTATTCTAAAAGTTTTTCCCCCTTAGATAGCATATTTGATATTATACTTATAGTGGAGAAAATGATTAAAGTGAGATGTCATCATGGGTTTGAACTAAAGATTTTAAATATTTTTTCGTATCTCAAATTCGAGAACGATACAAAATTATCAGCAATAATATATCTTCTCCATCATTACAATGTCAATATCTATGAGGTGATTAGTAATAATCAAATTACCTGGAAAATGACATGAAAGTAGAAGAATACTTTAACTTTTCTTCCATTTTCGTTAGCTTTATTGGCCACTCTAATGAAGAGAATCCCCATTGGCATAAGAAATCCCATTGAAGCCCATAAGAGAATGCCATGAAGCTTTATGCTGTTTATCCTTTGATGACTCAACTGCCATTTGAAATTTAAGAAATTTCTAAATTAATACTAGTAATGAATACACTAAAAAATTTACACCCAAAACTGTAGTGAGAATCGTATAATATATATAAGCTTTTATAAATTAAACAAGAACCGATTAAATCAAAAACAAATTACCTTGTCCTGTACTAGGGAACCTTTGCTCTTGAGATTGCTTGGGGAATGGTTATCAATGGTGACTTCAATAGATGAACAGATGACAAATGGTGGCGCAGAAGAAAGCAGATAAAAGATAATAGAAAACGAAACAGTCCCTATATATTTAAATATTTTCATTCTGATCTCAATCACAGTAGCTGATTTAACAACACTAAGAAATAATCTCACAGCACAAAATCACTCTAATATTCCCTTTAACTCTCTCTCTCTCTCTCTCTCTCTCTCTCTCTCTCTCTCTCTCTCTCTCTCTCTCTCTCTCTCTCTCTCTCTCTCTCTCTCTCTCTCTCTCTCTCTCTCTAAATTAGTTTCATCATTCTATGTGAATTTATGGAGAAAGAGTCATAATATATATACTCATGCATGAAGCATACAAGTACATGTATATCACTGGATAAAAGGGTGCATATGTGAGATCGACGAGGGAGATAGACAAATAGAGAGGATGCATGTGATTGCTGGTGCAAAAGAGGCTTTACTAGAATGATTTGAGAGCTTAGCTCGTTAAAGAAATGATAATCAATTTGATCATGGAGGGATGGGCCAAATTCAAATAATCATCATAATGTTAATTTTCCTTGATGTCATAAATTCAGTCACCAAACCCAAGATACCATCCAACATAATCATGATCTTATACAACAAGTCAAAGAGGGGTGACAGAAAAGAAGAAGTAAATAAATATTTTTTACTTGGTGATTTCACTTTGTATATCTAGCTACTATCTTCATGTAATTGAATCATGATCACAGCCCTTTAAATTCTTCTTGATAACTTACTATATGCACACAGATATATATATATATATATATATATATATATATATAACGCACCACTCACAAGTGAGATTTTGGCCTTTCTGTGTTACCATAGGGAATAAATAAGTAGTATGTTTTAGCTTTTCAATTTGGTCCCATGCCATAAGCAATCAAATAATTTACTTATTCTAGGTTCCAATGATGTACTTTATGTTTAGTATGCTCATCGATTTATAAGCTTCTTTGGAAATTGTCTTGTTATCAGTTATAACAAATCACATACAAAATAAGAGAGTTCATGAATCTCCTTATGTAATATGATCACATCATTGAGTTAATTTCTTTTTGAAAAAAATAAAAATAAATATAATAAGTGTAGCTACATCATTAATTAGTTACTACTACATATTCCATCTATAGTTTGAGACTTAGTATTAATAGATATATATATATATATATAAACTTGCATGAATAACCAAAGAAAATAAACTTGCATGCATGAAAAAAGGTCAACATCGTCTTTTTTTGGACCAACCCGTTAAACATCGTGTTGGCAAGCGAATTTATGAAGAAGAACAAGAGGGATATAGAAGAAGAAATTAGAATTTTATTTTTCTTTTATCGAAGAATTATAAATCCATTTTTTAATTAGAAAATATGGATGTAAAGATGTTTAGCGCTATTTTTTTTAATTCCATTAGGTTTCATGTATTTGTGTATTGACTGTTAAAAAAAAGGTTAAAACTTTCGTAGGAAATTTAGCAGATTAAGGTTCTTAAGTGGTATTCTCTGTCAGATCTCGAGAATTGCAAAGATAACAAAAGGCAAACCTAAGTTTAATTAATTCACATTATCGTTCGTGTCTCGCGGTTATTTGACAATCATCGAAATGATTACAAATGCATGGGTAAGGTCTCTGATTCCATCGACTAAAACACTAACAAACTAAAATATAACTACACCTAACGATGAAATATTTGGTAGGCAGTCCCTTTTATATCAACTTTCTTCGTTTACTTTTCTCTCTTTTTAATTCACTTCGTTATCAAAATTTTAAAGGCGGAGGAAAAGTGTATCTAACCCATTTATAAAATTAATGAAAGAGAACTCTCTAATGGCAAAACAATACCACATTTTCTTTTAGTTCTTTTTATGGAAGATCAAACTTCAAAGATATATACTCCCTCTGTTCAGAATTATTTGATGTTTAAGGTTTTTGCACACAGTTTAAGGATTCATTTAATTTTTATTTTTTCTATACTAAAAATATTATTTATAATCCATTTAAATATCATTCAGCCAATAAGAAGACAATCTGCAGAATATAAAAGATCAAAAACTATAAAAATTCATTAAATTTTGCATTGAAAAGTGAAAACATCAAATAATTCTGAACAAAAAAAACTTTCTAAAACATCAAATAATTCTGAACAGAGGGAGTAATTTTTTTCTTTGGATATTATTAAGGGCATTTGTAAAAGAAAACAGTTAGCCACTTTAATAAATATTACTTTATTAATAAGAATTTAAGAATACAAAATTGGGTAGAGAGGAAGGGCAAGAAGAGAATGTTATGCAGATATAAGGCCTACGTAAGCCGCTGAAAGAGAGAGCAAAGAGGATACAACATACGCCATCGTTACTATCATTGGCTCCTTCAAACCAGTGAGCCTTAGGTGATGATGAAACGGTACCGTCTTGAAAACGCGACGCCCTTTTCCCTTCAAACGCTTTGTCGCCGAGTAATAGGCGACCTGCGTGCCAAACCACAACACATATACATCATCAGCGGTTGCGGTTGCGAATTGCGATCAGAGAAGGAGAAACACTAATGGTTCTATTCTACTATTTACCTGAATTATGACAGAAGAAGCTTCCAAGACAGAAACACCAGAGGATATGAACAATGGGAAGAACATTCCTGAGCAAGCAGCCATTGCAGCCAAAGCTCCACCAAGAGCCAATGATCCTGTATTTCCCATGGACACAGATGCTCTGTACCGATTGTGAAGCAGAAACCCGAAACAGGCTCCAGCCATCGAAGCTCCGAATATAGAAAGATCTGGTCCCAAAGAAACAACAAACATTATCTTCACTTGAAATGAAGTGCAATGTTTTTAAATTTTTTTGAAAGTAAATGATTTGGTTTATTAAGTATAGTCATCAGGCGGCTAACCAGAGCAGATAGGAAGAACTGCTATTGCCATTGCAACGAAAGCCAAGGCAGCAATACCTCCAGCTAATCCATCAAGACCATCGGTTGCTTTGACTAAGTTTACCATGGAGACGAAGTAGAAAGATGTCAACAATAGGTAAAGTTTCCCCAAGCAAACGAGACCCAATGGTGAAGGCAACGGGACCAACATTTTCCTGGAAAGAAAAATATTCAAAATCAAGAAGACGGTTAAGTAAATCTGAATAACCCAATTTATCAGTCTTTGAGAGCTATAGAAAGCTCATAGTGGTCTGGTCTGAATATAATCATTTAGATTCTTTATTCTCATGTACGTTCATATGAAAGTAGATACGCGAGTTACCATCATATATGCGTTGATCATATTAGTTATAAGAGGCTATACATGCCATAAGGAGATGATATGCTTGCAGTCTCCAACCAAAATGCAAAGCAAGTCCCAACAGCTGCCTGTGATGCAAGCTGATGGATCAAGTTAAGAGGATGACCATGTTTTAAAAGCAAAAGATAGAGGGGAAGAATCAGTAAAATACCTCCAAAAGGAGTTGTATCTTTGCAGATAAACCATTATTGTTATCACTGCAGAGGCTTAAGGAGTCATCAACTAGCCCAATCGCCGCAAATACTACAGTTGCAGCTGCTGCTCCAGCGACTTCGATGGACGAAAACTTGGTCATGGCTATTGCAACAACAACACCGATTGGAACAAAGAACAACCCACCCATTGTCGGGATTGTTGGTCTGCGGTTATGTGAAACTGGCCCTAGTGTCCTAATTGGCTCATGCACTTTCAGTCTGTCTAGCAGGGGAACAAAAATATAACCGGCTAGGGTGACTAAAGCCGCCGATGTGAAGAAGGGCATGCTTAAGAAGTATGGAGGCAGAGGCAGTCTAACAATCTTCCAAGCAAAAGAGTCCACAAATAAAAGCAGCACTAACAAAAAGGCAAGAAGCCCCAAATTAATCCCATATCTGATTCTGCATATGAATAAAAAAAAGCAATGTCAAAACAACAAGAGACAACCTGCTATGATTTTATAAAACGAACAACTATAAAGAGTCTCTAGGGAATAAACACTTGTTAAACACTAGATCCTAATTCAAATTCCTTACTTTATACTACAATTCACCTATACACACATCGCGGTAAATGATACTTAAGAGTAGTAGTGCCATGATTAACATCTGAAATATCTACGTGCCTGTGCTTTTTCCGACCTCTTGGAAACTTGCTTAGCCTTTGAGAAGTGGTTTCGGTTACCACATTCAGAGCATAATCCCCATCACTCTCTTCGCCTTCACTCGACGAAAGTAAGTATGAAGCAGCAAATATGTCACCGGAATAAAAATCAAATGAATCCTAAGGAATAAAGAAAAAGAAGAGGAAAAGATGTAACTTTGATGCCAGTTTAAACCACACAGATGAAGAAGAAGAATGCTAATCTGAAATGAGGAATTGAGAATTACGTCATCAAATGCCTTAACTGACACAGAGCTATGTCTCATGCTACATCCATGTCTCTTCAAGCTCGCTGCACAGAACTGCATAGAATCCGAAACAAAAATATAAAAGAGGCAATAGTATAAAGACTGGAGATCCAATAGGATTAAGCTTATACCAATTCTAAGGAAACAAAACATGCCAAATTACCAAGCAAATTGAGCATACTAGTAGTTCTAGTTTCGCAATACAGACCATTCCTTATGAATATGTAATGCAATCACTACAAATTTAATGTAAAGTAGAAAGCTTAAAGATATCAATCCATATCTATTTAATGAATTGCTACGAAAATCTCTAATTTTAGCATAACCAAGCAGACGAAAATTGCCATGGCAATGAAACGCTCGTAATAACAAATGTGGCAAAAATAATCGAGAAAGGTGCGGAAAACGCCAATTACAAACCAAACGAAGAGCAAGTAAAGTATGTACCTTGAAACAAGAGCTAGATCCAGATTCGACGCGAAGACGTGTAACCGAAAGTAGAGGAATCGATTCGAGAGATCGAAACGGAATCGGATGATGGAATCGGTAAGAGCTCGGACTCGAAAACGGTAAAGATCTCATCGCATCGCTCAGAGAAAGGAACGAAAGAGCAATTGAATAAAAGTGAGAAACGAAGAAACGATTGAAAATGGAAGAAGACGGAGAAAATAAACGATTGGGTCAATCAAGTTCAGCGATTGCTGAGTTTAGCAGAGTTCACACACCTACGATTTTTTTCAGTCGCAAACAAAATCTCTCTTATGAAAATGAAATCCACGGAACATAACCAAACCAAACCAATCCAATCAAACCCAAAACGAACCAGAGTCTATGCAAAACCTGTTTGGTTAATCTTTTCTTCAACCTGATTGGTTCGGTCCGGTTTGAAAAGACGGATAAAGATAATTCTACAATACATTTGTAAATATTTGCTTATAAAAAATCAATTATCACATAAACAAAATTTCACAAATTTGAAATATATTAAAATAAAACAATAATTAAGAAATAAAGATGTAATAAGTAAAGAGATAAAAACAAGTGAAATTTTACTTTAAATAAAAACAAATATATTATTTATATTTTATTATAATATATTACATATATTTACATAAATTTATATAATTATCAATTTATGTTTTTGTTGGGATCATATATTATATAAAAATTTTAAAAAATTATTATCTTAATATTTTATTGAATTTGATAAATTTTTACGTTGGTTCTAATTGAGATCCACAAAATTTATTATTTTATAATAATTATTAATTTATAGTGATTATTATTTTTATTATGCTTGAAAAAAAAATAACAAAAGGCTATATTTTCTAAAATAGCCTTAAGCCTCTCCATGAAACATTGGCACGACACCAAGGGCGGATGCACTATATGAGTAGTGGGGTTAAGTGCTCCCTACTCTTTTTTATTTTTCTTAAATGTTTAAGCAAATTCAATTCAATATATATAATTTAGTGGTAAAAAAATTTTTACCCCCAACTAATTTTTTTTTCTGTTTATAAGTTTATGCTCCCAACTTAATTTTTTTTTAACTCCGCCACACGACACTGCAAAACTAAAGACGGGTTGTTTACATGACAAGAAGTCAGTCTTTTTGATCTTTACACAGAAATATAATCTATAGTTCTATACGACTTGACAAGGACAAAAACATAATAGAAGGGACCGACCAAAAGCCATTGGCGGCTACGCAAAAGGAGAAAGTTGTGTCATTAACCTACCGGAGGAAGACTTATTATGCATTGCATCTAAAGTCTCCCACATTTGTTTATTTTACATATTTCCACTCAAAAGACGACTTCACTATATCAAGACTCATGAGTCTACGCTCTTTTCAACTTTCACTTAGCATTTCCATATATCGCTATATAATAAGCTCCTCACGTTTAAGGGTTTCACCAGTTTAAAGGTTTTCACCATATATAGTTCAAAGAGAAAGAGAATTAAAGAAAAAGAGAGAATGGGTAAGAACAAAACCAGAATCCTCATGCAATTTGCAGCTCTTGCTATGGTTTTAACCGCTTTGATGATGGTGGAAGAAGCGACGAGCATTCACGTGTGTAACGTCGACACAAGTGACTTGGAGAAGTGTCGTTCAGCTGTTACTGGAAACAACCCGCCACCTCCAGGACCCGGCTGCTGCAAGGTGGTCAAAGCCTCTAATCTACAATGCTTTTGCTCGTACAAGAACTCTCTCTCCAGATTCGGTATCAACCCATCCAAAGTCAAGTCTGGTCTGGCCAGATGTGGCGCTAAGATTCCCTCCTGTTTCCGAGGTAAAATCAAATTACCACATGGTTTTTTCTTTTTTTTCTTTTTCTTTATTCTTTCATCAAAGCGAGAAGTTCTTAAGTTTGTTTTTTCTCTTTCTTTCTATAACACACAGATTGAAGTATCGAGTTGGAGACCGGTTGATCTGCCGCAGACTTTGCTCGACCTGAAGTATCTAAGTTATATGTTATTATGTACTATGTGTTTTTGTGTGTTCTGATTCGAATAAATGATCTCAGCTTTGCAAATTATTTTCAGTATAGCTTGTCTATACATATATATATATAGAAGAAACATGTTCTATATACATTATGATGAAAAGAATAAAGCACTGGTTTTTCGCTAAACCCAATGAGTTTTACTTTCTTGCATAGATCCGAAACGAATATATAAAAGACAATTTATGGTAGAAACATGAAGGTTAGGAAACATACCAGAGCAAGTAGCCAAAGCTCCACCAAGAGCCAGTGATCTTGTATCTCCCATGGACACAGATGCTCTGTACCAATTGTGAAGTAGAAACCCTAAACAAGCTCCAGCCATCGAAACTCTGACTATAGAAAGATCGCTTTATATGGTAAAGATCGGTTTCAATCAAACCAAAACTAATCAAACCCAAAACGAAACAGAGTTTTGGTTAATCTTTCCTTCAACCCAATAAGGTTCTGTACGGGCGCAAGTACTATGTGTTTTTTATGCCATGATCCTCTAAAAACAACTTATTTTTCTCTTGTCCATTTTGTATGGAAGTATGGATGGTTTTAGCAAGAGGAATACTCACAAAGAGGTTCACAGGAGCATGGCAAGATCTTCTTCCTATCATATTAGACACAGATTAGCTACGGATACCACTCTTCCCTGTATGCATTTCTAGTGACTATTCATAGCTTATTAAGAGATAGGAATGTCCAGAGAAATGGAAAGGATCTCACCCTACCTGATTGACTAATTCAATTCATGGATAAGCAAGTACGGAATGGACTATCTTTGATAAAAACTTTAAAAGACAGTATATATGGAGAAGGCTTGAACAAGGGTTTGCTACAAGAAATCTAATTATCATTGGATCATCTTTTTGATTTTAATTTTTAGTCTTATCTTTTCAAACTTCAGAAAATAGACACGCATATTGTAAAAATGATTTTTTGGGTTATAATAAACTTTTACATTCAATTTCAAAAAAAAAAAAAAAAGAAATACAAAATAAATTGTATTGAACTTTGTGAATCAAATTTAACACAATCCAAACCGAACTAAAACCAAGTTGAACTAAATTGAGTTAAGTTCGGTTAGAAACTAAGAGGTTAACCAGAGTTTTACTAAAACCAAATCTGGAAGGAAATAAAATATCCGAAATGACAATCCCTAATTTAAATTAAAGAAAGAAAAAGTTTGATTACATGTGAAGTGAATGTCCTAATCTAAATCTAATAATGCATCATGCATGCCTTTCTTCTAGTCCCTGAAGACATTCTATTGTGGGAGAAAGAATATGTGGAAAATGACTGGAAAGAAGTGCTCTAATTTTATTTCTTTAAAAGATTGACAATAAAGCATAGTCACAGACAGACTCCAAAGACACATGACAAAAAAGTCTTGGAGCTAGGACGTAGGAATTATCTTAACTGCCAACTAACATTATTCAATTACTGTTCTGCTAGTGTAAAACTTTAGAGAGAGCAAAAAGATATATAGAATGTGAGCTGCCATTTGTCAACACTCACGGGAACTGTTTGCTTTTAAGAAATATTTAATCTCATAAGTAAAATAAATACTCTTTTCTCCGGTAAGTAAGTTATAAGTTATAGCATTGTTATTTCTTTAAAAGATTGGTGATAATACAAAGATTAAATAAAAACTACCTTTAAAAAAAAAAGATTATAGAAAACGATATAAATTTTGAGCCAAATAAGTGAAGAACAAAAAATCAATGTCCAAATAGTTAGTGGGATGATAATAAAAATAGCACGAAGCATGAGTGGCGTGACTCATTACTATAGAGGCCTTAAAAAAGATATCATGAGAAACCGACATTTTAATTTTAACCCTAAAATTGGATTCTCACATGTCTAAAAGAGAGACTCCTGTCACGGACTCACGAGTATCACTAACTTCCTCTCCTTTTGAACTCATATAATTTTTATATCATTGTTTAGATTCTCATCACATAATAATAGTAAGTAATACGTGTCTTATACGTGTGTGTGTGTTGTGTGAGTGGGTGCTTATATAAAGTCTTAAACCGAGTGAGAACATACAGAAAGAGTTAAAACAAATATTTCATGAAAAAAATGAAAGGTGAGTTCCTTACAATATTGGCTCTTATTTCTTTCCTCTTGGCCTTCTCATTTGTTCATGGAGGAGAAGAGCCTGGAACGCCTACTAATGCAGCGGCTAGTCCAAGTAGTCCAACAGCAAAATCAAGTGGTGCAACCGGTTCGGCTCATGGACCTAATTGGGGATATGATTGGGGATGGGGATCAACCCCGGGAGGTGGTTATGGCTATGGTTCTGGTTCCGGTTCATCGCCAGATGGAGGAGGAAAAGGGGCTGGATTCGGGTTTGGTTCCGGTTCTGGTTCAGGAACTGGGTTTGGGTCTGGCTCGGGAGGAGGAGGAGCCACAGGTGGTGGTTCTGGCCACGGAAGTGGGACCGGAAGTGAAGGTGGCGGCTCAGGCGGTGGGGATGGTGGAGCATCTCCAGGACGTAGAGAGAGGAGCCAACACCGCTAAATGAAGCTTTTTCTTGTTGTTGGTACCTTAACACAAGCATACATACATAATAAAGACTAAAAGAAAAGAGAGAACATTACTACCACCTATATAACATTAGCTTAATGCATAATAAATAAGGATCAAAATAATAATTAGTTGGGAAATTTACCACTGTGCTTTGTATTATATACTTTATAAACGTATTCTATTTTTGTTCATGCGCCAAAAAAAAAAAAAAAACTAGTGTATTAATCATTATGGAAAGGAAAAAAAACTAGTAAATTACTTTTTTTAAAGATGGGCATCTGCAAATCAGCAAAAAGCAACCAAGTTTCTGCCGTTTTCTTGACTCTAAACCCGAATTATGATATAACATAACTACAGTATAAATCAAGTTTATGATACAACAAGCTAGTATGTATATATTTGAAAAACCCAGGTGATTACAATTCTTTAACTCCTGGTGGTTTTCGAGTATGTAGTACTTAGAAATGTTCATAATCCTTAAACATTATTACCACGGTTACTGATGTCTTCTTTTTTTTTTTTTTTTTTTCTTTGTGATACTCCGTTCACCGGCATTAGATGCAGATGTGTATTGTGATGGGCTTAATTCTGGCCCAATTTAGAATGTGATCGTAAGGCTTGAATTAATGCAAGCAAATGCCTTAGACTTCACAATATCACATTTCAAGCAAATGGACTAGTAACTAGGTACATATATTCACTAGCTAGGCTGGGGAGAAATATAACTGGTCCAAATTTATATAGAAAAAATTAAAAGATACTTGTAAGAAAAACGAACTGAGAAATTGAAAGAAAAAAAAAACGAATGAGAAAATACTTGTATACAAGTAGAGATTTGTTAGGTGGAGTTGACAACAAACAACGACTTAGTAGTTAGAGACATGACAAAGAATCTTTGTTTTTGTCAGCAACCATTTGTGAAGAAACAGATAAATTACTAACTAGCTTATAGTAATTGCGTATTTACTGTTTTTAATGGTTTCTAGGATAAATTCAAAATTTTTTTAATGTTACTAACAAACATCTTGTAAATATTAGCCGCAAATAAAAGTTTAGTTAGTAGAAATTAATTTATGAAAACTATTCAAAAAAAAAAAGAAATTAATTTATGAAATATCAAAACTAAGTATTGGACTAACATCATTTAACTAAGCACATACGTATCTACGAAGTTTAATTTTTCTGCTAAGTCCCAGTAACTTCTAAAACCATCAAGCATTAACGTTTCAATATCTATTAAATTATCGATCACGTACGACTAAATTCTATGCAATTAATCAAGGGTTTTGCACACACAAAAGAGAGATCACATGACGTGTACATGATTAGTCAAAAATTCAGACCACGGAAATTATTACCTCTTCGCAAATCTGAGATAATCAAGTTCTAGAGGTTGGAGACAGAAGATGGAAACAGCAATAATGATGGAGTCGATTGAGCATTTTGGTCCCCTTCATGATTTGGATACACCATTTTTGCATTCACGTGGCATGATATATGTATTTATCTATTCGGAAATTATTAGTACTTATACACTTTCGAAAACCACAAATTTAGTTGATCACAAATATTCAACATTTTGCAACGATGTAAAAATCATAGACAGATAGACATCCATATATACAGCTGTATCAATACAAAAAATCAATATAACATTGAAAGCTTCTCATAACAGGCAATTAAACTTTAATGTCATAGAAAAACAGAAATAACATGATGATAGTGAAATTCATTTAACCATTTTGATTTCAAGAATTTGACACAGCATTTAACACTGTACATGTTCCGCATTCATATTAGTTCCCATCTTGTGTTTACAAGAAATGAAATCAATCACTTCTTCAGTTGATATAAGTTATTGAAGATGATCAAAGTTAAAATTGAAACGAGCCTTCCAAGCATGTGATATTCAACAATACATAGCATGATAGTCTTATCAAGTGTGCCGCATGCATGAATATTACAATAATTGGTGCTTATGTATAACTTAATCCTAGTATATGTGTTGATGGGTTTTTCTCCACGACCATTTCACATTGTCGGGTCTAACTTTATATTTTCAGTTTTCGAATAACTTGAACAACTAACAAAAAAAAAATATTAATTCACTTTTCTAAATTATGGGCTCTTTTAACTGAAACTCATATAACTTTTTTAATATCCTTTACAAATATCAAAATGCGTCTCGTGAAAATTATTTATGTACTTAAAACATAAAAGTTAACTACGAGGAATAGTCCAATAAATATAAATTCATCATGATAAAAAAAAAATCATATTCTACCGGTGCCGCCATGCGAAAATATAAGAGAAGAGACTCGGATAATGAATTTCATATTTAGACACCAGTAGCCAACATTGTGGAACAATAAAGAAAAGCTTCATTTGCCTCGTTGAAAAGTAAGTGTCTCTAATATATGGCCACACATTTTTTATATATATGGAAAACATAACACATAAAAGGGCTTAATCAATTGGCTTATGATTTGCAACTCCCCATAACTTCTCCACACCACTTTGAGATTGAATTGGGTGAGTTATTTTTGGTCCCCATTCGTCCTCGATCCATTAATGGAACATTTATATTCTCTCTCTCTCTCTCTCTCTCTCTCTCTCTCTCTCTCTCTCTCTCTCTCTCTCTCTCTCTCTCTCTCTCTCTCTCTCTCTCTCTCTCTCTCTCTTCTCAATTTGTATGGAGTCTATATCAAGTACAAATTCTTACTTATTAGTTCTGTACATGTGCATGTAGAAGATTTAATCAACTGCATGATCAAGATTGTTATTGATTGATATACTTCTTCTTGTCTTAAGAATGATTATATATTAGCTATTTAATTAGTTAAATAAAAATAGCTAAAATTAATCTTAATGCAGAGATCAAGTTACAATCATGTGCAAACGGATAGACCTAAATTTTGATCTAATTATCAAATGTTGATACGAGTGATGAAGTGGTGTAGTTTATGATTACTTTTGCAATGTTCTAAAATGTGTGAAGTGCTAATCGGATGTTAATTTGAATTTCGGTTAGCGTCTAAACTATCTAGGCACCGATTAGTTTTAGCATGTTTATATTATTTTAGTTTTTATATATTTTAGTAATTGATTGTCTAAGCGTCTGATAAATTAAAAATGTTGACTTATTTTGTTTAGTGCTTTTTTATTCGATTTGATCAAAATCGGCCGTCTAGCATGCTACTAGCGACCAAATTTGTATAACATATAATTGTTTTCTAAAGAAAAATAAAAATAGTATTACTGTATAAGAAAAAAAGAAAATTACAACTATTCCTTCAAGAATCACAATTCTAAAAATTGTAATATTTATGACAAATATACTACTAAACAAACAAGATCGATTAAATATAACCCTTTTCTAAAAAAAAAGATCGATTAAATACTGACAGTATTAAATATAACCAAAAAATGGAAGTTTTTAGTGCCCATAGTAACAATACGTAGGCCCATAAAATTACCACGGAATTTTTTTGGTTAATGATTTCTGATAGTGAAGGATTTTTTAATTCTCTTTTTTTGGTAAAAAGAATTTTTAATTCTGATAAATACTTTCTCTCTCTCTCTCAAAATTTAGGGATACGCTCTTTAGATTTGGTCTTCCATTGGACAAATGACATATTTGACCAAATCCAAACCCTCCACCACTTACATCTCACGTTTGAGTCACATGAAATTCGGGGGCAAAAAAGGCCATTATCATGAGAAACCGAACAAAAGAAAACATAAAGCTGACGAAAAAAAATAATGAAATTCATTGGTCTAGAACTTGCTAATAAGTGACAGCGACTAAGATCTGTGAATACGTGAAATGGTTTGGAACTTGCAAGGAGGCCGCATGGAAAAAAAATGTGTAGTATTTCCAAGGAAAATTCATTAGTAAAAGAGAAAAACAAATAAAGATTTATTCATTGGTTCAGCACCTCTCTAATAAGAGGCGGCAACAATATACTATGACTACAACTAAAAGAAAATCGGAGCAGGGTTATTGGTAACAATATATATATATATATATATATATATATATATATATTTTGCAAATATCAAAATGATGAAATACAAAATAGAGAGTGGTGATTGGTAACACTATATATATATATATATATATATATATATATATATTTTGCAAACATCAAAATGATGAAATACAAGATAGAGAGTGGTGATTGGTAACACTATAAAATTGCAGAATAATATAAATAATCTTGCGAAATAAAATAATCTAGTTTAAATTTAATTTTTTATGTAATGATTTTTCCATATTTTTGTTAAATTTGTTTTCTAATCATTTTTTTCCGTAAATATTTGTTCATTGGCAAAACATTTGAAGAATCGCAATTCTACCATTTTGCAAATTATCAATCACAACAGAGAAATATACTAAATATTTATCATTTAGCAAAAACAAAGCTGCAATTATCTTTTTTTTTCTAAAAAAGGCTGCAACAATCTTTTTTTTACTAATTGTTTGATCAAAACCGGCGATAATAAGATCATTATTTTGACTCTTACTAAATTACATAAGATTATAATAGATAAATTTCTGGTTTCATTTTAAGAGTAGTTTGTATCAATATTGTTGCCACGAATCTTTCCCATTTAATTCCAATAAAGCGTGCGTGGAAGAAAAATATCCGTAGAGTTGTGTATAACCTATTTGACAGGAAAGTATTTATAAATGTACGTTTGTAAATATTCATTCCGTAATCAAAGTAGTATAATCATTGACCAAAAAAAATTTAAGTAGTATAATCAAAAGGGTATTCGTGTTAATTGTTAAATCATTATTCATGCAGGAATAAGTCATTTAGTCATTCACACGAAGAACATTTTTTTTTTTTTTTTTTTCACACGAAGAACATGTGTTACGAATATACAAAATTTCAGTGGATTCTATTCATGTACAAGTTAGTACAATTATTCAAAAAATTTAAATAAAAAAAGAAAGTAAAATCAATATTCATACAAGTTTCCGGAAGATAATAGTTTTATATACGGGTTGCTTGAATATCAATCTTGGTATATTTGTTGTTATTTGCATGAGGAATCTGAATTTACCTTTTGAAGAAAAGAAAAAAATTTATGCTGCCCAAGTCATTACAAATTTGTATTAATTTATGTGATATGCATACTACACACACTTTGTAATGATAACCACTTATGGAAATGGCATATTTTAAGAT